AACGGGAAATTTCAATTCATCCACCATGGCACAACCACCGCCACAAACGCTGTGCTAGAAGGTAAAGGAGCACGGACCGGCCTGATCGTCACCGCAGGTCATAAAGACATCTTGGCTGTTCGTCGCTCGCAGATTCCCGGTGGTCTCGGTGCCTGGTTACATTACACTCCTCCGGAGCCGATCGTGCCACTGGAACGGGTGCTTCAATGTCAAGAGCGCATGTCTGTGAATGGGGAATCAGTTCTTGCCGTGAATCAAGGTGCGCTGCGTGCGGAGCTCAAGGCATGGAGCAAAGACCGACCGGAGGCTGTGGCGGTTTCGCTGCTTAACTCTCACTGCAACAATGCGCATGAGCTGTTGGTAGCGGACACCGTGCGTGAAGAGCTCGGCTCTGATATTCCGATCATCTGCTCTGGCGATGTCCTTCGCGAGGTCGGGGAGTACGAGCGGACGGTGACGACCTGCACCAATGCTCTTGTAAAGCCGGTGGTTCAAAGCTACCTGGGCAACCTGCGGGATTTGCTGACAGAGGATGGGAATACGATCCGTATCCTTAAGTCGGACGGCGGTCTGACCAGTTTGGACCTGGCCGGCGAGCTTCCTGTCAATATCCTGATGTCTGGCCCCGCAGGAGGAGTTCAGGGTGTTGCGGACGTTGTGACGCGCAACACGCCGTACAAAAACCTTATCACGTTTGATATGGGTGGAACATCAACGGACTGCGCTTTGATATATCAGGGAAAGCCTCGCCTCCGTCGCGAGACAGTGGTGGGCGACTTAACTGTTCGCTCGCCCGCTGTAGATATTCGGACAGTCGGGGCTGGAGGAGGCTCCATTGCCAAGTATATGAACATCACGGAAACGATGAGGGTTGGGCCAGAGAGTGCAGGCGCAAGCCCTGGGCCGGCCTGTTATTGTAAAGGCGGAGTGGAAGCCACTGTTACAGACGCGAATTTAGTCCTGGGATACCTGCCGGAAAAGCTACTGGGAGGTGAATTCACACTCGAAGTCGAGGCTGCAGTCGCCGCTGTTGATACCATTGCTTCTCAAATGAAGCTCACTGTCACACAGACGGCTGAAGATATTATCAACCTCGTTAACGAAACCATGTACGGGGCATTGCGTTTGGTATCTGTTGAACAGGGCTATGACCCCAAGGACTTTGCCCTCGTTGCATTCGGTGGTGCCGGGCCACTGCATGCCAACGCAGTTGGAAAGCTTCTTGGAGCCTGGCCGGTCATCGTCCCTCCGTCGCCGGGCACCCTATGTGCGCTTGGGGATGCTACGACCCGGTTGAGCCATTCCCAGTCATCGTCATACATCCGCTTACTCTCCGTAACATTGCCCGGGGAGGTGAAGGCCCGGTTTGATGAGCTTGAAACGACATGCAGGGCAACTATGAAAAGCTCTAACGGGGGCCACCCTATGGAGCTTAATATAAGCTACCACGTCGACCTTAGGTATAAGGGCCAAGCATTGAACTTGACAGTCGACCTACAGAGCGAAGACCTGTCCCTTCATTCTGAGCCCTGGAAGGAGCTATTACAGGCAAGGTTCGACCAGCTGCATGAACAACAGTTCAAGTACTGTCTTCCCAACTTTGAACTGGAACTTATGCGCCTGGAGGTTGTCGCTGTTGACGCCTCCCCAAGCATTGAAATTCCTCGGTTTAACAACGCCACAACTGATACTCCACCGGCTGACGCCATCGTGACCAAGAAAGACATCGTTATTGAGGGCAAGACTCTGGAGGCTACACTGTGGGATCGTGAAAAGATCAGCTACCAGGGCGTATGTGTCCAGGGTCCTTGTATTATCACTGAGATGGACAGCAATACTCTGATACTGCCCGGGTGCTACGGGGAGATAGACGCCATAGGTAATATTCTGATACGCCCAGATGGGGAATCACCGCAAGAGCGGCCAAAGGATCAGACGGCAGAAGAGGCTGAGGAAACAGTTCGATCTACTCCGTTGATCCCAACGCTTGTGGCATCTGCCCTGGCGTCTATCCGAAGTGAGATGGACACGCTCATGCTCCGTTGTAGCATGTCACCAGCAATCCGCGAGCAACAGGATGAGTTCAACGTCATAACCACGGCAGATGGCAAGATGCTTGTCGGTCAATTTGGGAGCTTTATCACCCAATTCCTCCAGGCTTGGAGAGGACCCATACATGAAGGCGATGTTTTCATCACTAATGACACTTACATGATTGAAGGAGCAGTGACGCACTTGAACGATGTTATTGTCCTTTTGCCCGTCTTTTTTGAGGGTAGCTTGATTGGATGGGCGTCGCAGTTCGGGCATCTAACTGATGTAGGGGGTATGGTCCCAGGCAGCATGTCTATCAATGCCACATCCATCTTCGACGACGGAGTCCAGATACCTATAGTCAAACTCTACTCCAAGGGGGCTATGAACACTGACCTGGTTGACCTACTCTGTCGCAACTCACGTCAACCAGACTGGTACCGATCGGACCTGATGGCTATCATTGCCGCTTGTCGTACTGCTGCAAGTCGGGTTTGTGAGCTAGCGACGCGATTTGGATCTCAAATCTACCTGGCTGCATGCTCGGAGCTACTTCTCCGTAATCGTACAGGAATGGCTAAAATTATCGAAACGGACTTTGATGATAGGCCATGCACTTTTACTGACTTCGTGGACGATGACGGCCATGGCGTTGGCCCCTGGGCCCTTACCTGCACAATGAGGAAAACCGAAGGGAATCGGCTGCTGTTCGACTGGAGCGGAACATCGCCTCAGAGCGAGCATAGTATAAACTTCTACCTATCAGAAACTATGTTCAAGATGTTCATCGGGTACTACATGATTGCCGCAGCAGCACCTGGTACCGTGATTAACGATGGCTTCCATGACCTCATCGACATCTATATCCCCGAGGGCACCGTGCTGAAGCCTGTGAGACCAGCAGCTATTTCTTGCCGTACCCACCTCCTGGGCAGGACGATGGATGTAATGCAGGCACTTATCGGAAAGAAGAATAAGCTATACGCGGCGGCAGCTGGCTTCAGTGACTCACCACATTTCTTCTACTCTGGATACAAGCCTGACGGGGAGTGGTATCAGTTATATCAGATTGGGTTCGGTGGAGTACCAGCTCGCAATGCAGGCGATGGGCTCGACTGTCATTGCCTCTTTCCAGCTATCAAGTCGATCCCTACCGAGAGCATTGAACTGAACTATCCACTGCGCATCGAAGCCAACGAGAGCGTCCCAGACAGCGGAGGCGCAGGCTACTACCGTGGTGGTAACGCACAACGTACTCTCTATCGGTTCCTGTGTCGCGGAGAGTTCAGTCTGCACGATGACCGCTGGTTTACAAAGCCATGGGGAATTCGAGGTGGTAAACCGGGCTCCCGCTCGCGGAAGGTCTTGTACCGATTCTCGAAGTCTCGAGATAAACCCCCCGTTGAGATACTTCCCTCGAAATGCGACCATATTCGCGTAGATCCCGATGACCTGCTGGAATGGGTGACGTGGGGTGGTGGTGGGCTGGGAGATCCACTGACTCGACCTGCCGAGAAAGTCGCCCTGGAGATTCGCCGGAGACTGGTGACTATCGGCGGGGCCCGGAATAACTATGGAGTAGTGGTCAATCCTCACGATTTGAGTGTATGTGGAGAAGAAACTGTGGCTTTGAGGAAGAATATGAAGGATGCTCGGGACGCACTGGGACAGGTTCCAGAATACGACCGCGGCGGCTCCATGGACGAACTGAGGGAATCGTCTCTGAGAGAGACAGGACTCCCTGCCCCAAGCCCACAGTGGGAGTTGGATCCATATGGACCACATGTGCGACTCCCTTATGTTAGAGATTGGTTTACACGGATGACGGAGGTGAAAGGATGGGAGTTGAATTGATGTAGACATGCGTCTTTCAGCAGATTTTTGATATACCAAGGCACTATTCTGTTTTGTTGGAGCAACCAGCTTTGTCTATTTCCCATCAGGATGCGAAACTTCACTTGTAGAAGCCGAAGAGACGAATACAAATATGTGAGAAATAAATAGTTGCCTCATTTCCGTTCATACTCTACGGTGCCTTGGTGAATGGCGTCTTGGCCAATGCCTGCGTCTCGCTACGCCGTATCGTATGCCCCTGCCAAGGCTGATCCGAAATTCTCGAGAACGATTTCATTATCCGCGTGGCTAGCGCAGTGCTTTCAAATAAAATGCATTACTGCCAAATGTTGCTGCTTGTTTTTCGCAACGATATAGGACGATGATCGCTTCGTAGGATCTGCTCATGGCTAGAAAAGGGGTACCAACAAGAACCTGTTAAAAGTATACAGTAGTTCCCTAATACTAGTGGTATTCCATGCCTACAGCGTGTGTTCCTCATGACTGGGGATGGTAGATACACAGTGCCAACTGCGAGCTGATCTGACTCGGGTTCAGGGTACATCCTTTCTCCAACCAGCAAGCCACTGACGAAATAATCCTAGGAAATTGCTTATTGACAAGCCAGAGAGAGAACGTTCGGGTGATCTTGGTCCGAATTATGCGGGGGGAATGCTTGGCAGGAGAAAGTGATGCTTAGTTCCCCTGGCAAGAACTGCCCGCCGGGCATCCTGAAGTTGTCGCTACACCGGAGGGAAATAATGCAATTTCACTACGGAAAATTAAACCACAGAACGGCCACCAATGATGTCACGCTATACGTCCTGGTGTGAACTCTTGTCCGCTCCCTTCATTCGAGCGGATCTCGCTATTCCATTTGACCCGAAACTAGTCCGAGCCTGCTGGTTATTGTACATGTAATGGCTTAACTCGTTAATGCATGCTCACCACGCTCCTCTGATTGCGCTACCAGGATGCGAAATTGTTCTAGGTTCTTGGCCTCTGTCTAGCTCCGCATTGAAGCTCCATGCCGGGCATATAAGATGATGAATTCTACCCGTTGCTTCATATAACCGACTACGAGTCGAACCCCTTCTCGGTGTCGGTGGTGTACTCTCTTTATTGTTTCCACCATGCGACGGCCATCTCTCTGGGTCGCTCTTGGAGCGCTAGCCAGTGAAGCACTTTCACAACCCCTGGAAAGTAGGTCATCCGATACCGTCAAGGTTCACTGGGTCGGCGATGCTCCGGAGTATCATGCTGGGACAACGTTCGGCCTGCCGTGGCCCCAGGGCAAGTACCGATCCAACGACACGCAATTTAGTCTTTCCGGGCAATCGAATGAGCAAATTCCGCTTCAGTCTTGGGTAACAGGCTACTGGCGTGATGGCTCAATTAAGTGGACGGGGCACGCCATTCCACCACTTGACACTATTGATAGCGAATATCGCGTCAGCGCCTCGGCGTCTTCGCGCCACCCGGCTTCTAACCATTCCAGCACATCATCCACATTGAAGGTAACCAATAATGCCGACGGGATCACGGTTGATACGGGTAAATTGACGGCCTCTTTCCCGAAACAAGGAAATGTCATTGTGGGTTCTATCACGACATCCAGTGGTAAGGTAGTTGGCGAAAATGGAAAGCTCGTGCTCCATACCCAGTCCGGAGTAGCGGAGGATGTTTCGGCGCGGGCGAACGCCTCTATCAACTATTTCAACTTCGAAAGCAATATCGAGAATGTGACTGTCAGCAAGGACAATGCCGTTCGTACTTTGGTCACGGTGAAGGGAACACACCAAACGTCCGGTAGTGGTGCTCACGATGACTGGCTCCCATTCACTTTACGCTTTTATTTCTATGCCAATTCAGACTCTATCAGGGTGGTTCACAGTATTGTCTTCGATGGAGAACCAGAGGAAGACTTTATCACTGGGCTTGGAATCCAGTTCGAGGTTCCCCTTGAAGGCGAGGAGCTGTATAACCGTCACATTCGACTACCCGGTGTGGATGGCGGCTATCTCAATGAAGCCGTTCAAGGAATCACTGGCTTGCGTCGTGACCCCGGTGAGGAAGTCCGTTCAGCCCAATATGAAGGCAAAGTAACCCCCAACATCAGCACGTGGGATGAAAGAGTATCCTCTCGTATGCAGTGGATTCCGGTCTGGAACGATTACAAGCTGAGCCAGCTGTCACCTGATGGCTTTACCCTCAAGAAACGAACCAAGCCTGGCCAGGCTTGGATCAACATCCCGGGTGGCACGCGATCTTCTGGACTTGCATATCTTGGTGGTGCCACGCAAGGTGGACTTGCGATTGGCCTGCGTGATTTCTGGAAGAGGTATCCTGCAGGCTTGGATATCACGAATGCGGGTGCCAACAAGGGCCAGATCACACTGTGGCTCTATAGCCCTGAAGCAGCACCGTTAGACCTGAGACCATTCCATGATGGACTCGGGCAGGATACTTATGAAAAGCAAACCGACGCGCTCGAAATCACCTACGAAGACTATGAGCCCGGATTTAACACGCCTTATGGCATTGCCCGAACCAGTGAAATCTTCCTGCACGCGTTTGACGCCACCCCTGAGAGCGATAACCTGGCCCTTTTGGGAAGTTATATCAATGAGCCTCCAGTTTTGGTGCCGGAGCCTGAGTATATCAAGGAAACCAAGGCAGCTGGGTCCTACTGGGCACTGCCAGACACATCAAATGAGAAGGCTTCGACGATCGAAAACCACCTAGACTTCCTTGCGAAGTTCTACCAGGGCCAGATTGAGGACCGCCGTTGGTATGGCTTCTTAGACTATGGTGATATCATGCACACCTACGATGAAGACAGGCATACGTGGCGCTATGACGTTGGTGGCTACGCGTGGGACAACTCCGAGCTATCCCCTGACTTGTTCTTCTGGCAATACTTCTTGCGGACTGGACGAGCAGATATTTACCGTTTTGCAGAGGCACTGACTCGTCATACCGGTGAGGTAGATGTGTATCACATTGGCGACTGGAAAGGTCTCGGCACTCGACATGGCGTTCAGCACTTCGCTGATAGTGCCAAGCAAGTGCGTATCGCCCAGCCTCAGTACAGGAAATACTTCTATTACTTGTCTGGTGGGGATGAGCGAGTTGGCGAGCTCTTGGAGGAAGCAATCGACGCCGACAAGACGTACGGAATATTGGACCCGCAGAGGAAGGTTAGGACGGATGGCTGGACACCAGAGCCAGGCAAGCCTGTCGCATTCTCTCTGGGAACAGATTGGGCTGGTCTCGCTGCTGGCTGGCTGATTGAATGGGAGCGACGCGGGCCTCGCTGGCAAGAAGCCAAGCAAAAGCTGACGGGTACGGCGAAAGGAATCGCCAGTTTCAAGAACGGCTTCGTCACCGGAGAGGGCTTGTACGCGATCAGCAACGGCACACTGCTCCCGCCCCCAACTGATCCGAACAATGAGGGCGTTGTATCTATCTCCCACCTGAACGCTGTGTTCGGCATGCCGGAGGTTGTTTCGGAGTTGCTCGAGTATTGGGGCGATGAGGCACCGGAAGGTCTCGAGAGTGCCTGGCTTGATTACTGCTACTACTATGGCGCAACGAAGGCGGAGCAGCAGGCGCGCTATGGTGAATCGTTTAGCGGTATCAGTTTGATCCAGGGCCACTCGCGCTTGACGGCGTACTATGCGAAGCACAGCAACAACGTGACTGTCGCTGAGCGAGCATGGAAGGAGTTCTATAACAATACTGATGGTTTTACCGCTGATGAGCCCTGGGTCTCAGAGCGGGTCAATGGAAGCGCTGTGCTCATTCCAGTGGATGAGGCTACGTGGATATCGACAAACGCTGTTGCCCAGTATGGATTGGCTGCTATCCAGGACTTAGCACTGGTTGGAGACGCCGTGACACAGTCTCCTTATGGCGCTTAGTAGAATGAGGTATTGCATCATATAGAAGTGCCTGTTATTAGCTCACAATGTTTCCCAGCTGTAATGCCTTTGTGTACAATTGACGCGTTGTATGCGCTACGTCTTCTCTACAATATCATAAGCCCATGGAAGCTGCTAGGTTAACTATTCCCGAATGTCGACTATGTTGGGCATTTATAACACTCTAACGTTCTGGTCCTCGTATTCAAAGGGGTTTGAAAATATCTTCTATTTGATCTATCTTCCAGCGAAAGCAAGAAATCCAATACTCAGGAGCCAAAAACGCTAGCCCGAGTTAACCCCAGCTTCTCCATAACATAGTTATAATTACCCTCCGAGGCCCGGGTTTTCGGGTGATCTGGGCCCAGTGCTTTTCTATTAATATCATAAGCCGCTTTCAACAAGGGGTAAGCATCTTGTAGCTTATCTGCCCTGACATATGCCACTGCCAGGTTGTTCATAGTGCCCACTGTCTCCGGACTTTCTTCACCAAGGGTTCTGCGGGATAACTCCAGAGCCCGCTCCAGCAAGGTTAATGCTTTCTCCTGTCCATCGGCCGTTCCAAATTTCTGGTAGGTTGATGCTAGGTTTATCGAACACCGAATCGTGGTCTCATTCGCCTCCCCTAGACTGTTTGTCGCAAGCCCAAGCGCTTCCTGCTGGTAACTCGCAGCTTTCTCTACCTGACCTAACTCCCGATAGTCAACACCCAGGAGATCCATGGCCATGATTGTTTCAAAGTGGTCACGACCGAGTGTCTTTGTCCGAAGCTCCAGTGTCTTCTCATGCAACCTGGCCGCATCATCAAAACGACCTTGCTGGTGATAGCTATTCGCCAAATTATTCATGCTCGTCTGCGTCGCTCGGGAATTCTCCCCTTCCGCTTTCATAAATATGTCTAACGCTTGCTCCTCGAGATCAAAAGCCTCACCGAACCGAGCAAGGCCCTTAAGATCCAGTGCAATATTATTCAATGCTTTCGCCGTCTCAGCATGGTCCGGTCCAAAGACTCTCACACGAGCAGCATGCACTGCACGATCTATCGTCTCGGCCTCCTGATACTCGGCGTGCTGGCGAAGATTGTAGGCAAGAATTGCCTTTGTTTCTAGCGAATCCTCATGGTCGGGCCCCTGCTGCTGCTCTGATAGCTGTACGGCCTGGTCCAGTTTTTCTCGCGCCTCGGTCCATCTGTTCTCTGCTAGTAGTTCGTCGCATTCCACTATTAGGCTCTGCGGTGTCGGCCTGGTATTCTCCATTTCAGTCGGGGGGGACACGGCGTTTGGCGCGCTACTTGGCTTTGATCTCCTGCACCAGCAAGTCATTATCTGACCTGGATATGGGAATTGGAAGTAATGGTCCGGTTGGATAGAGACCAGTGAGTGCTACCTGCTATGTTGATATGTCTTCCTAAGCAGCACAGAGATGTTTTCTAGTAAAGTCGATGTATACTGCGATTATCCGAATTTAAGAAAGACAAAAGGAAAGAAGAGAAAAGAGAGGGAAACGAAGAAGGGGGGGGGGGGGGGCAGATCCAGGTACAAGAAGCGTCTCTTAAGTAGCAAGAAAAACCAACAACATAAATGCGTCGAGACCGGTAGCAAGGGCGATCACCTCGTACAGAATAAGCTTGGCAATCGTACGCCACCAATAGAATAAGTCGATCTGAATCTCTCGTTAAGGGGTTTCCGCGGAAATCAAGAGGGAAGTTACGTGGAATACGAGCGCTAGTACTCGTTCTCTGGACCCATCACACGAAAATCGCAAAACTGGCGAGATAAAGTTGTAGATGGTCTGTCTTCATTCGGCTTTGGTTGACAGGGGCTTCCTGAACAAGAATGGATCTAATTGACTATTACAGTAGCTGGAATAGGAACTTCATCCAGTCATTCTCCTAGCCACGTCCTGTGTAGTTAGAATATTGATGCAGCGGTTGCTTAGTTTTCTCAGTTGAACCTGGAATCAGCGATTAGGTTAGCATTTCGAATTGTCCAGACTTTAGTTAGGCTTTATTCCATTCCCACTTAGCTAATTTTTTCAAATTTGCTCCATTATACATGAGAGTTAGATTTGAATCGGCTAAAGCTTCTGCTGAATAAGTATAGAGATATTTAGGAAATCGTATCAACAATCACCGGCAGCAAAGATGTTGAAAAATAGAAAAGCTTGACAAAGATTACAAATTATGGGGAAGTCTAAGTAGTGTAACGGAGATATTCTCTGCAAAAATTTCCATGAGCTTGGGTATCGCGAATTATTTTTGATTGTCGACGGCATAGGGTAAACCTCGGGAATGTATTACCATAATATCGCCAATTTACAGACATATCAAAGACATTATACACCATTATTGCGTTCACGAGCAAGACAAAGAAATGAGACATAGTAGACTAAATCCCACAGTGCTATGTGACCTGAAAAAGGTGATGAGACCAAGCCTTAGCTTTTAATGAGGTTGTAGCTGTGGGGTTAAGTTAATGGCAGGAAGAATGGTGCACCCCACGGTGAGATGACACTGCTACTATTCAAGCAATGAAACTACTGTACTAAGTACTAAGACTACAATTTGTTTGCATCTGAATCTTCACCTTCATGGCTGGCCGTTAAACTATGACACCTATTCTTGGATTCGCCAACTCCTCAACCCAAGACTAATTGTACAGTGGATATGCTGATTGACTGGGAGATTGCTCCAGCTAACTCAATGTAGCCCCCAGTAGAGGACAGGTTATATGATATATCGAAAAGACTCATCATTCTTCTAAGTAATGACAGAAGCAAGTAACATCGTTCTAAACAACAAATCACCCAAAACATAACAACTTCCATCTCGCATCACGATGTACCCAATTCAGGTCTCATGTCATTTCACTCTCCATCACATCAGGCCTTAGCGCAGCTGTCTCCGTTCTTGCCACAGATGACCTATAGTCACGTCAGCAATGCATAACCCACGCCTTTTATGCCACCATAGACACTTACGTCATAGCCCTCGGCCTCGCAGTGGTACTTGGTGCAGTCTCCCCACATGCAATCGAGGGGGCAGTCGGCAGCACCCAGCGCAACATAGCTGGCGCACATGGGGCTACCGCAGACACGGGCCTCCAGGCGTTCTGGGAGCGCAGAAGCGGTGGCGGTCACGGCAGCAAGGAGGACGGCGTAGATGAACTTCATTTTTAGGGAAGGATTTGGTGGTATACAGTTATGTTCAAAGAGGGTTCAATGATTGGTTGGTTGGGAACTGTTCTTTGCTGATGTTGCTATGGATGAGATGAATGTCGTGCTCAGGGGAAAAAGCCTCCTTTATATAGGTTTCTTGAGGCGTGAATGTCTCTTAAGCGATCTATAATATCAGTGTAGCTTGAACGTGTTCACAGAGAGCATGATGACCGACTGTCGTATTTGTTCAAATGGTACGCCTGATAGATAGTATAGCCCCAACATGTTGTACAATGTGCAGTTCGTGGCATGACGATCATGTCTGATAAAAGGTGATATGCAGCGCTGCGTGGGCAGTCTAATGCATCCTATATGCATATGCAGTATAGTTGGCACGCTGTGCTGTCTTGGCCAGTAGCATGGTTTTTAGGTGCTATAGTATATCACAATAGAATAGACAACTGGCATTCCTATTCAGTATGGTGAAATAGTTGTGAGTATTCAGTGATAACAAGCACAATGCCACATGCCACAAGGCCCAGCTCAGGACCTGGTATAGTTCCCAGTTCATATTCGCGTTTCCCTACCCAATGATAGTTCCCCAACTAGTCCAGAATGGGACATCTACCTTACGCGCGTCGCGGCTCTCAGTCATGACGATCACTGTGTATGGATTGCCCTTGGCAATTAGGCGCCCGATCAAAGCCAGGGACAAGACCTCTTCTGTTACTGACGAGATGCCAAGACCCTACTCCGCCATTTTGCATGAGGTAAGCTCCCTGCACATCAATTGGCGTTGAGCTATGGTTGGTTCGATCGGGAGATGCCAATGCCCAATTATCCCGGGCGAAGAGTCCATGGGGAACACTGTACGGCATGACTCGCTCAACGGTAGTCTCAAGGCTGCAAAGCAGATTGTGCGAGTCATTTGCATGAAGGGTAACGTATCGGTTCATCTCTTCCTGGAATGGCAATGATGTTCGGACGCAGTTGCCAGCGACGGACTTGGCATGAGGCTGTGAGGGAGGAGAAGCCAATCATCTTACAAGGGGATTTTCTTGGGGAAGACCGTGACGAAGTCAACCGGCAGTTGCTCAATTCCGTGTATATGCAACGGTGTGTGATCTTTGCAGGTTGATTGAAGGACAGGCGGTGCCCTTGTCGCAGCATGTAACCATTTCTGATCTTCTTCTCTTTGACCTCTCAAACCTTTTTACCACTAGCCAATGGCCTTACACTAGGTTGTTGGAAATAGCTGGATGACAAGACTTTTGTTCTCGATACGTAGAGGGGTTGGTAAACACCCAAGGATAGACTGTACCTCCTAGAAGAGGTCCTGTGGTTCTAGCGTCAGTCGTACGCTACTTGCCACGACAGCGATCAAGTTAATCTATGATTCGAATTACTCAACGGTGATAACCATGTTCTTTCCCTTGCCTCCTTGGATCAGGTTCAGATACTCTCTTAACGGGATATATTATTAAGCTGACCAGACATGATGGCTCACTGGAGAATTCGCTAGAACCCGAATTAGGACTGGATTGTGTTTTGTCTTCAATGAATGCTTAAACCAAGCCTGGTTCCACGATCAACTAGTTTGCAAAGGGGCTGCATCACAAATCGAAATATGACAGAAAGACACTACCTCTGCCAAGTTCCTCCATAGCACCTAATTATAAGCAGCAAGCGCCTTCTCGAAAGCAGCGGCAATCTGATCATTCAACAATGGCGCAACCGAAGCATACGGTTCGGCCAACTTAGCAACAACAGCCTTGCCCAAGTCCGCCGACAAGTCCTTCTCCTGCTGCAAGTTCCACTTCACTAAGAATGAGACAGACCCGATGCCGAGCAATCCGGTGTCGAACTGAGGCTTCTTGGAGACAATGTTATCGAGAGTCGAAGAGATCTTCGGTTGCAGATCGATAAAGGCAGCGGCCACCTTGTTGGACTCATCGCCGGTGAAGTTCTGGGAATCTTCGGTCGTCGAGATGGCATCCTTGAGGGCGTGGCTGAGTTGCACGGACTGGAACTCGATCTTCAGGGCTGTTCCGGTTCCGAGTATTCCCCCTTGGTAACCTGTCACCGTGGTATTTAGGGTCGTCATTTTGTCTGCAATCTCCGCCACGGCATCTACTACGCCGGTGGCATCCCGCTTAAAGAGTTCGGTGGGTGCCGATGTTGCCGTTGTGAGGAGCCCGGCGGCCAAGACAAGGAGACGGTGGAAGTGCATATTGACCAATAATAGGACTGGATTAGGTTTCAGTGGGAAGAGGAAATGAGGCTATGGTGAAAGGGGAGACCAGGAGAAGATACGCCAAGGTATGGTTCAACACAAGCTTTGGATTCTAATTGACTGTGGAAGGGACAATCCCGCCGTGGAGAACTCTCACATTATATGCTCTAACAACCCAGAGCCCGGGGGTTCTGCTAGCCTTTAGCCTGAAAGACCCACGTTCCTGTTTAATCTTAATCTCTCATCCAGGCTTGCTGGCTAGATCCTGGGGATTTCCGAATGCAGTAATTGATGGTACCCAATTAATTGTACCCCGCAAAATACATGATTAGCGCGGAATCGCGGCCAGGGTTCACCACGAATCAACGGAGTCCGCGTCGTATAAAAGCACATGTCACCACCGGCATCCCGAGGCATTCAGAGATTAATATGGGCGATCGGCCTAAGAGTCCGCATGTGTTGGGCTTCACCACTGATGTAACTGTAAGACATGCAGGATTCTCCAGCCAACCTGAGATCCAGTTCCAAAACTCAATTTGAGGGCTAACAGTGCAGGGTCACAGATATGGCCCACAACCCCATCACCCCGGACTATTGCGCAACACTAGTAGTAGTCACTACTCTGGTCGGACGCCGTCGGAACTCAAGAATACGAATCCTGGTGCTTCTGCTCGGAGTGACCTACACAGTGCCGATGAAATAATGCAGTTCTTCACTCTGCGAGGGGTCACCTACACCGAACAATTCTGTCAGACGAGACTGATCAGCACAGATTTCCTTAATGCAATACGGTCTGTCCCGATCACTTTGCCCTTGCATTAGCCTCCTTGGCCGTTCGATGTGCCGAGGCCATGTCAGCTGCTTTGGAGCAATCCTATAGCGGTCAACACTCCTTTCTGAAAACAGCGGGATGCCATCCTTCTAAAGCATGATATAGTAAGCCCTAACTCGTACGTGTCGCCTTCCAAGTATTAATAACCCGACCATATCCCTACCATCCTCTGTCTATCGTCTACGCTTTGCGAACATTGTCTTTCGATGGCAATCTTTTGGCATATCTTTTCATTTGGCGTTGACCTTGATCGAAGTAACTGGAGTCTATAGATCAGGAGATCTGTTTAGCTATAGGATCAATTAGACGGAACCGGCACTCATCTTGACTAGTCGACGGGTATAGACGTCTCTCTCACCACAACTGTAGCATGATATGGGAATGCCTTAATATCCTACTTAACATTCAATGTCCAATGAAACCACCGATAGAAATAGAGAAGATAAAAAAGCACAGAGTAATTAACTGATGGCAAGGTGAAGGCATAGTAACAGCTTAACCAGGGGAAAACGGACTCGGTTTCACTACACCGATCCACATGATATCGTGCTTCAGTAGAGGACATCTGCTAGAAGAAAAGGTCGAATTCAGCTACGTGTTGAGTATCAGGAAGTCTCACTGACTTCGTGGCTACCCGACTGCGATCAAGGAGACAGACCACTTCATACCGTAATATAATGCATACCGTCCACGTGCGTTGATGGCTCGTTGTATACGTATACAAGGATGGCTATTTGCACGCTCGCTATGGTCCATCAGGAATTACCGCGAGTGGGAACAGCGTGTTGCCTACCATCAACGCGAGCTTGATTGTGGTGATCGTGGATAGGGTGACAGGGATCTACTTCGATCGCCTGGGATGTCTGATTGTCCATAAAGATTATTATTCATGTATTCTAAGTGTTTCACCTCTTCCGCCACCAAGGCTTGTACGGCTTGTCTGCTCTATGCACTGCCTCCCTTATATGTACATCATACCTGTGTTTCTCGAAATTCCACCAGAGCGCCCAGCCCCCGAGGGTAACTGCTGTGAGTGGGACTGCTGTTGCCCAATAAATCCAAAATTGAGATGACACCGCCGAGCTTCCCTCAGAAGGGGCACTTTTCCAGTCAAACATGTCCATGGAAAACAAAGTCTAGATTTGTTATAAAAGGTATTATTAATCAAACCTTTGCTGTACTACAAGGGCTAGATACATACCGCAATAAACGTCCCCGGAAGAAATATAGTCGTGATAAAAGCTAAGATCTTCATGGAGGTACTATCCCTCCCAGTCGATGCAGCGAGGCGTGCATTGAGCCGATTGTCTGACTGGGCCACGAAACTGTATAACTGGTCTAGAATCAATAATAAAGACTTTTTCGACTGTGAGAGGGGACCCATCATACCACATCGAGCTGAAGCTCCATCCGAGCCTGAAGGCACAGCACATGGTCCTCGATAGATTTGGCGAGATATACGTTGTGCTCAAGTAGTTCCCTGATTTCGTTATATTGCGAATGTTGGCTGCGAGATTCTGTATGAGACTCATTCATGATGTTTAATAGAAACTGCGACGCCTCGTAGTTCCACTTCGGCGAGCGCCTTGTGAACAGTATACTGGTTAGCTTCGAATTAATGGAAACGGTGAGAAAGTGCGTCTGAGATCTATCGACGGGTATTCCAAGGTTTAGGATATCCGCGTCTTTGGACTGCAGCTTTCTATTTGTTGGCGCCCGGAAACGTGGCACCTGGTTCCTCCGACCAACTGTGGTGACGCCAAGATGTTCTTCGATCACCATCACCTGCTGGGTCAGAGGCCCGGTACAGTATTGTTGTAGTCGTTTCAGGTGATCGGTCACAAGAATGCATGGCAATGTGAGAGCATTGTTCCACATTTTGGGAGACTGAGCAAGACTCGTCCGGATGGTTCTGCCGGGGGCTTGGGATCTGAACGGTAGCTCGGAGCGATAGTCTTGGATTAATGGGAATAAATCGATAATATCCTCGCCCGCGAGGAGAGCGGTGGTCCATTGTGATGTAGTATCGTGCGTGAGAGACAGCATGTAATTAGCGATCTCGTACTTCTGAGGGGCTTTGAGGATAATAGCTTTGTTATATTAGCCATGTTCAAGGTACCCATTCAAAACATATAGCCAAGGACAGCCTGACGTACATGTTTGATCTCCCTGTTGCCCGCTCCTAGAGTAACGCGAGAACATCCCGCCACTTACCTCAAGCGCGGGAAGGGTGGCCGGATGAAGGGCAAGCATTGCTTCGACTAAATCATAGTCCTCGCGGGACATCCCGAGCGAGGCGCGTTCGAACAAAGTGTAATTGCATATCAACAATCTAATCCCCCCATTCGGCTGTTCAGAAAGGGGTAACTTGGGGATCGAGAAGTTCCCCGTCTGTTGTAGCCATTCTTTGAGTTGTGACTTTTCTAGACATCCATGGCGAAAGTTGCAGGATGTTACCTCATTTACCTGGTGAGTTCAATCAGTCGCACGATCTACAACATAGAAAGGATGTTGTTTAGCCAACGTTAGGGAAACTCCAGGCCTCGATAAACTGGAATCCATTGGGGTTCCACTCGATGTTTCTCGCGATCTCATCTTTGTGGAACTGGTACATAGTTCTGGGCGATAATTCCACGCCAGCCATATAACATTTGCCAGGTTTAAGGTGGCTATCAACAACCACTGGGCCGGTGCCATACAATGTAACGACAGATCAAATGAAGCCGTCTAAAAGCAGTGTTCCTGAATCGTTCGCCTAAATCGGTGGCCGGTTTAGCTTCGCTGCTAACCAAACTCGTACTAGTTCAAAATGGAATCGTTCAGCTTTTTCGTACCACTGTTTCTAGCGGTCTCATTAGTATATAATCTTCAGTACCTTGTTACCTATAAACTGATATAGCTACAGAAGTCATACATTACAAGACCCAAGTTATCAGGGCTTATATGAATCTATACAGGAAATCAATGTAGCCACCGTAGCCCTTGCAAAATAGGGGGATATTGCAACTGACTGGGATTTTCAGTAGTTGTCGGCCTACTCCCACTAGGTTGAGATCTAACAAAGGCTCTTCTGTGTCAACCAATGGAGACAACACTTAAGCAGACGAACTCATTCATTCCATACTACTTTCAAACCGGATGCCTGTGCGGCCTTTAAGCCATTCTGAATGGTGAACCGTGGCAATCCGAGGGTTTACCGGGTACTTAAATCAATTCTTGTCTCACTAATCCGGGTTGTGAAGTCTGAATTATTTTGTAGATCCGGATGGCCGCAACCCCATTAGCCAAAAATAACTATGGGCCCTAACTGTTTGAGTCAGTACCTATGCTTAGTATATGTCGTTGTAAATGTCAGGGTTAGGCAGAGGTCACTACTTGCTCTTGGTCCTGATATACTTATATATGTCCACGCCGACCAGCCCGCCCATTTAAACCAAATAATATGCAGTTGGGTAGGTATTGCATTTCAGAAGTATATCCTTAGTCGTTTCATTACAACGTACGCCGTATTCTCTTTCTTAATAATCTATCGCATTTAGAGTTTAACCTACGCCCAAGGGCTGTCATTCAAGTTCACAATTAACGCATTCAATGTATGCAACAACTTGAGCTAGGTACGTATCTGAACATAAGACTATATCCCCCAATAGCTGCGAGCAAAATGAATGGCTAGCTCATTCACTTTTCCAGTAAGTATTGAGCATCTCCTTAACCGAAAGAGGCTTAATCTCGGGAAACCGTTCGTTCAAGCTACCGACCTTAGAAAGGTGAGACTTGCCTTCAGCAGTAAACCGTTCAAAGATTGACGTAAACCACTGGAAGGCCTCCTTCGGGAAGCGATCGTACAAGGCCTTCTGAGCGGGCAGCTCGGTGATCTCAAATCTCTTCAACTTTTCGATGTCATCGTAATAGACCTCAAATTTGGATCCTGCTTTCTAATTAGCAAGTCCCGTCGACAGATAGTAAGTCAACGTAGCGGAAGAAAACTCACCACGAGCCTCCTCGGCTAGAGCAAGAAACTCATTCCAAGTAATTTCGTCCCCGACAACACGACTCTCCTCCTCCCAATGATCCAGGTCCAGCGATGCAACCAGGAATCTAGCCATATCAAACGAATAGGTCAACGTGACAGGGACATTGCCATCTCCTGGGATGGCGGCAACCTTGTTTTCGAGGTCGAATGTAGCCACGTGCGGTTTCAGATACGACTTCAGGGCCGGGGTCGCGAAGTAGTCCATGAACATCCCGATATGGAATACAGTCCATTCGAGTCCTGAGTTGCGAAGCTCTTCTAACCCGTCGAAGTAGACCTTGAGCTGGGGCAAAATCGCCAGGGCTCTAATATAAGTTAGTAAATGTGACGGGAGAGAAGAGGCTGGATAACTAACTCCTCGGGGTAAGGGATGGCGAATCCATTTGCGATAAAGCGTTTTGTGGCCTGTGACCGTGTAGCTGCCTTGATCAGGTTCAGCTGCGCCGCTTCAAGGGAGTTCCCCTCAACGGACAGAGCACAGATCACTGTATGGATGTTGTTGTCTTCAAGCAGGGAGACGAGTTGATCGATATCGTGGTAGTCAGTCACGAGAGTATTGGGGGTTACTGTCGATGACTATCTTGTGTCAGTTTCTTCTTCCATTGTCAGAACAGAGGGCCCATACCTTTCGGGATAGAACGAATGCCTCATGTTTGGTAGATGTTTGCAAGACCTCAAGAATGGTTCTTCCTACATCCCCGGTACCACCAGCAATCGCAACGTTGACCATAGTGTGGATGGGTTTGCTGTCGAACGCGTAGAGTAAATAGGACATTCAGAGAAGGTGGGTGGCTAGTCGATGAATACATTCTCAGCAGTGGAAACGTGGGTGTTTATATAGGTTTCCCTGTCTTTTTCGCCATGCGTGTCCCCAGACCCTTTTCCCAGGCTATTGTTCGGTGCAGCCAAAGGATATGAGGTGGGATGGGAGGCTCTCCAATGAGATTGCTCATTTCGACCGTTGGATCCTCACCGCCCCACATCTTGATACGAAAATTTCCTATTTGGGACATGGTCTCGCGTCAAGTTCGACTTGGCCACGGATGCGCTCCCTTGAGGTTTCCATGATGGATTGTACTTCTTTCGTTCGAATTCCTTGGTGAAACAAAAAATGCCTCATGGCCATCCGAGCCAGGGTAACGCATAGTGGTCCGCCTATTCATGACAAAAAAGTTAATTGCACTGACGGCGTAACCGAAACGCTAAGACATACACACCCAGCTACCGAGAAGGATTAGATTGGATAAAAATTGTTGGATCACGAGCCACCTCTCTGATCATCCGGTCTTCACTCCGGCTCAGCAGCCACGACACGGCTGTGTATTCATTTCTTGTGCGCGCGCCAATCCACCAACATGTTTCTTCTTGGAACAACATCAACCATAGCATAAAAAGCAGCAGTGCCCTCTCATCTTTCTGGCGAAGCAGGAAGCGATAAGACTGCGGTACATATGGGCCGAATGATAAATAGCTGTTGAGGTTGCCGAGCCCCAAGCTCTTGATTCGGAAGGCTCGGGAAAGTAACACAAGAGGTATACAGTACGGGTTATTCTCTGGGGTGCTGTCTGCAGTGATGCAACAGATTTCGGCTAGTGTTTGGGGTATCAGCCCCACGTCTGAATAAGAGGGAAGGCCATCGCTAATGACGAAAGGTGGGTTGCACGATGTGTCGGCATCTAGCTCTGTGCTCCAAACGCTACCATTGGGATTGCGATTGAGAATTTTCGACAAGTAGCCCATTCCTTGCTGTACCATGAACCAGTTGATATCATTGTCAATGGACGCGCTATCGGACATGAACAACCAGGAGTTCGAAGGGATAGTCTCATTTGTGGCGAAGGATATCATATTGATTACCAAGCATGTCGCAAATATAAAATCCAGCTTCTGAGCTGCTATGGTAGCTTGTGTAAGCTCTTCATTTAGTAATTTTGTAGCGACCTGTGTGTGGAAAAGGTAGGCTCTTTCATGAAGCCGGCACGAAGGCTGAAAGTATTGCAGCTGTCGAGCAGATAGCGCAAGGAGACTATGCATGAGCGCCGGAGTAGCTGCACAGTTGGGCAAAACAAATTGATGGAACAATTGGCACCCTGGGTAAGACTGAAATGACGTGTCGATGCATCGGGCCAGGTGTTGTGCCAGGTGCGTATTTGGTGTCAAGGCCGTGGCAGGGGTGTCTGTTTTTCTTGGGAATGGCTGTGGTGAACCATGATTCAGCCGATTGTTGATGAGTGAGCATGTAAGGTCAGACTCAATACGCCATTGTACACGTTCGAGTTCTGCCCGGTTGTCTAAGGACTGGCCACAAAGGACTATTCCTTGCAGACCGTCATCGACTCTAAGTTCAGCAGAAGGCTTCTCCTCGTATACACAAACGTCTTGGCGTTTAGAGCATCTGCCGCAGAACGGTCGAGCTTCATCACACTTGACTCGGTTCCGTTTGCATGTCGAGCACCCGTTGCGAGATTTCGTATGTGCCTTTCGTGACTGCTTAGTGGGCCTGCCAGTCACTAAAAGCTGCGGTTGAGCTCGTCGTTTAGGCGCAGAGTCTAATCGAAATCTTCCAAATATTTTTTGGCCAACAGTGTGCATCACGCCAGACGGTAGTTGGGAGTTGCTTGAACTGTACTGACATCAATGTGGATGTGGATGTCGGGAGTGAGGAGAGATGAGGTTAGAGCGGGAACGGTGTTCTTCTCTAACGTATAGCACGGCGGACTAATCTGTTGTTCCGGATACTAGACGAAATCGTATTTTATAGTTTGCAATTTTAATTTACAGCCGCTATAATACTATCTGGTTAAACCTACTGAACAGTCTCTATATTCTGCAGATATATAGACTAATACAGTAACTTATCAAATAGGATTTTGCTAGATTCAAAGACAGTACAGTAGGTGTTCTACTATAGTAATATTCAACAATCTTGTGATAGTTTGAGTTATTCCATTGAACTAGTAAAAAATACACAAGATACTAGCAATATTCTCCCACTTAGAAGAACATCTAGATCGCAGCATTCTAGGGAGACTAAAAATTAAGCCTGTCACCATACTTGTTCTCGCAGTAAGTCAATATACATCAAGGCGACTGCTCAATCAATTGGTCCTAAGGGTTAACCTATCTTGTGATACTACAGGACTAATACACGTGGTGAGTGGTATATATCCTTATGAATATGAAATCCTACGAGCTTTCATCTTGCTGTGTATCAGAAAACCCGGCTCGTTGGAAACAGCTCGGCCGATCATCGCTCGCGGTCATAGGAGACACGCTCTTCAGCCTATGGCAGTCTCTGGCTGTACGCAGACCCTTAGCTGCCATAAACTCCCCCATATGAGGCGACTCAATTCCTACGTACCGTCGAACGTACATCCAGCCTCACCCATGTTAATGAATATATGGAAATTATTACTTGAAATATGGATAAGCTTGATGTGAGAGTAAGTCGGTCAACATATCTAAGGCATGTCTTCAATTTTGCTACTCGATAAAGAGTTAAGCAGCATGACTCTGGCTTATTCCATAGATAATGAAGCTATAGTACTATCTCAGAGGGGTTAGTTTCCTATTTGCTTCATGTTGTTGGTCCGAAGCAGATGTATGTGCCTTCGGAAACGTCTATTAGGTTACTTATCTACGTAATAGTTTGTGACCTGCTTGAATCAAGTGCTCTGAGGAAGCAGGTGCTATCTAGGCTAGCATCCCCGCATGGCTTTCCAGAGTATCGCATATATTGTCTCTCAATAAACACTGTAATGAGATGCTCGCAGCGTCTCCAGGTTCGTATCACTAGCTGCTAGCGCTTTTACCGATGGGAGGATATCTTGATGTGGAACGCCTGTGTCATAGTCTTCACAAGAAACGCATCAAGTGATGAACCTTCACCAAATCCGTCAAGGAACTTCTTTTCCAAAAATATCCCTTTATCCGCTTCGAAACCTGACTGGATCATTGCCGTCAGATGCTGAAAATACCATTGATCTTCTTTAACTGTACTATAAATTCTCCTGGCCAGATCAATGACGACATAAACGGAAACACTTCGGCCGAATATTTCCATGAACTTCCTCGCATGACATTGGAGCCCAGTAAGCCCGTAGCTTATCGCTGTGCAGTACGCCAGGACGGTCTGGGTATAATAATCTTGCTGTTTAGATACGTCGCAAGCATATGGTGCCTTTTGCAGTTGAAAACCGCCGGTGTTAAGGTAATGCATCAACGTATGTCCAACATTCTCATCCACATCAGGAAGTATGATACTCGTAAAGGTGCTATATCTTTCGAGGGCTGGATCGGTTTGTAAGCGAGAATGTAGGCGCGGAACCCTATCGAGCAAGGACCTCGAGATTGTATAACACTTTCTGCTAAGACCAATGAGGACTGTCACTGTCTGCCCTTCGTATTCACTAAATTCGAACATATTAGTAAGAATGAATTTCAATACCGTGGAATAGATGAACGTACTGATATTCGGGGTCGCTCGTAAAGTCAGATCGGATATTATCACCGTTAACGGGTTCAGCGAGTAACTCAGGTTTTGGACATTGCTCAGCAGCGGTTTCAGAGATTGGTTCAGGCTCTGGTTCTTGTACAATTTCCTCTGCCACAGGTATCACGTGTGGTGGCCATTCAAAGTCCTTGCCAGGAATAGGCAACCCTTTCCTGATTAACGATAATTCTCGCTTCAGTTGATCCTTACGGGAGAGGATATCCCAGTTGTTGTACAGTGGATCATTCGGAAGTGCGGGAGCTTGGGGTTGCGGTTCTGGTTCAGCCTCCAGTATTGGCTCTGCCTCCAGTAATGGTTCAACCTCTGGCACTGGCTCTGGCTCTGGCACACAATCTGGTATGGGCTCCTCTACCAATGGCTCCGGTGACAGAGGTGGTGGCCAGTCAAAATCCTTACCGGGGATTGGTAGACCTTTCTTAATCAGCGATTTCTCACGCTTTTTGCGGTCTTTAGATGAAAGATCATCCCAACTATTGTAGAGTGGGTCGTCTGGCAGTTTAGCTTCGATTAGAGCCATATTTGGCTGTTCCTGGATAGTGTAAGGTTCACCTAAACGAACTTGCCGTGTGGTCAGTGGAGATGACTCTGAGGAACGCTTGTTCATAGTCAGGATATAATCGTTCAGGGATGCGGGGTCATTCTCCAGGCTGCAGCAGTGACGTGTCGTTGAAGCTGCACCTTGGCCAATCATTGGTTTACTACAGCTACAAGGCTGTTGTCAGAATAGGTAACGCACCGTCTCCAAGCTAGCTGTTGAAGTGTAACATCTCAAAAATAGTGGAAATAAAAGCCCTTGAGCTCAGAGTCTAACAAATGATACAGCAAAGTATTACTTTGCCTTCATCTGAATACGACTAATCAGGAAGTAATTCTTGTCAGTTCAGATTTGTACTGCCTTTTCACATATCCTCCAGCAATATCCACTGATAGTGCTGATAACTGTGCTCTCGGTGAAATTAGCAATAGTCTCAGTCAAGATCTATTAATACAATTGCCATATGATATATTGCTGTCCATTTGGACTATGGATATAAAACTTATAATTGTTGTATTAATAATTTTGCCATCACGAGCTATATGAGGAAAGAGGGCTATTTCTATAAATATACCGAATCAGCCTCGTCGACTCGAGGTAGTAGATGTGCATATAATATAAACATCTCCAAACTGTTATAACTCTAGAAACGGATAGGTATAAACATTGACTTCTTCAAATAGAAAGACTGAAGTAAAGGTAAACAAGCATCTCTAGTATTATATTCTTAATGTTTATTTTGGCACTGGAACCAAATACACTTCAGATGTAATATATAACGATATGAACGGTTATATTTGCAGAACACTTTTTATAGATCTCAATGAATAATTTCTATACTATATCTAGCTTAAACAGTCTTAACAATATTATATCAATATATTTCCGGATCGTCCTAAATAAACAAGTATTATGAAGATAAACCTCATATATATTCTAGAGAGCCTCTTGAAATAGTTTATAATCTGTACAGTTACCTATTATCTTATTTTGATCTCTGGTAATCTCGCCCATTTTTGGTTCAATATCTAAGATTCAACGTCAATATCCACAAACCATCTATTGGATCATCATGAAAATCCTCTGGGGTCTATATCTCCGGCCGGAGCATATCGTGGTCGCTGACAACTATATGCGACATATCAGTCGTTTATTCTGCCCGCATCACTGTGGGGCCTACGAATAAGAAGACCTGAAGTTCTGTATTCCATTATTATTACGTTCACTGTCAAGCATTGGGGTTGATACCTAAGCAAGATATTGCTTTACATATACAACTAGTTGGCTGCGTATCTAGTCAAGGTCTAGTAGTCAACTAACCTGAGCTACACTCAGCATTAAGGCCATAGGCTAATAGATAGAAAGATCAGACTGTATTATGCTTTAAGTCAAGTTCTAGAAGTCGGCCTAAACTATTGGATAATATTGAACTTAAGTATTTCTATCTATCTCAGCCTTCCGATCCCTGATCTGGAAATACCAGCCCGGTTAACTACGCCCGGTTAGCAATGTTAAAATTGAAATGGAATACTCGAGGAACCTTGTGGGTCCGAAAGTCATAGTGAAGGGTTAGAAGTTACAGTATGGAATTTAGGACAGACTTCAGGGCGATCCTCAGTGCGAGCCACCATTAGCCACACCAACGACGATTAGTGCTTACAGCGTACCCAGATCTTCTGCCTTCGAAGACAGTAAGGCCTTGCATAGTAGCTTTGTTTACATTCATTTTCGACTATGTTGAACAATTCCGTATTTTTTCATTGAATTTTAATTCTTTACTTCGACGTAGAAGCTAGAATACGGCCCAGTCTAATTCTAAAGTACGTACTCAAATCTGTAGCGTGCATATGCGAGAGGGTGTCTCTATTCCTCCCGGTCGCTGTCTGCCTCCCTCTCAATCTGGTTCATTTTCTCATCCATCTTGTTGTATTTGGAAAAGACCACGTAAACAATAATCGCCGAGACAAACATAATGCCACTGAGGCAGGCAAACTGCACTAAGATCTGTGGTTTCCTCGAGGTGGGTGAAATCGCCAACCCAAGCAGTGAGCCCAGAGCGCAGAGGAGCAGGTTGACTGAAGCGACCAGACTCTTCATGGACCGGGGTGCTTTCGTATAGGCATATTCCATGCTACTGAGGAATGCGGTAATTTCAGACAGCGCTGTCAAGACGTAAATGGGCAGAATTGATAGGAAATTCACCTACGTATGCCAGGTATTGACACGACACATTGGATGGACTTGTACTTACAGAGTAAGGGGGTGAGCTGTAAGCGACTGATTGGGCGTCAGTAAGCATTTTACAATGCGAATAATAACAGTCCACATACGTGATTGTAGCCCTGCGGCCACTGCTATGGCCCCCGACATGATAAAGAAGCCAAAGGTGATGCGCGAAATGGGCCGGAATGGTATACCAACCCGACGTAATGAAGGGTAGAGTACTCGCTCGCTGGATTGGGGTCAGTATAGTTGCCGGTTGAGGTAGTGCAAAGAGGCTACTGACAACAAAGGTAGTAAAATGAGGATACTGAGAGGGTTAATGCTTCCTGCGACTGGTAGCTAGTCAGCGTCAGTCCTAATGAGGAGTTCCATATAATTTACGGAAGTCGTTAGGGAGCCCCATTGTATTCATGAGCCCGGCCAAACTGATGAGATTCCCAACTGTGTTGCCATAGCATAACCAGAAAATGGGGCTAGGGAGCTATTAGTGTGCTTCTCGAAGGGGTCTGCAATACTCATAAGAGCGAGCTATTGGCCGGTTAGTCAAACGTAGTAAGTCACTGGGTTATGGGGTCTACTCACATCACTCGACATGCCATCAAAGCCACCTTGATCTCGTCCACAAACTGGTCGTCCCAGGGTAGATCTATTGTTTCCCCTTGCTGCTGCCTCAAATAGGATGGTTTCGCATGATCCATTGTCCTGTTTTTCTTAAAGCCAATCCAGAGGGCGTGAGTAGCACGGATAGCAATTGAGCCCTGCGGTGGCCGGGTAACTAGTTCTTATGAGCAATGGCAAGGGCATTGATCAAAAAGCGTTTCTCACTATATTTGTTACGACAGAATATCAGTACCACAGTGGCACAGCCGTAGATGCAGAGCGGTATTAAGAACGTCGCCCAGAACTCAACCTTACGCTCCACCCACTGTTGTTGAGGTTAGTCAACATAATCAGAGTAATGATTGGGATATACATACCGGCGCAATGAGACCCGCGCAAGAGCCAATGTTAATTAGCCTACAACATCTTAGCGCCTTGCCCTGCTTGTACTCTATGCAACATACCAATAATAGCGACTGTAGATTATTTGAACAGTGACATCCGGGTCTAAAATCACACGACGGTTGTCGGACATGATCTTGATCACTGGCTTCTTGCCCGTGTACTGATCGGCCACGAGAGGCCCGACATTGCTTTTGATGCCACCCGCACTACTCATGTTACCCATAGCTGACCGTGAGTGTGGTGGATTTGACGTACCCCAATCCAATAATTATCAAGGCCACCAATAACCCAGGCCATCCGGCTCCATTCTCCAAGGTCACGGGCAAAGAGGTGAGGAAGAGAATCAAAGTGCCAATAGTGGCGGTGCTAATACAGTTCTTAGTAATGTTCTCTCAGGCATACTATTCAAAAAGTAGACGATATATCTAGAACTTACATGCTTCCAAGAAGTATTGTTTTCACACGACCCAGATGACAATCTGCTACGACAGCTCCTAAGATCGGCATCAGGAAGCACCAACATTGAAAGAAATAGCCGATGGCCGTAGCAGTTGCTTGTCCCTAGTCATAGCCCCAAAGTCTGTCAAAAAGGAAAGTCGATACACAACTGGATATGGACACGGTTCCTCAACATACCTTGGCAAGGGCACCGGGAAGACGGTCATCGTGTAGAGGGTTCTGAACATAGTTCTCTGTCAACATCGCTTAGCACGCGAACCTTTCCGAAGAGATTTGCACTGACGGAGTGGCCCTGTTATGGAGCGAAAGATGAATCTCTCAGCTGCTTCCGCAATCGCGACCATGAATATCATGTAGGGGATCTTGTCGGCAACTCGAGGCAGGGCTTCCAGCTGTTCAGGGGTAGGGCCGAGAGGTTCGTTGGTAAACGTTGTGTTGTTAGATATGGGCTCTTTTTCATTGTTGCCTGGGTTTCTGGACATTATTGGCTGACTGAAGTGGAAAACTGCCAGACGGAGAGGAATCAACAGACATTTGTTGTTCGGTCGGCTCCTCCATCCTTGCCCCCATTGCACTTGCTGCTGCTTTGGTGGGACTTCCATTGATGTTATTATCGGTTGCTTAGCTCTAGGTTCTACAATTGGTGGATTAGTAGGAGCTAAACGATGACTATGCTTGACCGGCCCAATCGGTCAATGTATGTTAAATCACCTCGTTCCCAGCTACCAAGCGTACCGGTTTCTAGATAAAATGAGTTTCAGGACTGTCCGAAGTTTATCTTGCCAACTTCATCATCGACTGTATCGCAGTCTCAACTCACTCCATACCAGAAACCCATTAGGTGGCTTACCGTGTGGAAGCAATGACTACTGATCATCCAGTTCACTGCTTCTCGTTACGCCTGGGAGCCACCCCAACATTGGATCTTGACAATATACACACTATACAAACCTCATGACCTATAAGGAACCAAATATTGGTTTTAGCCTTCCTAGTCCAATAATTCTACCATGCACCTGCATGGTGAGCGAGGGAACCTTAGCGCTGCTCCCGGCTTGCAATGTCTACCGAAGGTAAAAGGTTTGACGGTCGCAGGGGACTGATACAGTTGACCCTTGGGTGTCTCACGGTGCGAGTAGAGATGTGGCTGAGAATAGGGAGGAGTTTCCGGTAGATACAGGATTGTTAAAAGGTTAGGGCAGCGAAACAGCCGAATACCGCCGTTATATATATAATACTTGCTTCGCTCCGAGACGCAATAATTAAATAGCCATTTATCGCGCTAAATAGCTAGCTAATCTTGTACTTAGTACTTACTTAGGTTATCTAGCGAGTAGATAGAAAAATCAGAACATTTTCTAGACGGAGGCCTAAATTACTATGTAACATGGATATTAATTATTTCACTTCAATCAACCTGAACAACGTTGTGCTTAACGAGTACGCACTTTCAACCTCGTTCCTTGACCACCACCCAGGAGTTACTTGAGTATTGAACTAAAAAGTACTTTGTTCAGAGTCAATTTAGACACTAGATATCAATAATTACAGATATTTCAACAGCAAAAATTTCTCGAGTGTTTTTGAAAAATTCAAAAAGAAATGCTTCCGATGCGGGGAATCGAACCCCGAGCTGCTGTGTGAGAGACAGCGATGTTAGCCATTACACCACATCGGATGTTGTTATAATTTGATCAACTTTTTGCATACAACAGCATGCCACTAATTAATATTGATTGAGAAGGTTTTTGGCCTGATATGGGATGGTTTGACAAAAATCTACACAGCCCCACGTGACCCCACATTGGGCAACATTTGAATCACACCACCTACGATCTTGTATACACTCTCTATTCCGGCCTGTTTCCCGCTCTGCACATGCAATATGGTGGTAGTTCGACTTGGTCAGCTTTCTGACTTTACCCAGGCGCGATATGTCATCCATCTCTCCGACAAGAAACGCTTGGTGTTATTCCGCCTTCCCGTAATTGATCCGTCGAAGAAGGTAGATCGCGCGGCCAATGAAACCGATGATGGTTGGACTTATTACGCCATGGAGGCGGAATGCCCACATGCAGGTGGTCCTATGCAGGACTCTCAGATCGATATCGAAGATTCAGCATACGTGGCCTCGTGCCCATGGCATGCGTATGATTTTAATGTAGAGACTGGCGAATCGAGCGTTGGCATTAAGGCTTGCACATTCCCGGTCGATGTCCGTGGCGAATACGTGACCTTGTTGTACAATGCAGAGAACGGCTCTGAGGTCTCCCTGGTCAAGCTCGAGCCTGTCAGCGAAAAGTTCAAGTTGAAGGACGGCCGAGGTTCTAAGAACAAGACCGCCCCGCCACAGGACGTTTCGACAGCTCAGCAGATCGAGTCGGGTCCCGTTAAATATCTTGATGAAAACGCCACAGTGTGTGACTGGTGTGCTCATATTCTGAATACGGCCCACCCGGAACATAAAATTGAATTGACTCATCATTTGTTCTCTATTCTTACTGAGAAGGAATCGTCGTCGTCTCCCATGCCTCTTGGAAGAGGAACTGTTTTACCTCCCGCTCAACCTCCACGGGAAGGATTATCTGAAGTCCAACCCTGGGCAATACCTAAGGCTGGAAAAGGCGGCACATTGAAAAGCCGAATTGCCATGCTGCATGCGTTGGCCAATATTGAGCTCTGGGCCATCGATCTGGCAGTCGACATATGCATACGGTTTGCGACATTCCAGACGGACCCAACATCACCAGGCGGCTCACGGGAACTGCCTCGTGCGTTCTTTCATGACTGGCTCAAGGTAGCTAACGACGAAGCCAAACACTTCTCGCTACTGCGTGCGCGAATAGAAGAAATGGGTTCTTACTTTGGCGCATTGCCTGTTCATCACGGTCTCTGGGAATCGGCTACTATCACAGCTCATGATCTCAGGGCACGGATCAGTATTATTGCACTTGTACACGAAGCCCGAGGTCTAGATGTCAACCCAATGACTATTGACAAGTTCCGCAGGGCGGGCGATACTGAGAGCGTTCAGAGCTTAGAGATCATTCATAACGACGAAATCACGCACGTTACGACTGGCCACAGATGGTTGACATGGATCTGTCAAGAGGAGGGCACCGATCCAGTCCACGTTTTCCGCAGTAATGTACGGAAGTACTTCCGGGGCTACATCAAGGAGCCTTTCAATGCCGAAGCTAGGGCGCAAGCCGGCTTGGATGGGCGGTACTATCACAATCTGGAAGGAATACCCTTGGCTTGAATATCGTGAGAGCAATTACCCTAAATTTTCCAGCCCTGGCGAAATGCCGCCCTGGAATTTCAGCTTGATCGAGCGAATAGAGCGATGCCCCCATTGGGTATCCATGAGGAGTACATTGCGAACTATTATGTCTAAAGTTGATCTACCGGGCCTAGAGAAGGATTCCAGACTGTTGGCATCCCTTGCATGACTGTCTCCCACTCCGGTAATTCCATGATCGCCTTTGCATATGTATACAACTGGGGAGGGACCAAATCTTCAAGGTGGATGTCAATCAGTCTCGCTATAAATGCCACAATATGTGCATCCAGCACCGTTGGGCCCGTTTTGTCCCCAAATATCCACATCCCGCTGTGGTTGACTTTTTGGTATTCAACCAGAACCTCACAAAACAAGTGTTTCGCTTGGCCCGTCATACCTTCTTCGTGTTCATTATCTAAGTCGGGTACTACTTGCTTTCTGTCGCTAAATGGCGAACACTGTTACCATGGAATGGGAAAATGCGGAACGATCGGGCCAAGCTTACCAGTCTCGTTTATACTCTAGAGCGCGACGATGCTCAGGCGAGATGTCAGTACGAGCCAGAAGGTCATCTACTGCCGGATTTGGATTATTGTCTGCTTGAATGCGGTGAAGCTGGGACAGCAGGCGTTGTATGGTTGTTCGATGGGTCTCCGGGATCAAGCTTGGATGTTGTTCGCAGACCCAGTATGAGATGGATAAGCTATCTGTCAGAGGCGCTGAAATTGACTTGGCGGTTAAAGCTGGGACCTGCAGTGTAAATAAATCAGTACAATGCCCTTATCTAGCCAGTTCGACTCATGTCTGTTCTATAGGGAGACATGTATTTCTTCTCTGCAACCTTACCTTTCCTCTGGGATTTACGTCCAGGAGATAATCCTCGCTTAAATTTTCATTCCGATGTAGATTTACAAGGCAATATTTAATTTTAGCTAATTCTCGGGACGATTGGTATTTGTTTCGCAGTGCCAATGCAATTGTAAACTGGACCATGATCGAATGGAGAGAAAAGGGAAAAATATAAAGACAGGGATCGGAATCATTCCGACCTCGTAGTTTATGGTAGAGCCGGAGCAGCATGACGGAAGTGGTGGAATCTAGGAGGTTGAAGCGATTAGACCGAAGATTGTGGTTTTTTTTTACCTTTCGCCATAGATTTAGCTAATTAAGGCTTGGCTTATTCCGGTCAGCGCCGCGGACGCAATGACGCCACATATCTTGGCCTATATATAGTGCCACCTGCCTACACTTAAGCCATCTCAACGCTTGTATTAGCATACCCCAGCTGCTGAACATCCCCGGCATTTATTGTACAATAAGAAGATCTGGATCTGTGGGCCTGTGAAGACTTGATTGGTACGTATTCGTGTCTGGTTTACTACATGTCACTGCCTGATGACAGGCAACTACGAGTGCACATTCAATGTTCAATCTTGATCGTATGATTCTTTTCTTGAGCGAGCCCTTCAATTGAGGGCGGCCATTTGACTGACAATCTCAGCCGCGTTCTGTGTATTGGCGATCGAGGTCAGATAGATCAGCCTCTGCCCCGTAACCAGATGCACGCAACGTTGGTATTCGAATCTGACCCGCTTGAAGCAAGTCCTCAGACATATCCGGCAATGCGGGCGGGCTTACTTGTAAGTCTGGGTAGAACGTATCGCAATTAATGAAGTAAGCTGAATGGTTCAGACTATGGCTGATCGCTGATGCGCGCGTTCTACATATATACATGTCAAACTATACAATATCCGCTAAAATCGTCCCACCGTCACATAGGTTGGGACAGCTTGTCCTATCCAGCTGAAGGAGTGGATCCAGTCCGAAGCCTGCTCTTGAAAATATAGACCAGACTGATCACTATCCCCAGCCCACCAAGCCCGATTCCCAGGTACAAAGCCCCCCGGTACCCGATCAGAAGGTCGTGTGGGGTGTGCCCTCCGTGGTTGACATGGCCTTCCACGGTGCCGGCAAATCCAAGACCCAGTGAAATGCTGTAGTTGACCACCGTGGAGACCAACGATGCCGCCACACCTTGGCGACTGCGACCGACCGCATTGGAGAGAACCACGGTCGCTGCTGGAAAGGACATATCCATACCCCAGGGCATGACCAACAGCGTGACGAAGGTCAAGCCCCAGTATGTCTGCTGAACCGGGGCAATTGCAGTAAAGATGTTGCCGAGGGTGAACGAAATTAAAGCCAGCAGCATGATCCAGCCTGGCTGCACTTTATTCATCAAAATACCCGCCGTGAACGAGGCTGCGAATCCGGTCACAGCGGGCGGTACGAATTCCGCGGCTGCCTGTAAGGGCGTTTGATCCCGTAGGTTCTTCAGAAGCAGCCAAAAGTAATACACCCAGATGCCAAAACTAGCCCAACCACATGCAACACACGCGAGAATAAAGGACACATCGAGATTGAGTGCGTCAAAAGGTACAAGGGGTTTGTCGGCGAAGCGAATCTCGTACACTCCAAAGACAACAAGAAATAGAATACCGATGATGAGAAGAACGTACACGTAGTCGGCTTGCCAACCGACTACTGGGGCTTGGTTCCAGGCGAAATTGATAAGAACCAACCCGGTTACTCCCCAAAAAGCACCAAGAATATCGAGCTCCGAGCAGAGCCTCATGAACGATAGCCCGGTTGCGATCGATGGCGTCGGTGGGATGTAGATTATGGACAGAACCGTCAGGAAAGCACAATAGATCGCCATCGACCAGAATGCCCACGGCCACCAGGCCAATTGCGCGAAAAGCGCTGCGAACACGGCGCCCAGGACCGCTCCATTTGGGGCCATTGCACCGAACAATGCGAAGACCATGTACTTTTTTTTTCCCTGGCCGGTAGGTGGCTCCCAGCAGAGCCAGGCCGTTAGGAAGGAGCATCGCTGGCCCCAGTCCCGACATAGTGCGGGCAAAGATAAACAGAACTTTATTAGAGTAAACACTTAACCCTGCAACCATAGACCAGGTCGCAAGCCAGCCAAAACCGAAAGCATACATGAAGCGATAGCCAAATATATCCCCGCAACGGCCGAAGAATAGTACAAATGTGCCGACAGTCAACGAGTATCCAGCGATTAACCAACTCAGAACTCCGGGGTCGGTAGTATGAAAACTGTCTCCAATAGTATCCAGGGGAGACAGACAGATACCCAGGGCAGCCTGCGTCATGAATTGAGACATGCAAATAGTGAATATGAAGATGATTTCGTTTAGCGGAGCTTGTGACTCGACTGTTGATCTGATGGTCTCTGATCTGGATAAGCGCTCCTCGGTCACATCGACCGGGGCAACGGCGAGATCGGTATCCTCGTGGATAGTCATGGATAGATCTTTTGGAACGTAACAAAGGGAGTGGCATGTCGGTTTAGGTCGGACTCCGACCCTGCGCTCATTTTAATTGCATGTCAAATGGTGAGCAGATCTTGCCGAGTAGTCTTCCGGTGGAAACATAGAAACATTTGGTGCTCCGAGCTCTAGAGTATACTCTGTGGGTATTATCAAGCAAGGTGAAGATCCAATGCCGCAGCCGGCTGCCGGGTGGTACCAGGCCCCACTGATAGACACCACTCACAATACGTACCGGCACCCTGTGAACATTTCAACGCCATTAACATCCTTACAACCAAGCAATCTTGATTAACAATGTTACGGATGATTCCGCACGCACCGGAGCACTAGAAGCCGATATAGGGCAATATTACCAATCCTGCCAGCTGCTCAATTATTCAGCAGTGAGGATCCACACAGCTCATCTATATAACGGGCGCCGACCCCGTCTTGCTAGGGAACGAATCCAACCACAATTGCAGCATTTTCCACAACTACCCTTTGTTCCAAGATGTCCGCACCGGTAGGTTACCTTATTGAGGGAATCTACGGAGAAGGCCACTGCTAACAAGTTGCATTCGATCACCAGCAGCAGAATCGCGTTATTAATCATATCGGAATTTCCGTCCCCGACAGCGAAGCAGCGGCAGTCTGGTACAAGAAGCTGCTCGGTTTCCAATCGATTGGTCCGATCCGCCATATCAAGCGCAGCACGCAACCAACCCACTGTTCCTTTAGCGTTTTCCCGGCCTCCCTCAAGGAATTCAAAATGGCCTTTTTGACTACCGGCAACGGAGTGGGATTTGAGATCTTTGAATTCATCGAGCCCCAGACATACGTGCCACAACCAGAGTTTGAGTACCATCGCGGGGGGGTGTTCCATCTGTGTGTGACGGATGCAGACCCGAATGCCCTAGCTGACAAGATAGTGGAGGCCGGTGGCAAGCGGATCGGAGTATCAGCTCACCCTTATACGGGGCACACCATGGTGTACGTGTCTGATCCATGGGGCAATGCTATTGAGATTCTGGATGCTAGCTACGAGCGTATTATCGGTTTGATGCAAAACCAGGCTTAGCTCAACAGCGCGGTCTTTGTCGAGGGGGCGTTAGACAACTGCTTGCTGTGTGTATGTACTGTACTATTGGGTCAGTCGGGACCATGGAATATTGATTGCGAAACCTCGTGTCCAAAATATCTTGCTATATAAAGTAACCAGAAGTCACGGTTTATGCCTCACATTTATTCAATAATGTTTTGTAACCAAAATCAGAATAGCACTCCTATGTATAAAGCATACTCTACTAGTATGGACTTTAGATATAGAGACCTAGTTCTACTCAACTGGTTATCTTACTTCTCTGACCTAAATCCGAATCATATTATCAAAGCTCTTTCGAATATCATAACAAACTGGATTCAGACTGGATATTTTCGATATCCTGAGAATTTAGAGCGGCTTTGCTAGATTGTTCAGAATGTCTGGGATTTTATTGATAGAGAAACTCTAGATACTAGCATCCAGTATAAATAACTAGCGCATGCGTTGGGTGGAGGGATCGGCAACCTGGCCCACTTGAAAAAATCTCGTGGCCAGAGACCGTAAGTCGGAGATGACAAATCAACCACGGCCCCGTCGGCCCCGTCGGCCCCGCCAGAGCAGACTACAGTAATGGAGGGATTCTTGCTTCGGGAATCAGCCGAACAGCTGACGATCAATGCGGAAAGGTGTCGTGGAGGAACAAGATGTTACGTGTGGAAATTGATAGTTACATAGAGTATACCCAAAAGGAAGGTACCGTACTGCATTTGCGACCACCTTTCCACATCAATACGAGGAAACCGCCGTAGATCAACAGAAATCCAAATGAGCACCCCCAATGTCTTGATTCACCCCTCGTCTTGAGCGGGAAATGATGGAGCGCCCCCGGATAGTATCTGATGCAAGGCGGATCTGATAGCGTTGGCCTGGGTCGACCAAGCCTGGTCATGCCCTAAGACCCTGATCGACTCCCTGAAAATGCGTGGCTGGCTACTCTGGCCGTTGAGCACCCCAATCCCACTGATATGAAGATGCTTAGACAAGTCAAATGTCCCGGCGATCCACTTCTTCCGCACCTCCTCGTTCATGTCTTGGTCAATTCGAAGAATCTCCTCGCTGTCTCCACCGGCCAGGCGTGGTGGCTGACCTGAGATCACCAATCTATCGTAATTCCAGATGTATAGAACGGCCATAAGAAGCATAAAGGAATCGTACGGGTCGAACTGACGCTGGGAACGAATTATTTGGAATAACCGAGCAGCATGCGAGAGGCTTTGTCGAGCCCGTCTCGGCTCTGTTTGCAGTCGCTGTGTAATGTGTTGCGTCGCAGCGAAAACCTCCGGGGGCCGTGCCATCCATCCCACAGACGCATACAATTGACGATAGTGGATGAAGCGAATCAGTCGAAGAAGAAGAGAGAACTTTGTCACAATGGGGAGGAGGGGCGGCTCTTGGCGGCGTCGCGTAACCGCTTGCTCAAAAGCCTCAAGGACAGCGTCAATGTTATCCCGATCGTGAGTGTGTTCATCGATACCCTCCCCAGAAAGTAGGTTCCTGTAGTCCGGCATCTTATGCATGCCGAAAGAAGAGTACAAGGATTGCTGTTCGGTGATGTGTCTTTCCGCAAGATACACCGCAATTACCGATATCCAAAGCTCTAAGTCACTCAATCGGCGGATACGCTCGTCATCAACGGCTCTCACCTTGAGTAAAGAAAAAGGATGGAGCAATTCCGTTGGATCTGATCCAATAGATTAGTGGGAAAAGTCTTTCTCGAATCCGATAGATGGTGAAGTCTACCTCTCTGGAGGCTCCTGGCCCTCTCCCAGTCATGGAAGGTTGTAGACTGCCACATTTGATCATTGCAGGGCAGCCGGAGGTGCATGTCGCCAAGCGTAATAATGCTCGGCAGGTCAAACAAGATTGTTTGGAAGCATTCGGTCACTTTGAAGGTTAGCAAAGAGAGGCTAGACATAGAGAAAGAATTAACGACACGAAGATTCTGCTTACGCCAAGTAAAGTATACAACTCTCTTCCAAGACTCGATTGTGATCCATTGATGCCAATCTGTGGTTGGCACACTAGCACTTGATAACATGTCGTTCTTCGCAAAGAGAACACAGGGAACGAGGAAGGGGCGACACATTGTGACCAGCAGGTTACGTTGATATTGCAAATGCATTATACCTTCGCGTGTTCCGCCAAAGAGCAGGGCGAAGTTGAAAAGCAATGTGGCCTGGGCAAGTTCAAGGTTGTTTTGAAGTGACACAATAGAATTGAGCTAATGAACCATGGCAGGTCAATGGTGAGCGAAGCTTATCCTGTGGAGTGTAACGGTGCCCTACCTTTTGAAGCAAAGATACTCGAATGATTTTCACTAGATCAAAGAATATTCTAGTACGACCGGGAAGTCGAGAATACTGGCTTCCCACGGCGGCGACGGCGATATACAAGAGCCATGACGAACTTCGTGCTTGGAAGGAACCTTGGTGAAGAATGGGAAAGCCTCGGTGAAAATGCTCAAAGTAAAGTTGTGTACATGTGTGTAGAACTTGCAATGAATAAAGGCTTTGGGGTAGTGCTTCTGGCGAAGACCGACTCTCATCCGCATAGTTAGCACATATCTTTTGATAAGTTGAGATCGAAGGCTTGGGAACATGTCCGTAATCCTCAGATATCAAAATGTCGCGATCTTCCTGAGTCAGGGGGTCTGACACATAATTGCCTGACTGGGCATTGTAGGGGTCCCTAGCACCCTCCTCGGCATGTACTGAATGATCCTGCGAATTCGGGAGCTCAGCAGGATAATCACTTCCAAGTGACATACTGATTGGTAGATTCCCGGTCCCTGCCATACCGGAAGACGTATGAAGACCTGAAGAGGTAGTTGAGGCCATACCAGGATGTTCAAAGGCATTGTCCAGAGGCCAAAAAAGGAACGGGTCAAAGAGAGAAGTAGTATCGGTGTATTGAGAGTTTTCCTGAGCCTGGCGAGGGGATAGGATGTCTGCAGATGGCCCGCCCGCAAAGTCTACCATGCTCGAACCACTAGGGTCGGTTTGGATTGTTCTTACCGGGGATAGCCCGTATACACTAGATGACCGAAACGGGTCATTGTGTCCCAGTGTATGATTTGTTTGATTACTTGTGTTTTGTTCCGTTGCATTTGGACGGACCTCCTGTGTTTGGATCCTGGAGGCTGTAGGAAACTGGCAAGGCAATCCCTTTCGACTGCAGCGATCACATGGACGGGATCCAGAACAGCGCTGTTTTAACTTGACACAGTTGATACATGCATGGAGCGCCCGCGGGAGCGTCGTGTGGGCTGTGGTTGATACTTGCCCATGAAGTGCTAAGTGACGTTGCAACGTATCCCTGAGGGAGTGGTGTAAGTGTATCTGCACGGTGACAAAAGCCCCGTGAAAACTCACCTCCGTGTGAACCGTTTATTGCAAATGTCACATCTGAAGTCCTTGCGCTTGGAATGACTACTGAGATGACGCTCAAAGTGCTCACGACGCCGGAAGGAGGCGGAGCAGACGCCACAATTGTAGCCTCTAGGCAGAGCGGATAGCTCGCTCGAGTTTGGGGGTGAGTGAATGTTAGGATCATTATGTTGGGGGTAGAGCGAAGACTTGTCAGAGAGATTTGCCATAGCGACGGTACGGCACAGGACATGGCCCGTCGGATTATCTCAGTCGGTTCAGTCTCCCTGCTTTTTATGTAGCCGCTGCTTATATAAACAGCTTATATCACCCCGCAGCTTCTATCTTGCACAGTAACAAAAACAGCAGATTTATAGTTACTAAGGCAAAGAAGTATATATATAATGTATTATTTTTTTTAAAAAAAACTATCTAAACTCACATCCTGTGACAAAAAAGGAAGGAAAATATGTATAAAAAAAAAGGACCTGCGCTTTGATTAGTCTATGACTCTATCTAGACTAAGATTTATAATTTGGAGCTATATCTAATGCAGACTTTGACTCTAGGGGGTCTGAGCCTGCCGAGATAACTATTGGATTACTGCAGGGACGTCCTCGAGGGCTCTTGACTATTCTATTACAATACTAAGATGAAAACAATGTCAATTAATAAGCCAGGGCCGAGTGGACCCTGACGCCGGAGGCACTTGCTTACCATCCCGAGGGACATTACCACTATATAAGGAGTCGAATAAGACAGTCAAGGATGTTAACAACGCAACGATACGAAGGCCTAACAGCAAAGCCATATCCAGAGCGGTTACCTGGCACTTAACTGACTCTATTCAACCCCGTGGCATGACGAACAACCACCTAACCAGAACTTCCACCTTCCTCGACGCAACAATGTCCAGCCCAGTCCGACCTCCTTTGAACCCAGAGCTCGCCTCCGTACACAGCACAGTCCCCTTCATAGACATTGGCACCCCCTCTGCACTCTCCTCCTACCGCACTGCCATCGTCCCCATCTTCACTTTCGAAAACGCTCTGCAAGGCAAATTATCCACCATCGCCACAACCGAACTTACCATCCCAGGCCCAGCAGGCCCCATGATCGCCACAATTTTCCGGTCCAGAAACCCCACGCGCTCCATCTCCGAAACCCCGGGCATCCTGCATATCCATGGCGGCGGGCTCGCAACAGGCAGCCGCTTCCTGGGCTTGACAATGCTCGACTGGGTCGAGGAGCTTGGCACTGTCATTCTCACAGCCGAGTACAGACTCGCCCCGGAGCACCCGCAGCCTGCGGCGCTGGAGGACAGCTATGCGGCCCTACAGTACATGTCGGCTCATTCGGAAGAGTTGGGGTTTAATCTGGAGAAGCTTTTTGTCGCTGGTGGCTCGGCGGGTGGGACTCTCGCTGCGGGCGTGACCCTCCTTGCGCGGGACCGACAGGGTCCTAAGCTCGCGGGACAGGTGCTTATGTACCCCTGGGTCTCCGACGCCATGACCACGCACTCGATTGAGCAGTTTGGGGACATTTCGCCGGTGACGAAGGAGAGCTTAGCGACTGTGAATGACTACACCTTTGCAGCCAGTCTAGAAGGGTTGCCGCCGACGCTGATTGATGTTGGTGAGGCGGACGTATTTCGTGACCAGGCCATTGAGTATGCGAGTAAACTGTGGAGGGATGGGGTCTCGATGAGCTGCATGTTTGGCCGGGAGCGTATCATGGTTATGATATTGTTATGCCAGATGCTGAAATCAGTAAGAAGACTTTCCAGGCGAGGCTGGAGTGGTTGAAGGGGGTGCTTAGCCAGTAGAAATTGTTTCTGTTTTCTTGTTAAGGTTGTTGTATGGTTGGGTATTTGCTTCCAAGCCAATATATGTATAGAGTGTTCAGTTGCCACTTAATAGATGTATTGTTCAGATTTCTCCTTAAGTCTTCCCTTCGCCTTATGTCTCCCACAGTGATACCCCAGCAACATCAAGACGCTTGATCCCATCCACTTGGAGCCTTCAACCCTGCTGCTGAGCATCTCGAGCATTTCTTTTACAACAAGATGACCTGTAAACCTGTGAAGGGTTCATTGGTACTTATTCGTGTCTGGCTTTCTATATGTCACTGCCTGCATGACAAAAGGAATACAGTGCACATTCAATGTTCAATCTTGATAATCGTACAGTTCATCCGTGAAGGCAACCGATATCCCACCAAAGGTGCTCAGTTGGCGCATTGATCTATCTTGATAATATTCTCCACAAGCTGCAGGGCCAACGTGATTCCTGCGGTGTGGCCAAATTCCTGAAGACGTTGAATGATCCACTTTCGGCCTTCACCTTCCATGACCGGCGACTTCCCTGCCGTGTAGAGAGACCAGGTCATCATATATCCAGCCGAGCCGTTGATAGGAGACGAAATATCGATAGCATATCCTATGTCAGATGCTGACGGTATGACCCCCAAAGCCTGTGGAACTGTGGCTATTATATCCTTGCCAAGCTTTGACACGATTTCTTGTGTGTCTAAACGCTGTAGCTCTATATGGGCCTGGGTAACTGGTTCGAGGTCTGTAGCAAGAATTTGGTTCGAGATATAGCGCATAGAGTCGCAGACTTTAATCTGAAGGGTTCGTGCGTTGTTCCAAACCCTGATAGCCCAAGAGTTCATGTAGACGTCAAATCGCTCATTGTAAAAGACCGTTGGGTCACCACCTGGTTTTCGGGAAGTTGTATAGCCGGATTGCATAGAGAGGACCCCAACAATATGTTGCAAGCTCCCCTGAAGACCGGTCGCCTGTTGGAGTAATGTAGGCCAAGCGATTTGCCCCCTATTCTTCCTGACACACCATAAAAATTTGGTGCACTGGGTGGCCACTACACCGAGGCGCCAGAATGCACTCATAGGGTCCATGTGCTTGGTTGCTTCTTCCTGCAGCTGACACAAGTCTTCTGGGAACGGTTGGCCACTATGCATACAGACAGCCACCATATCCGCACGGACTTGGTTGAACATAAACAATGAAGCCCTTGTTGAGAATTGACTCTTGCCTCGGGCAACCACCAGAGCTGCAGCTCCCTGGACATGCCGAGCCCACGATGAAAAGTCAGAAACGTGCTCGAACAGTCCTAGCGAGATCACTGACATCAAGGTGCTATCTTTGATAGACTCGGTGGGTGATGCCAGCGCCACATTTACCTGATTGATCGCTTCTGAGTACTTCGCGCGGGCATGCTTGGCTAGTTGTGGTTGCCCAGTTGTATTAGCCAATGTAACAAGTCCAATAGCTGCCATACTGGCCACCAGCATTGGTGAGCAGTGGCTATCGACGACATAGTCAGCCGGAATATAGTTAAGGTATCCGCAAGAAGAGGATCGGTAGCCGGTGACAAAGTTGCAGAGGAAATAATTGACTCCTATTTCATCATAGCTGTTGCTCAAGTTATGAAGCGACAGTGGGTCAGAGTTGTAATTCCTAGCCATAATGGCCCTGTTCTCTCTCTTTCCCCTCTTCTCTTTGGACCGTTTTATGGTGTGATCTGTCTGGTTGCGGAAGACGAGGTCCCATTTGTCTCGGTACCCAGGACATTCTTCGTGCGTGCGAATGCACTGTCCACAGTGAGGAAGCTGCTGATCACACTGTGAAGTGATAACGCGGATTAGAACACAAGTTGGCGCCACGAGAGGGAGCAGGAAGAAGGTAGACAATACGCACCCGTCGCTTAACAGCCCGACAGTTGCCACAACCCCGGGATACTCTTGCATGTAACTCACTGCGTAGTGACATTATGACCTATCACCATGCGGAGGGGTGCAACAGTAACAGTGCTCTAGACTGCAAGGTCTCTGTTGCCAAGCTAATCCGGTAAATTCTAAGGAAGCTTAACCTAGACAAGCTCTCGCTGCGATCGAGGTTTTCAGGGGTTTGTTCACACAAGGGACATTATGTCTTCATGTACCAATATATACTCCACGAGACTCGATTACGACGGCATTCTCGTTACATTCTCAGCTGAACAGAGCCCACAACTCGTGGATAGGCGGCCATGGCCCCGATTAACTAATGCTGGTTGGTGACTTCACTTGATGATCAACTCTACACTCTACACGGAGCACCCAACCAAGGCTTGACATTGCAGAGATCTTGTTTTCGATTAGTTGAATAGTTCGTAATAGCCCCCATTGTTACCTTATAATTAGATGCTAGTGATGCCATCTTATCAGGGCTTCGGTGCATATGCTGGGGAGCCGCTAAACCCGATCCCGTTAGCTTTGCGACGGCGACAGTGTAATTGGCCTCTGGTTGACCCACAGCCACGTTTCAGCCGAAGAGCATAACGAAGATAGAATGAGCATTGAGCACAGACCAGCACACACCATGAAAGGCCCATTGCTCTCGTTAAGTTTTGGTGCATAGTAGTTGAAATGCCCTGCCAATGACAATGCTCACCTCAATACAGCCCCCTTCCCGCGAAGGCATGTCAACCACAAGGCTGTAGGGCGTAGTCGAGGGGCTATGCTGAAGGATAAGAGTGACAGGAGATATAAAAAGAGCCATATTAACTTCTTCTCAGCCAGTATTCCGCAAGTCCTTTTCCATTTTGGCCTGTTTCATTCTCTCCGTACTTCTTTTCTTTCTGTTTATCTACTCTTTCACTACCGCTATGGGCAAACTCGATGAACGGGATGGCATCGCTATCCTCCAACTTATTATCTTTCCATTTATCTTTGCTACTGCCGTTTTCATTTGGAATCGGACTGGTTGGAGAGTCGGAAGTAAGATTTGGCGATATCCCGTCACGCTCTCGCTCCTTCGAATTGCCGGCAGTATATCTACCATGATAGCGATCGATCATCGCTCAACTGGCGTTACGCGCGCCGAGAATGTGTGCGAGCTGATTGGTCTTACACCGTTGCTGCTGACCTACGTCGGAATCTTGAGACAAATGTGAGTTTTTGACAAGAAAACCCTGGAGGTTGATAAGTGTGGGCTAATAGTAGTGTCATTCTCTCAGTGACACGGAAAAAAGAATACCTCGAAGACCCCTCACGCTGGTGACTGTCTTGGGTTTTGTCGGCCTAATTCTTGGAATTGCGGGAGTTAGCACTGCCAACGTTACATATGCCAAGGTTGACGGGCATTGGACTTACACCTACCATCCAGGCGCTCTTGTCAAGGCGTCTATGGGTATCTTCATTGCTGTATTCGTTATCACCATCTTGATGACGGGTTGGTTATTCTTCCAGCTTTGTTTCGCGCTGAGACGGTTTCAGATCAAGCTGTTCATGGCGACTGCCATTTCCACTCCTTTCCTGGTTGTCAGGTTGGTTTACTCAGCGCTCGGTGATTACGACAGCAACGATCAGCGATTTGCTGTGATCAAGGGCAACGCTACTATCTATCTATGCATGGCGGTGTTGGAGGAGATCGCTGCCATGGTTATCACTATGGCCTTGAGCATGTCAGCTGTTCTTGAGAAAGATTTTGTAAGGCTCCGTCGACCTGAGCAGGAACCCGAGGCCGGAACCGAGTCAAAATACAACCCAGTCTAGTTCTCCACTAGGCAGGTGAAGGATGGATTCTTAAGAGTATAAATTCATATAAGTCTTGTTTCTTTTCTTTTCTTTTCTTTTCTTTTTTTAATTTTCTTTTTTAGTTTCCTTTTTTGGTTTCAAAATTTGCATATTTCGAGAAGGGTAAAGAGTACTTCAATTACGGCACCAATGTGGGAATAGAAGGGCTGGATTAAATGAACAGCGAGTTTTTCGATTAACCATTAAATGTCGAGTGATTAACTTTCCAATGCCTGCCAATTTTTTTTAATCATTCACTTTGAGACCAAGGAAGGTAGCTCATACAATGCATGGACGGTCAATGCTTAATTCTTTGCCAAGTCGATGATGAATGCTCGGCGATGGATCCTTCAAAGCTTCTAGCTTCATTGGAACACGATTGAAGCCTCCCATTGTGATTGATAGCCCCACAAATATTAACTTACCTGCAAGGTAGACACACGAAGGAGCAGGGCTTTCCCAGGCAATAGGGATGGACAGTCGCCCAATGTTGGCTGCCAACATGATTGATCAAGCTTCCTCTTTCTCCACTTGTGATACGTGTTATTCTTCCTTCCACCATACTAAAGAAGGTAATTGAGATGCTCGGGTAAATCAACCGTGGGGGCGGTTTTATGCAAGACGTCGGGATTAATATCTTCGTTGGCACTATCTGGGTGCCGATCTCATTCAACCCATTCCCTACGCCAAACTTGATGTGGTAACTGAGATGTTTGGCCAATTATAGAGGAACCCCGGGGGCCATTTTATCTTAGTTAGCACTAGCGGGTGCCGATCTCAGTCCTAAGCCACCGTCAGCCGCAGCGCCGGCACACTTACCGACCGTAGGGAGAATGATGGAAGTCGTTGGGAATATGCCGGTACATGGAACTAGAATAGATATACGAGACCATGTGGAGAGGCTAGATATTGGGGGCCGAGTCAGCCTTGTCCAGCAATAAGTCACCTCGCGGATTCATCCATTTTGAGAATCGGTATGGGCTGTGCCCTGTGGCCCTATGTTGACCCGTGTACCGGAGTACCTATATAACGCTAGATTGAGTACCTGCTTTCCTAGTTCAAGATACGTTTTCAATTACTCCACGGCTTTCTTGATACCTGTTTTAATACCGCTCGTGACTTGAAAATGAGGCAGTCTTCACCTTTCATCGCCGGACTGCTGTCCTTGGCATCACTCACACAAGCGGAATTAGGGAAGATCCAATGGAAAGGACTCTGTGACCCAACAAATGCTACGGGGCCGATGATCTGTGGAACACTCGATGTGCCATTGGACTACACGGACTCTCAGTCCAACAAGACTTTGACTCTTGACATTGCCAAGTGGCCGGCGACCAAGACACCGGCCGCAGAACCTATCATCTTCAACTTTGGGGGGCCTGGGGTAAATTCATTCGAGGGTCTTGGATCATATGGAGAGGAATTCCAAACGTAAGTTGCCAGGTAAATCTTTCCAGTCAAATACTGAAGTACATTTATTCTTTAGTATCCTTGGAGGTCATAATGACCTGATAGCCTTCAACTCTCGGTTTGTGACCCCAGTACCCGTGAGCCCGCAAACCATACTAAACCTCTCTTGCAGCGGTGTTGGAAACACCATCCCGTTTTCATGCTATAGCAACGATTCCTCCAGAGAGCTTGCATCGCTCCAGGCTCCAGCGGATGGCACAGCATCCAACATAGCCCGGGGGCAAATATGGGCCCAGAGCGCAAATATTGCACGGGCGTGCTATGACCAGAACGGCGAGAACGGAAGTCTCATTGGCACGAGCTTTGCGGCAAGAGACACGATGCAGGTCCTTGATGCTCTCAGTGGAAAGGATGCTTTGCTGAACTACTGGGGTAAGAGCCACGATTCCACCTAGATCCATGGTACACCTTCCTGACTGCCACTCCCCAGGGATCTCCTATGGTACTACAGTGGGCGCTGTGATGGCAGCCATGTTCCCCGAAAGAATGGGATATGTGGCACTCGATGGCGTTGATAATCCGGCCGAGTACCTCAACGGATTGTAAGTACTGCCTTCTCTTATCTATAGCAGGTTATTAAGTAATTACATACTTGTTTATACTGGACGAGGCTGATCATTCCTTCTCTTTTCTACACAGCAATGCACAAGCCGTTGTCGACGTCGACGCGGTGTTACAAGGCTTCTGCGCGGGCTGTTTTGACGCGCCAGACCTATGCCCTCTGGCGAAATTGTACAGTAGTGCCGCCAACCTCGAAGCCGCGATTTACATGATGCTCGAATCGCTCAAGTTCAATCCCATCCCCATCCCAGACAATGGAGGGGTCGTGACTTACACCGACGTCAAAGCCACCATCTTCGAGGCGCTATACGCTCCAACCTCCTGGCCGTTGACCTCAGAGCTCATTTATTACGTACAGACCCGCAACGCAAGTGTCCTGGGCAGTGCCGAGGTATACTCGACCCTGAAGTCATACGGCATGTCGGCGTCTTTGACTTCATCTTCGAAGGAGGTAGAGAGCGGGATCAGATGTTCTGACAAGGCACAATCAGCCAGCCTGACGGACGTGCTACCGTACAGCAAGGCCAGGGCGTTGCTGAGCAAGATGGCAAGCGATGGTTCTAACACCGACATGCGATGCGCACAATGGAACCGGAAGATGTATGCCAAGGAACGGTACACTGGCGACTTCGATGTGAAGACAGCTCATCCTGTGTTGGTGCTAAGCAACACCTTCGACCCATCTACTCCGCTCGCCGCGGCAAAGAACCTGACCGCTACCTTTGAGGGAAGCGTCTTACTCGAGCAAAATGGTTACGGGGTAAGAGTTTCTTGATCCCATTTCATGCGAGCACACAGCTAACCTACTCGTGACAGCATACTACTCTGGCCATGCCGTCTCTTTGTACAGCCAAGGCGATCAGGGCTTACTTTGCCAATGGCACATTGCCCGTGGACGGGACGATCTGTCAGACCGATGTGCCCCTTTTCACCAACCTCACGTATGCCGATGTGTGGCCGAAGAATTTCAAGCGGGATGTTCGGTCTGCGGATGATGCGAAACTTCTCCGGGCCTTGCTGTCGCTTCCTGAGAAGATGTCTCGACGCAGGCTCTGGTGATGAGGTCCTTGTTTCATTGCCCTGGTCACCTACCTCTCCTTGTTTCAGGAAAAAGATGTGGATTGGTCCTGGTATATCATGGGCTGAATAGCTCGTTCACTTGTGAGGTGGAACGACCCCACAGGCTTAGTCGATTAAGGCCAGGATGATAGAACGAACCAAAATCGGCGGCGTGGTCAGCGGTCGGCGAGGGTGTAAAGAGTATTGACCTATAGAAATCATGAATATCTAATTAGTATAATAGTCAACGAGTTTATTAATATACCTGCTTCACTCCAGAATTTTCAATGCTGACTGGCTTAGAGCCTTTTCCTGTCGCCTATTTCTCAATGCTGAGTATATTGGGCAAGGCTCCTTTTTCAAGGGGCTACGAAATAGAAGCAAGGGTCTTACCCAGGCCCAAGACACGCCAGCAGTAGTATCGGTATGCTGTAGCTGGTATGCAGGAATAGCTGTAAAAGACCATAGCTAGTGTATTTAGCAAAATAATTACATCAGGATATAGTAAAATCTCACTATACGCAACTCCGTTGTACTAAGTATACGCTTTATAAGCAATCAATCCAATTGGGTGTCCAAAATAAACCACACTACAAAATCCCCCAAAACCTCAATATAGAGAAGTTTCATAAATTCGTCTAATTCTCCCTACAGAATTCCTTGAACGGGAGTAAGATATTTCCTTCTAACGAATTATATATGTCTTAAGGTGTATAATAATCAGGTGTCATAATTATTTAAACTTTAAAGTCTCTCTTCTACAACACAGTAACAACTAAAATATATATATTCCGCCACCACACCACAACTCACCATTAGGGTACCATTAACTAGAGATAGCATTGATGAATATAGAATATAAATTATATAGAGACTTTAAAATTCTACTTATGACTAGTCTATATAAAGATCTCACTATAAGCCATCCCTCGATATAAGCAATCTGAATCGCTTGCTAAATTAATTGCTCATGGCGAGATTCTGCTCTACTGTAAAGACAACCCAATAGCCAACTCAGATGTTCTTGCAATAATGGCATTCGTATTCTCGCATTCAACTAAGCAACAAAAGCCAAACCTTATTCATTGCCGTAGTGGGACCCGGCAAGGTCAAATATGTCGGTTAGGGCGTAGGGGCACGTCCCATTTCGCGAGGTATGTCCCTTGCATTCTTATAGTTTGGAATGTTTAGTCAGTGTTGACATGATTCCAACAGGTGTCCTTTGGCCAAGCCGATAATGCAGAGGTTTCTCGCGCCATTGTACATTGTTTGTATCGTCTCCTCACCGTGGCTGAGATTAATTTAGAATACTTGTCCCTAGCTTTATGGATACAGGAATGAGACTGGTTCACCCCCCCCCCCCCCCCTTCCCCCTTAATGGAGCTCTACTGATCCTAAGTAATTTACCAATAGGTTGACTACGGTGTATTGGCTATTATCTTGGCATATCAAAGACTTGCAACTAGACTTGACAGGCATGAAGATGGTCCATGTCGGCCGTGAGTTGGACAACCTTGAGATTCGACAAGCGTTTGGGTGGGAAGGGGTGTTGGCCTGAAAATGGGGTCAATTGAGTCAACTATTCCCCCTACTAAGGCTAAAAATGACATCGATAAGCGGAAAGAAACGAAGAGACCATGAGGCATACTTTTAATGGAGTTGTCAAAATGAACTTAAAACGGAGACGGGGAGCAAGGTTAGAGTTGGGACCTACTTCGATCAAACTAAGACAGTCGCTGTTCTGAATTTCCACGCCTCTCTACCCAGCTTTGATTTCGACACTCTATACAACCAGCTTGAAGCACGTACAATCGTAGCAGCCCAAATAAATTATGGAGATATCCGAGCATCGTACGCGAGAAAATATCTGACGCGTGAAAATTCATTTTCGTCATAATTGGAGCTGCTGGTGGTACATTCCTTCACCTGGAATGCTTTCTGTTTACCATCTCCTTGGGTTCCAGTGATCCCTCCATAAGCGTGACTGAAGCACTGTTCGTCGGGAGGTAGAAAGCTTTCGATCCTCGTCTCTCTAACACCCGTTCAGAAGCAATACTGAGGTTATATGATTCGATTGTAGCATCAGGGAAGCGTTAGTGCAAGTGTTTGATCATTAATTAGGCACAATGCAGTCGGAAGAAGCTCCCACTGGTCTCTACTCGAGATATCAGGGCTCATCGTGGGATGGACAAACGCAATCGGTTACGCCGGATGATGGTTTATACCACCCAGGTCAAAGAGGGTCAGGGGACCAAAAGACACAAACATCGGCAACAGGGAATGGTATCTCTTACTCTGGTCAGAGCATGACAGGAGGACAATGGGCGCAGTCGTCTAGACCAGATGGCGGCGTCTCCGCCACGGGACAAGGCCGCCCTGGAAGCCAAGGGACAAATGGATGGTCTCAGGATGGTAGCCTGTCCCAATCCGGCGGAACCGGGTGGAACACGGCAGGGACAGTATCAGGGGGTCAATGGTCGCAAGGTACGACGCCGGGTGGTAGTGTTCCGAACGCAGGACAGGCGTCGGTTGGAGGAAAACAGCCACAAGCTGGTACGGCGACAAGCAGCCTGCGGGCGACCCAGTCAACATCGACGACACAACTTGCACAGACACCTACACCGAGTGCAGGTTTATACCTCGAGGGACAGAATAATGTGGGAAATGGAAACGGAGGGCAGCTGTCAGCAGATGGTAGCCTCTCCCAGGCAGGGGTAGCTACTCCAGACGATGGGCTTTATCACCCAGAGTACGCAAATGCAAATGGTCAAGGGGCACAACAATGGACATCAAGTGACAGTCTCTATTATCCTGGCGAATGGAGTCCTGGCTCAGCGACCAAACCTACATCAACACCCTCTCGCCCGGAGGGCACTGCAACGCAGTTATCGTCACCGTTGCCAAGCTCCAGCATCACAAGTAAGCCGACAGCTACGAATGATTCTTCTAGCTCAACTACGACCAATTCACATGATGCTACCAAGATTGCAGTCCCTGTTAGCGTCGGAGTTGTTGCGGCGGCAATGGCAGGTGTTATCTTGTGGTGGCTGTATAGAAAGTCCCAGGCTGCAAAGGCGGCAAGGAAGCGTAACAACTCGTTGGAAGAAGGAGATTACATGAAAGATGACGGACCGTCGCTTCTCAAGAGGAGTGTCGCCACGTTGGGCGGATATAGCCTGTTCAAACCTTCCTGGAAACGGACTCGTGTGGCTAGCCATGCATCCATGTGCATCGATGAAACTCCATGCAATAAATATGGAGACCACGTTGAAGGGAACGAGACTCGTGCACCAGGCGAGACCAACCTCTACGACCTCGAGAAGCAACAACCTCCTGAGAATACTGCTTCTACGGAGACGTTGGCTTCAGAGGGCCCCCGACATGGGGATATAGCGAAGCCAAATCCTGCTCTGAGAGATGAGACCTCCAGTATATCAACATCAACACGGGTTTGCACGCCACCATCGCTACCTGGTGTGCCTGAGGAGCCTGAAGACCATGAAGAACATGAAGCACCCAGTCGCCCAATTACACCAGTTGACTCGCAGGCTGCGGTGGGAGAGGTGTTCTCGGTAGAGATAGGTTTCACACCGGTTAATGCCAAGCAGATAGAGCTCAAACAGGGCCAAAATGTTACAGTCTCGAAGGTGTATGATGACGGCTGGGTAAGATAAACTCCATTGCTGTCCCTCGTTAGTTTCTTGAATGAGGAAACATGTGCTAATGTCCTATGTCACCAATAGGCACTGTGCCATTTACCTGAAAGCAAAGCAGAAGGTTTAGCGCCACGAGCGTGCTTGTCAGCCTCGCCTCTTCAAGGGAAGATCTCAGGCTCTGGAAATCCGATGCAGCATTCACAATACAACATCTCCCAATTTTCATTCTCAAGTCAATCAACCGGCCTCTGTCTGGATGGGGGCCAACCCTCCAACCATGATGCGCAACAACCAACGCCTCAGTGATCCCTGCGATCTCTGTTCGGGCATATCACCCAAGTACACAATTGTTCAATGGCCGACTAGGCAGAAACGCGGGACTGGTTGAGCCACACGGTGACTATGAAGTAGTTGGAGAACTGGATTTGGGAACATCCGACGAAAGGGAATCTATGACTGCTATTGGGAATGATTTAATTTTGTTGAGACCAATATCGTAATCCAAGGGGAATAATACCTTAATTGTTAACACTTGATCCATAACCTCCCTGTAGTATCAATATATTGCAACTGAGATACTTATTTAGGTGGATTGCCACTCCGTACCATTATTTACAAACATGAAGCTTAACAAGGAAATTGGTATTTCGCAACGAAATCCGAATGGATACTAACATTCTATTGTCTGATCAATGGACAACGTTTCAGCCCATAGTAAGAGGTCCTGCATTAGAAAGAACCCGAATTATTTTGGCTTTGTACAATAATAATAGACCTCAAATAGACTCAGAGGCGTCGAATAAATTCTTCATTAGTCATTATATATCCCACCCCATCTGTCTATCGGCCAACTCAGCTCCCAATGGCAAAGTCAGTTAGTTATAGATAGTTACAACTTGGCTCTCGTTCTTGGGTGCACCACAAGCTCCCGCAAAGTCCCCAAATCTCTCCCCCAGCCCTTTCACGAAGTCCTCAAACTTCGACGCACCACAACTATCTCCCGGTCCACCGCGACACTCCTCCAAAGGTTGGGGACTCGAGTTCACCAGCACGCGGTAATAGTCGCCCTCGTCATATCCGTAGCTATCGCAGCTCAGCTTCTCAATGGCAATATTCGTCAAAAACGGCAGAATGTCACTGCTCTTCCACTGTCGGCCATAGTTGATCTTATCCGTCGGCATCGTCTTGTTGACATTATCGGCACCCGAAAACGCACTGTTGTTAAAGAGACCCAGGGCTGTGATAACGGTCGGGGGGAGTTCGCGGTGCGTGAAAGAGACATAAACATCCTGGCTAGAGTTGGAAGAAAGGACATTCAAGCTAGCATTCACCCATGGAAATCCGATCCTTGGCGATGCGTACTTTCCGTACCCCACGTTATGGAAGTACCTGATATCCTCGCCGTATTCGAAGGAGAGCCAGTCATTCGAGGAAAAGAGAGTGGTGGCACAGAAAGGCGAGTCGCCCCGAATGACGGTTTCGTAGCCGCAGAACTCGAACATACTGACTATGTCGGAGGTCGTGAAGTTGAAGTTGGGGGCTTGGGCGTTCAGCCGTTCCTTGATAGGTGCGGTGTACTTCTCTACCCATTCCTGATTTGCTCGTGTTAGCTACAGAAACAGGGAGAGAGAGGCAAGGGGGTGCGTACCTGGGACTGGTCACTGCCATAGCTCCCACTGTACGCGGGACAGTTTTTGTAAGGGGTAAGGGAGTCCACACCCGTATACTTCTTCTGTTTCACCTCCACGAGATACATTCCCGTGGTTTTGTTGAGTGTGTACCCCTCAATAAACCCGGCGGCTGTCTTAGTCGTTCGATCTGCAGAAGATGACCAGACTTTGCTCGGGTGGGATAGACTAGCATAGCGGGTCCGGAACTTGACGCCCAACTCCACCGCTTCCTTGTAACCGACTTTGGTGACCTTTTCAAGATACTCTTCGTCAACGGGGGCGGACCAATTCGCTAGGAACTTGAGGTCCGTCGTTTTCGACCAGTCCTGGGTTGTGTTGCGGAGCTTTTTCACAAACGGCTCGAGGTAGGTCTCGTAATCAAAGTCATTGGCATAGATGGCTGCGTGCCGGATCAGGTAGGCCGCTTTTGTTACATTACATCCCTGTGGAGCGGAGGATTCTAACGGGGGGTCGTTGATGGTGCGGTAGGGGGCTATGCCAGCGAGGTGATTGAGGGGATTGAAAGATTCACTGGTAGCGGGAACGGCTAGGGTTCCGAGGAGTAGAGAGACGGGTAGGAGCTGCATTTTGCCGGTGTGTTGACCTGGGTTGGGCTTGATGGTAGGTTAAACCTTCGCGATGCGATCCCTGGATTTATAGATGATCGACTTGGGGTTAACGCCGGGTAGTCGTCGATAATTGGCACAGGTAGGAGCTATACCAGTTCAGGTATCTACAGGGTGAAACGCAAGTAAACAATGGACTTGGCTGTGGCTTGCCAGGCATTACCTCATTCCATGCATCATTCGATCCACTTGCGCGGGTCCAGCGCAGATTAAAAGATGCAGACTAACAATCAAAGAATAAAACAGATGACGTCATACCGTCACCGACCCGAACCTTTTCTTGCTTGCCTTCAAGATTATCAAAGTCGCGACTGACTGAATCGTGGTCTGGTCGCCTTATAGGGCTGACTTCCCTGTTTCCAACTCACCGCCAATTACCATCAGCAAACTGGTCTCTGTGTCTTATAACGTCATACTACTAGTACATTGTATCTCTTCATAGCTCATGGAAAATTGCTATTGCCGTTAGCAATGTGATCTCCATCGTCCCTGCCATCCGTAAAAGGAATTTCTCCATCAGCAAACATGCAATGATGGGAGATTGTGCAACGGGATCGTACCCATGCTCTGATTGGAAGATCTCCATAACCCTCATTGAAAAATGTTTATACTGCGTAGTTGTCTCGGATGTTGGCATCCTCGGTTCACCCAAGTCGACTTTGCTTGTGGTATGGTTACAATATTTAACCCAAGGACTCCTTCCGATATTCAATCATCATCATTTCCAATCACGACGGAATCGACTCAGAAGCTCCAAGCGCGTCGCCGCCGATGTCAAGGATGTGTTGAGCTGCGTGCATGTCAGGGAGAGCAGCGCCAGATGGTCTGACTACAGGGTTGAGAAGCTCTTGAGGCGCTGGATGTGGGAGATAGAGCAAAGCTGTAGTAGAATATTCCATTGCACAACTGCCTGATACATTCAAACAACCCATTTAGATAAACACAAGGACGCCATTGTGGTTCCCATCCGCTCGGAGAGGTTGATCCCCTGGCGCCCTCGTTCCCCACCAGTAACCTGGGGCAAATCCGCCTCCAGCCAAACACCATCGTCATGGAAACTCAAGTCGGCGTTCTCAGCACTTCCGGTGAAATCGACTCCATCCTAAGTGAAATAACCTAATCCATAAGACTTAGTTTGCAATAATAACTTAGAAAGGAATGATGTGTGGTCCGGGCGACGTGCCTTAAATACCCCGCCAGCCCTCCCAAAACCAATTCAGCTGAGTTTAAATTATATAGGGAGATAGTGCAGCTTCTGGCAGCCAGCTGGGTTACTCTTAGCGAATAATTTAAGATATCGATCTGCGGTAGCTGTGTTTGGATTAATTATACACAGAGCGGTAGAGAGGTACTTCCCCAGCTTTAAGAAAGTATTCGTCTACCAAATAGAGATTATTAAAGCAGTCTTCTATATATTGCCAAGGCAGTTGGATCTATCAACCACAACCCACTCAACTAGGTGCAGATTTGTGTGGTGTGTAATAGTTTGTTAATGAGATGGTGTTTTTGGATGACATCAAACTGCATTTCGTCCAGAAAATCCTGAGATGTGTATCCCTAGTAGTTTCAGCAAGCCCTTTTTGTGGGCTAGTCACCCAAGCTTTCAAGAGATATCGGACAGACATAACTGATCAGGGGTCGATTATCTTTTGTGCGATCGCTATTACGAGCCCCAGTGGTGTTGATGAGTAGGTGGGGGTGAGGTTGAATTCAACAACAACCTAAGTTAGAGAGCAGGCGGAGTTACTAGGTGCGAGGCTTTACCAGTACTCCCTCACGGGTGTAATTCGAATTATGTCAGAAAATATATACTCCGATTTAGCCTTGATAACCATTTACAGAATATTATAACTCTAGATTACAAAGCTAACTGATCGAGATTTACTTTAGATAGTCTTAGTATAGCCCAACTTTTATCTGGTCCTCTATTCCTTGGTGTGTATAACTATTCTTAGGGATATTGCTAGCCACTTATAACGAAAAGACGTTGGCCTGTGTCCTCTTGTACGCTGCAAAAGTTAATATAGCAACCCTGCATAATATAGTCACCTTGCACTACAGTAATATTTGGGAATATATCGGTGACCGTTGTATTCTTACATTGTGATATTATCTCAAAAGCTACTTTTGAAGGATTCACACAGTGGCTGTTGAGTTCACTTTATGAATAGTAAGCTGTACACAGAGAATAATAATATTATATAGTATAATATTTAATTTCTGTAACTACCGAGAAGCGCGTCCTTGTATACAGCTTGAAGCAAAAGAATTTGTGATAAGTCTTCTCTCTAAGCAATATATCTCGCGAAAAGAAGAAGAACAGAAATTGGTTGATTCGGTATCAAAAGTTATTAAGCAGGTGGATTTGCGTCTGTTGAAACTCTATATGGCTGTGCTATATATTGATTGCTGCTTGTAAAGTGGATCTCAGTTCTTAATTTGGAGGTGTTGTGATATTTTATACCCTCAATTAATTAAAGAGATAGTTAATCTGCTACTGAAAGCGTAATCAGTTTGGCACGCAGCTGAGCTGAGTAATTATATATTGCTCCGGAATTGAGCCCGGACCGCTCCGGTGTACCGGCTTAATACTCAGGAAGCGCTCAGTATAGTTATGTACTACCGTCTTTTTCTATGCTTGGGGATCACTCACTGAGCAAAAAACGGCCCTGAGCTAGACCTGTTTCGAAAAGGGACAGTTGCAAAGTTTCCGTTGGAGAATAGTTCGCTAGTGTCGGAGGTACGTTCCACGTCATCTAGTAGCTGCCTGAGGGTATAGAGGGCGCATTTATAGAAGCTATGCCCAGCCCTCCTTCAACTACAAGGCTAGGCATCCACGTCGCAGCAACTCTTCGCAACCACTTATCATGATTGCAAACATTCTGAACCGCCCAGAATTCCGAGCCTTTCGCCAAAGATGGGCTACCGACCTACGTCAGATAGCACTATCACCCCTCACAATGCTCGTTTGGATAGCCTATACATCTTTAAACTTCGTGAGGTGGAGAATCACGAAGTCGCAACAAAGGCCGCTTATACGGGTTGTCTGTGTTTCTGACACGCACTCCCAGCGCTGCGACATACCAGATGGCGACATTCTAATCCATGCGGGGGACCTGAGCCAGCATGGGAGCGCCCTGGAGATCCAGGAAACAGTTGACTGGCTGAAATCACTGCCCCACCAGTACAAGGTGGTGATATCAGGCAATAGCGATCTGTTTTTTGATGTTAGTTCTCGATTAGCGGAAGATAGGCTGGCCACAACATCATCAGTCGACATTGAAAGCAAAAGTGCCGCACAACATGGCCGTGGTATCTCAATTGACTGGGGCGACATCCATCATCTACAGCAAACTTCAGCATCTCTGCCTTTTTCGGGCACATCTGGTGTACTGCGCCAGATCCGTGTCTATGGGGCACCACAGATCCCTGTTTGTGGCGGCCCAGACAATGCCTTTCAATACCCTGTAGATCAAAATCCATGGGCTCACACCATCCCAGCATCTACGGATATCTTGATCACACATACACCAGCCAAGTTCCACGGAGACTGGTACCATGGATCTCCCGAAGGCTGCCCATTTTTGCTGGAGGAGTTGTGGAAAGTTCGCCCTCTACTACATGTATTCGGCCATGTGCATACCTCTTATGGGGTCGAGAGAGTGCACTGGGATGACGCTCAGTGGTGGTTGGAGAACTACTATCGGGATGTTTCACACTCTATTCAAAATCAGGGAATGTTTGCACTTCCAGACTTCTTCCGTCCAGTGCTGTGGCTTGACGCTGTCATGATTTTGTTATCTGGTACGGCGACTCTTATAAGGGACTTGGTTAGTCTACCTCGCCGAGAAAAACGATCTACATTGATGGTCAATGCTGCTTCCATGAGTGAAGACGGCTCACGGCTGGTGAATGAGCCGGTTGTTGTGTATATATAGCAAGCCAAGGTCCGGTTATTCGCGGCTTCGGCAATCGTCTCACATCAGCGTATCACTTGTCAGGCTTGTTTTCTTTGTTTTCTTTTGTGGTTGAAGCTCGCGTCGGGGGGACTTCGGGATTTAAGGCCTGTGTACACCTTGAAAACAAAGCTGACCTGTTTTACCCATTGATCGCCAAAACTAACGAATACTACAGCTAGAATTGCACTGGAGGAGGCGGGGCATTACCGATTAAGGTGACTTTCAAGCCAATCAAGGGCAACGCTTCTGGAGGACATGTATTAGCCACCAAGGATTGAGAATGGTTGATTGTTTCTCATATTCAGTTTGAAGAATTGGTATTATGTTTGAGACTTTTACATAAAATAACACTATGGTTCAGTTTTTGGTCCTTTGGCGGTGACAAACTAACTCCCGAGGTGCTTTGGGTTTACTTACGATGGAATAGAGCCCAGAATGCTTGTCATATCTCACCCTTCGAACTTCAACTCACTACCATAAAACAGTTAGATTGGCTAATCCAGGAGAAAGGCCACCGCATAGACTTCATCTTGATTGAGACAAATAGTGCCCGTTTCTCACGATTGTCTCGTCTATAGCGTGATCTGTATACTGTCGGCTCTCTACATTCTGTCCTCTGCACTATTTCCGCCCATCCCCTTGGTCAATCAGCCTCAACCCCTCGGCTTAGCCTTGAGCCATATCCTCCCTCTGTATGGACATCACCGAGTCGTCTGCTACTTTGTTTGAAAACCACTGTTAATCACACTTCCCTGGCGAACAAAAAGGAGAGGCGACGAGGCCATTGTTTGCAAATCTCCACAGGGCTAGTGAGCAGTTTGTCAAAATTAATAGAGTCAAGCTCATTAAAATCAAGGTATGTGTCACTATACAAGCGGAAAGAGATGACATTACTAGCACTTGTGGAGTATAGGGCATTCACGGTGCCCCGGCAGAGCTCGAGGCTCACACTCTCACAAAGAAATCTGCCTTGGACTGCACCGTCAGCCAGACGCGTTACGAGCGGCCTGAAGTGCCCAGAGCTTCTATCGTGAAGTCGAAGGGATCGGTTTGCAAGTAAAAATTGGAGACGGAAAGGCCCATCTGCGATCATGTGGAGAAGCACAAAGCAAGGTACATGTGACTAGCTGGGGATGCTGAGTTCTTGTGCGCTATACTTGAGAGCCTAACAAGGAAGATCCTTCGTCGACACCTGGGGGAAAAGAAGAGACTGGCAACAGAGGTGAGCAACACACGGCCATAGACAAGTACGCAGTTAGAATTGGAGAAATGGAGTGTCTCGGGTCAGCCGATCAAAAGCCAAGTTTCACTTCCAGGCTGATCCAACCGAAACAAAATATGATCAGGTGGCAGAAGCGCGGTTACCTCATGTCGAATATAATGAACGTCACTATCATTTCCCCAAATTGGAGATAAACGCCTCGCATTTGCCCCGAGACAACTTCGGTAAATTCGGGCTTGGCTCGTTCCCTCTGGTTAGCTACGGTTAACTTAGCTTGGCTGTGGGAGAGCTCACTTTCCCACATATTTGCGTTGTTTTGTTCTTCCCCCTCCACTGTTGGAATTATCCATCGCACCACTGAGTCAATGGTTTCACGTATCCTCTACTTCAGCAACGCTTCAATGTCCCGCACGCCGTTCGCCAAATTCCCAAGGGGTTTCGCAGGGCTATCGGGATTGCAGATCCGATCATACTCCGTTAGCAAAGTGTACTCGAATCGTGATCTTGCTCCTGCTCCCCATACCTCAACACCATCCAATCCAAGATGGTTTGCAGAGCTGCAAGCCGAACTAAAGCGGCTAAGAAATGGGCAGAGACCTCCCAAGTGCGTGCAAAGAGCAGAACAACTGTCTCAGTATTTGGAAACAAACTGGTTGGAGCTTCTCGCAGGTCCGGAAGGTTTCCTCACTGAAAAGCACTGGAAAGCACTGGACAGCCATGAAGTACTCTGGGGGGCCATGGTAAGCAGTAACCCAAACCTTGTCGCTAACCTGCATAAATAGAACACTTTCTAACTGGGGCTCATGGTTAGGATAGCATGGTGAGTATTCTGTTTTTCTGGTTATTTATGCCAACTATCTAACATGGACAGGGTACGAGTTCCGAGTCCACGAGAAGCTGAATTCCATCAAACTCACGAGTGATAGGCCACGTTAACAATATTATGTACAACCGCTACGTCGAAACTGCCCGGGTCCAGTTCATCCGTAACCACGGCCAAAATGCCACAGCTGAAGAAAAGAGGCAATGGGACGACCTACCAACCCCACGGAGCCTGGGCCTCATACTCCAGAGAATCACCACGGAGTTCAAATTTGTACAGTGTACACATTCTTTCTTGACACAGGGCCTCGAACTTACCTATGCTTCTTCTACACAGCCAATGAAATTTCCCGATCAGATAACTGTGCTGTATAAATTACTCGAGCCGCCCACCTACGAATCAACATCCCTGAGGATGGAGGCATGGATCTTGTCGCACCAACATCGCCGGGTGGCGGCAAGATGCATCGACGACACTGTCATCTATGACTACACGTCCGGGAAAAGATCGGTACTAAAGCCATTCATGGTTGATAAACTCCAGCATACATTTGAACTACAGAGGATGTGCAAAACGAAATACACGGAGGAAGCAAGCAAAGCGATTACGGCTGTTAAGGAGCTCAAGACAGCATTTCAGTAAAGTGTCCATCTTCGACTAGACTAATGCCAATCTTTTTTTGTTCATATATTCTTTTGGTCCAACCCATCCAGGTGGCCTAACTGTTGCGTTATATACCTAGCTGTTGAGCTGCAAGACCTGATGTGTTCCGTCGAAATGCTAAAGATCATCAACCCACGGTGACGAATCTAGATTGAGAATGGCATCGGCTAGTCTCAAGACAAGTACAACAAAGCCGTGATTGGCCCAAGAGGTTCATATCACTCTTGGGTACATAGTCCCAGGTCCCTTCGCACGTGTTAGTCTGGACACACCTGAGGCCATGTGGTGCCATACAACAAGTACATTTTGTATCGTGAGCGCATTTGCCATATGGCAACCGACTCATATTGTGACCACACGAGAGCTGAAGTCCACCCCTCAAAACCAAATCGAGTTTCATGGTGTTCACCATTATCCCTAGAGTCCCAGAGGGTCAACCTTCCCCGAGTCTATCAGAAGCCTCACAACGTCGTATCCACAGTTGTCAGCAGCATATAAAACCAGTGGTTGACCGGAGCTATCCTGAGAATCAAGCTTAACCTCGCTACGTCCGAGCAGCAATCTCACAAGACGGTTGTATCTTGTTACAACAGCGGATACGGTGCTCGGGTCCAATATCTGATCCTCATTCTTGAGTTCAAGCATGTGATAGAGATCCAAAAGTTCAAATATCGGTGTATCCCCATAATTGTCTCGAGGATTAGAATTCACAATCTTTGTGTGAAGAAGGAGCTCCGTCGCAGAGATTACCACTCGCAATGGCTTCAAAAAGCGGGGTTCTTCCTTCATTATCCTTTGAATCAATTAAAACTACAGGACTTTCTAGCAAAAGCTTTATAGTTGCCGAATCCGAATACTGTGCGGCGTATGAAAGGGGTGTTCGACCGTATCGATCTCGAGAATTAGGATCGGCTTTGCCGGAATCAATTAAAGTCCTCAGGGTTGAGGTGTCTGCAAGGGATCTGCGGGGAACGATAGTATTTGGATTGAGCCCCGTTTCAGCATGGTCGTCATACCATAATCTCACCAAAGCCGCTAGATTGACCAGGTCCATGTGTTGAACAGCATACGAAAGCGGTGTCCGCCGTTGGTTGTCTTTAGAATCCACATCGACTTCGCCTGAATCGATCAAAAGCTTTACAGTCGACGTGTCTCCGTGCTCGGCGGCATATGACAGCGGTGTTCTACCGTTTTCATCTCTCGAATCCAGGTTGACTCTGCCGGTGTCAATCAAAAGTTTCGTCGTGGATATGTCTGAGTATTGAGCGGCATGTGAAAGCGGCGTGCGTCCTTTATCATCCATCCAGTCAAGGTCAACTTTGTCTGAAAAGATCAAAAGCTTCAGAGTTGTGGTATCCGAATTCTGAATAGCGTGTGAAAGCATCCGCTGGCCTTGCTCCGCCGAAAGGTTAGGATCTAGTTCCCTCAAGTTGCTTAGAGGCTTTAAGCGCGACGTATTCGAGTTCCCAGGAGCGCCATAAAGCGTCGTCTGACCGTTGTTTGCCACTTCGCTGCACATGACAGATAGTATTGGTGTCGATACATCGGAGAACCAAGTAGCATCATAAAGCGGTGCATAACCATTGCTGTTTCTAAAGTCCAGATCTACTTTGCAGGACTCGACCAACAGGTTCATGATCGATGCATTCGAGTGCTGAGTAGCGAGATCAAGTGGTGTCTGACCATCTCGGTTGGTAATATGTGGATCGACCCTGCCAGTCTCGATCAACACCTTCGCGGTAAGCATATCGGAGCGCTCGACAGCATAATGAAGCGGCGTCTGGCCATATCTGTCTTGATAATTGAGGTTGATTGGCGCCCCACAGCTCACCAACCACTGCACCATCCCACTATCGCCGAGGCCGGCTGCATATGATAACACTGTTCTGAAGTTGCTATCTGTCATATTCAGGTCATAATGCCCAGTGTTGAACAAGACCTTAGCAATATCCAAAAAGCCCCTCTCTATAGCATGGAAGAGAGGAGTCTTCCCATACAAGTCTTCGACAGCTAGGCCGCCGCCGTTCAATTCAATCAAAAGATTCACAATTCTCAAATGGCCTCCTCTAGCTGCCCGTGCAAGAGGCGACCAAGTATCAAACGTGCCATGATGTCCCCATTGTTGACGAGCTTTGAGTTGCTCAATACATCGTGCGCTGGCTGCGGTGGCCTTGGAAGCAATGTGATCTTGAGAGGTCCAGTTGGCAAACTGGTCATAAAAGTTATATTTCGGGGAGAAATCCGCCGACTTGACAGACAGAAGCCATTCCACAACTTGCTCCTGTCCATCTTCAACGGCAAATGCAAGCGCCTCACCCAGCTCTGTGGCTCCCGTGCTGAGTGCGTATGACACTATGTGGCTTTGGCGGTTGATAATGGCCCAGATAAGTGCCCAGCCATCAGACTCTAGCATATTCTTTTGGTACAAGACGGGATTGCAGACAGAGAGAAAACGGCTGCTGGACTGGGCGAGAGAATTGAGATCATTCTCGTCCAATAGGTCTGCAATGGCATGCAGTATCTCATTAGGTATTTTGGATATCATTAGTGGTGAACATGAAGCTGATATACATGAACGGTGTTTCGTTGGGTCTTGTTCCAATGAGTTGGACTCGATCTGGGGATTGTCAGCTAACTCACGCTCTGCGGGGCTCGCCGCCCGTTTAGCGGAGTGGGTTTTCTTGGCCAAGCAACTTACTTACCACTGAGTATTTTGCCGATCTTTGTACATACAATAGCTGCTTATAATTGATGAAGCTAGTTAGAGATATCTGAAAGCCCTACACATCAAAATCCTCGGTATTTTACGTTCAGGCATCCTCTGCATCAGTTATTGAATCCACTCAACAGCAATATAATGTATCATGATATCCCACCGTTCCCCTTAGAACAATCTATTCTGAAGCGGTGATTCGAGTGCATAAAAACCTGTTATACAAAGTCATTACCTGGGATTGGATAATAAGGGTTAATATAACGTATTTGCTATTCAGTCTTTCTACTTAGAAAGAGGTTGAAAAGTTATCTAGGACCCATGTCACACCATCAACAACAATATCCGGCTGAGTTAACTGGACAAAGTGTCCACTCTCGCGGGCAAATACAAGCTTACTCTTGGTGGAGAGTTTTAGATGTTCCTTCATAAGACTCTCGCTCTTGCCATCAGCCGTCCTGATCCACTCCCTAACATAGTTCCTTTGCTCCTCGGTTCCATTCCCTCTCTCAACGCCCGCCTTATACAGCCCACTCCAATCCCTACTCCGCATACCCCCAATGACATAGGCCGGCTTATCTCCAACAATCGGCTGCTGCTTACCCAGCTCCTTCTTCCGCAGTGTCTCAAAACTGGGTGCGTACTCAATATCCTCCTTCCTCCCAATCAGCTGGGACTTCGCCGTTGATTGGTCGCTCCTAAACGCATCCCACTCTTCCTGTGTGAGGCTATGCTCCGCCTCGATACCCGTGGCAGAATAGAAATCGACACCCTCTGCAATAGCATGCAGAACAGGGTCATTTATATTCAGAACCTGTGGCGCGGTCTCGTGGTTAGCGTCGACGAGCACCAGGCCCGCAATGTGCGGGCCGTTTCCCGTAAGCGCGATGAACTCGTTTATGAGCACCCCGGCCCATGAGTGCCCCACAATAATCAGTGGATTGGGAATGGAAGCTTTCTTTATGAGAAGGGAGAGCTCCAGAGCAATATTTTCGGCTGTGGGCGCGAGCGGCGAGAGCTCGGAGTTGCGGTACCCGGAACGGTCGTACGAGTAGCTTCGCAGCGAGGGAGGGAGCAGCCGCACTATCGCGGCCCAGTTGAGGCTGGAGCTTGCCACGCCTGAGATAAATAAGACGACAGGGTCTTCGGAGCTGCTGGGCTCTGGGCCGTGGGTGTAAAGGGCGAGGGAGTGAGTGCCAATGTTGACGAGCTTGGCGTTCGAAGGGAGCGTTGAGGTGGGCATTGTGGGGTGCTGGCTTTATGAATTCTAAGGCCTGTAGAGCACTGCTGAGGTGGTTTGTGGTATATACATTGGACGGAAACGTGGCCCTGCACCTGTCCGGCCGGTTGAAATTGCTCACCACCGCGGCACTGATATCTAATGTGGTGTGGCGTGATATCAAGGCATCATTGCGCCAAGATGTCGTCTTCTATCGCAATATTAGCGGCTAATGCCAGGTCAATGTATGCGCACGCAGGTCCGAATCTTCCAATTTACTTCTTTGTACTAATTTTCACTGGCATTGGTAGGCTCAGAATAAGCTTTTTGATTCCCACGTATTCCAATCGGCCGACCCATGTATTATTTGGGAATCCTGGTTATTTGGGGTCGACATGATGCTAGTACGCGCTAGAGGTTTTGGTCAAGTGATATTCCATATGAAGGGAGTAACGTTTGCACGTTCCCCTGTTGCTTAATATGAGATTTGGCTGTATAAGTAAGGCCCGGCTTGACTTCCTCGGAGATTGTCGATATAGATCTCGCTCTGTCGCACGTGGAAAGATTGACGGGCAAATATCTGTGGATGCATTGATCTGTTGAGAACTCATCATATAGGATTGTATAAAAGAATATTTATTTAACAGGCTACGAAATCCAGATTCGATATTGCGCTACTTCGTACAGATAAACGAATAAAGTAATAAATTTTACAGCTACACATTTGTATACTCTACCAGACTCCAGTCTAGATTTAGTTAGGAGAAATATCGATATACTTTATAAATAGAATGATCCTTAAATAGGATTAAGTATCAGGCGCTCGCAACACAACCCGCTCCTGGTGTCCACATCTTGTATGCCACATTCTGTCATTGCCGGTGGCTTCAGGAGAGCTATACTGGCCATTATAATGATAGAAATACACCTAGAAGATGCTAGCCTTACAGGAATGGTCGCAGGAAGGCTTGCAAGGAGGTGCATGGGCTGCAGTCGACAATGTCTGGGGCTAAGGTCGATATTGCCTGATCCGACCGCACCAAATCAGCCACCTGCACCGAAGACCGCTTTAGATTGGGCCCTAGCATGATGCAGTTACTAGTGAAATGCTTCGCTCTGCACGTATCGTGCGCAGTGCGGTCATCTCCACTCCCCAATATCCCTGCCGAGTTATGTCGCGGCCGAAGCTCGGCAGCGTGGGTCGTATAGCAATGCATGCAAGAGGAAACAGAATTGGCTTAGTCTGTTACTGCACGAAGGGGTGGGGATGCAGATGCACGATGCTACGAGTCAGTCGCCGATAAGGGTTTGAGCCACAGGGTTGCTCCACACCACATACGACCAGTCGGTGAAGACCCACGTTGCATTTCCACAAACCCATTCGGCTTTTGCGACTCGCCCATAGAATTTGACTCCCACTCGTGCTGCATGAGACAGGTTCTACCCTTCAACAGCTATCCATTGAGTTAATGATTGACATAGAGACTATTGCCGTATATGCACTACACTCACCGCGGCCTACGACCAACTGGCATATTGCTTTCGTACTTTGCACAGGGCTGTTCGACTAGGTTCGTGGACACAACGATGCACTGCTACCTCGATGTACTATCTCACTCACTTGCTTCGAGTGTAAATATGTAGCAGATGATTTTACAGAGTCTACCCCTGCTACTGTTGTCGCATATACCTCTATGAAAGTATAGCATCTTCATTTGCTCATAGGTAAAAGTTTAACTCATATTATAGCAATTATCTGAACTGAAGGTTTCAGGACATAACGGACGAAGAGCAGAGCCGACTTTATGGCCTCCAGACCAGCCTAGAGTTTCTAAACACAAAAGCAGCAAGAACAACACAAAGGATAAAGCAAAAAGAGCCTGGGCATGAAGCTTGTCAATATGGTATAGTCAGGAATTCAGTAGTTTCATAGGTATTGAGCGTAATTATGTGGATATAAAAGGACCCCACCTAATTCCTTCCAAGATGTGTATAGAATCGTTACAAGGAGGTTTAGAACGGGTTGAATTAGTAAAGTATGGGTTGAACCGGCCCTTTCAGCTTCAAGCGGTGTTTAAGCTCTATATAGTACATCATTCATAAGCAAACAGGATCTAGAACACATGGCCTTCCATCTCATTGCTTTCCCGCTCCTTAAAATATGAATGGCAAAGAGGAAAGATGAATAGTGGAAGTCATTTCTCTCCTCATGCTTGCTTTGTAAGAGTTCCAGGGCTTTGTCCCACCCTTCTGCCTATTCACCAGCACAGGCAATGCAGAGGTAATAACAGGACCTTGGAATGCACTCCTATCCGGATTTAAGCACTGGAAGTAGCTGCACGGCACATTCTCCCACTTTCCGAGACGGTCCACTCATCAGAGCCAACGGCAGTCAGCCCGTAGAAGAGAGAGTCAGGGTCGTACTTGGCCTTAATTTCGCGGAGTGTGTCGTAATTCTTGCCATAGAATGCAGTCTTGAAGTCGGGCTGGCGGAAGTCGGCCTATAGGTAGATTGGTCAGCATATGTCAGGATGGGCTGGAACTAACGCTCGAAAATCAACATGGAAAAGTCATACCTCGTTAAGATAAGCGCCAGACTCGGGGGCCAACTTGCTGATGCTAGGAACCAACACCTCGGTCATCAATTTCTGCTGAGCGAGCATTTCCTCTGGCTGGTTAAATTCCCAGTCGGTATACAGAAGTACGTGGGCAATTGCATTGCGCCATGCCGGGTTCACAGCGTTGTAGACGTCACCAGTGACTTCCTTTGACACATTAACAGCCACGGTGGTGAAGGTAGCACCCGTGGAGAGGATGGTCTTAAAGGCCTCGGTCACGTCGTGTCTAGTGCTGTTTTCCTCGACGAGGGACCGGGGGAGAAGCCAGCTGCCATACTGGGAGACTGCAATTTCAACGAGCGGCACCTGGGCATTGAATTGGTCAAGGTAGGTGGGAAAGCTTTCCGCATGATATTCATATGTGATGCCAAGCTTGTCCAGTCCACTGAGAAATGGTTGAACAAGGCTCTTAAGCTTCTCCAGGGAAAGACCAGGTGCAGTCATAGGAGAGAGAGAGAAGGAGGTGTTGGTAAGGAAGTTCAGACTCATGATACCCTCATCCACGAAAGAAGGTAAATAAGAATTGTAGAGCTCCACGGCTTTGAAGAAAGTGTCGTCAGAAATGTCAGTGGTTGTGAACGTAAGATTCAAGCCAGATACCTGACCATCGGCATGAGCCTTAGAGGTCATAGACCAGACAACACCATAGGTCCCACCGCCACCACCAGCCAGTGCCCAGTAAAGATCAGTGTTCTGTTGACGGTTCGCGACGAGCAACCTGCCAGTACCATCTATGACCTCCCACTCAAGGACCTGGTCCGCACCAAGTCCATACTTCGAAGACAGGGAAGAGTGACCGCCGCCTTGGCTATATCCGCCGGCAATACCGACCGACGGGCACTCTCCACCGACCACCCGAAGCCCCTGTGCCTGCGCTGCCTCGTAGGCCTCGATTCCTTGGACACCAGCACCAAGCTTGACAGCCTTTCCTACATACCAGTCATCGGCCCAATCCTTGATTTCGATGTCCTTCAGGTGGTGTGTCCAGACTGACAGAGCCCCTGCACCGGTGGACTTTCCGTTGTAGCTAGGACGGGTTAGTGATAATCAGATCAAAAGAAGCTTTTGGCAAGTTGAAGGGGGTGGTACTCATGGCCGGTGTTACGGATAACGAAACGGATATTGTGCTCATTGGCAAATTGCAATGTCTTGGCGACATGGGCCGGCGTAGAGACATTAACTGCATATCGGACGAAATTACCAAGGGTGCAAGGCTTGGAAACAGGGTGGTATGGGTCGCATGTGTCATTTGTGAAGAACGGAGCCATCAGAGACGAGGAGGATTGATAACTGGCCTTGTTAACATTCTCTTACATTCCATGGCACGGGGCACAGTCTCAACCCAGGAACTTACTGCTCCTCTGGCAAAAGCCAGCCATCTTTCAAAACTTCACATTTCTCTTCATCGTAGTTAGGAGCGTGGCACGGAGCTGCGAGGGGCACAGTAGCCACAAGACGTCCGTCGACTGACTGGTTGAAAGCATCCCAGGTCGAAACCGATGGCCAACAATCATCCCCGGGGAAACATCGGCAAGATGAGCTGTCAGATGCCTCAATTGCGGGGGCAATGGCCACAAGGCCGAGGACAGCCCCCAGTTTGAGGGTATTCAAAGATGGCATTGAGAGTTCGTACCCAGGAATGCTTCAGCAGGGTTAGAAACAATTGACGAGGTGAAGAGCCGACGTTCTTTTCGGTACTTATGGCCCGGCTACTGAACATTCCGAGCTCGGATAAGTCTCCTGTCCAGCTAATCCCGCTAATGCAGGAGGCACAGTGGCATGAGGTTAGCAGAACTTAGCTCTCGCCCCAGCCTTCGCTAGTGAGATGATGTCGGGAACTCCAGGATTCCGTCGGCCCCACCGCAAGACGCATTTGTCTAGTTAGACTTATACGAGGTATGCTGGAGGTAGAATCACGTCACTGGTTTCTAGCACCAAGTTCTAGGTGCATTTAAGGCCTCCCAGCTGCAAACGCCACCCGAGAAAACATGGACGCGGAAATGATAGTTTATATCATGCATAAACTGTATGCAAGTTGTGGTAACCCCAGTCAAGGGGGCGGTTTGCCGCGATCTCATCTTCAAACTAACAACCTTAACCAGTGAACCAAAGCAAACCAAGTCCAGCCAAGTTAAGCCAAGTGGGTCGGCGGCTTTCGGCCCCCAACCCTTTCCAAATTCCTTCGTTACGTGGCGTTCAAGCCTGCCCCGGGGTAAATCTTCTGCAGTTCTCCGTCCAGGGTGGTGTTTCGCTTACCTGCCTGAAGGAGTTTCATTTCCATGTCATATCCAGTAGTCATATAATTACATAATTTATTTGAATAGTTAATATCTAGGACTGGATCTTCTATGTATAAAAATTTCTTTCTAATTTTCATATATTAATTTTCTACATATTTCGAATAGGAAAATACATAAATGTTGGTTCAATTATACATCCCGTTTGCATATGAAATTCATTTTCATTATTCTAGAAAACTACCGAGGGATCTATAGTGAAAAGCATTGGATAAAAATAGGCGATTGACGGAAACTTTTAAGGGGCCCTGCGATGACTGTAGGTTTTCCATGGAGTCGGGGCCAACTAACTAGCATGGCCTGCATTTGATAGATTCAAACTCTGTTGTTGCCGCCACTAGCTACCTGAAAAGCTGAGGAATGTGTATATCAGTCATGGAATCTGCCAAAGGTTTCTATTCAGACCCTCTCTCTTCTTTTCGCCCTTGGTCCATTTTGCTCCCCTTGTATATCAAAACCAGCTACTATGGGGAGCACGGTTGGGGCCATTCCTCCACCCCCCGGGGTGACGCCTGATTTCGACTATTCCAATCCCCGGGGGTTTAAGACCGAAATGATCATTTTTGGCGTTGGGCTCTTTCTCAGCACCCTGTTCTTAGCCATGCGTATATATACCAGGGCATGTTTGCTGTCAAAGTTTGGATGGGATGATGGTATATCAATCTTTCCTCCCGATACAAAACGAAACGAGTCAAATCGCTAAGTTCAAGTAGTATCGATAATCATAGCCTGGGTAGGAAATATCGATATGACCAGCTCGTTCCGGTTTGCTAACAGCAGTGGTTGATTCGAAAAGGTTCTCTCCCTGGCTACCCAAATCGCGTGCATGTGTATGTGATACCCTGTTCCCGTTACCTTAACATTCGTGACGATTCGTTGACATTATCCTACCAGTGAGCTGCGTCTATGGCGGCACTGGAATCCACTTGTGGAATGTGACTCCAGACATGTTTGATGTCTACCAAAAGGTATCTTGAAACGCCCTACCTCATATCCCACGCCGTGTTAATAGATTCCGACCGCAAAGACCATCCTGGCCGCCGCCGTTATTTACGTGCCTGCCCTCGCATTCGCCAAAGTCGGCCTTATCATCCTCTATCACCGTATTATCAACAAACAGTATACCTACAAATGGGCACTTCACATTATCTCAGCTATCATTTGCGGGTATAGCCTCGCTATTGTTTTTGCCTTGATCTTTGCATGCAACCCCATTCAGAGGAGTTGGGATTCCTCCATCACGCGGGGTTCTTGTATTGATCGCAGTGGCTTGTACATTGCAACGGCTGTGACCAATATCGTGTCGGACCTGGCGCTTATCTTGGTTCCTGTCCCACTGGTGTTAGGCCTACAAATGCCGCGAGTCCAAAAGATTGGACTTCTCGTGATGTTCATCGTTGGCTGCGCGTGAGTATCTCGGTGTCAGGCCTGCTGGTCACGATCCTCAGGGATGCTAACCAAGCTCCAGTACATTTATTACCAGCATTTTGCGGCTCACCACCCTGATTCCCACCCTTACAGCGACAGATGTTACATACGCCATAGCAGATGCACAACTTTGGATGTGAGATCCCATGTTCCTTGTGCAACGGCACGCAGAGCTCACACCTCCCCTCTCCTACAGTTATGTCGAAGCGAACCTGATTATCATTTGTCCCTGCCTGCCATTCCTCCGACAGTTTCTGCGATACTACTCCCCCTCCTGGATTGGCGAAGCGAGCAGTTCCGGCCAACGCTACTTCAGTTACTATGGTACAGGGACCGCCCCGCGCAGCCGTCGCAAGCAGGGCCTCACCCTTCTACAGGATGACATCGCACTCGCGGAGAGCACCGAGAGCACCCACAGTCAATCGCATATTGTCAAAGAGGTTCAGTGGCAGGTGACCGAAGAGCGAGGGAATACGGAATCGGCACCCCCTGTTGGTTTCTCTCATCGAGTTTAACACCTCGATTCAGGGGTACGAACCATCCATCCCGCAACTCAACATTGTCGATCGGCGACCAAGATACAATATCTTTCAACGACGAAACCACTGAATGGCTCCGAATATCCGGGCAGATTCGCCGCCTGCTGCGATCATGCGATGATACGAACGGGCAATAACCATCACGCCGAAATTAGTCGCCGTTTAGAACCGAAGCCCGGCATGGCCACCAGTTCTGGGGACTGGGGCGCATTACCTAAAGCTTCCAGTGAAGTGAAACATTTTCATTCACGTGAGCCTCTCATTGGACGATCTTATATAGACTACTTTAGTTCAAAAAGATACTTTACATAATAGCCCTGAGTCAAGGGTGTCATTTCTGTTGCATATGGATTATTAGTATTGTACGGCGAAGGGCACACGCTTCTAGCGCGGGTGGCTGATTTTAGACAGAATCGAAGACGCCGATCACACTCCTAGTGACCCCATCTCGCCTGTTCGTTTCGCGTATGATTGGGTTTTGCCGCCACTCGGATTCCCTCTGGACGGACAAGCGCCCGCACAGGCCGTCGGCGATTGTCACCAGTGGACGATGGCCGACGGCTGTCGCGTGTCCATTCCTCTTTATGATTAGTATTCACGACTCCCGTTTCGGAACTTTCCGCCACTTAGCGTTGGCACAGTCAACTCTCGATATTAAAATCACAATAGTTTCTTCGCCCAGACTTTCTTGAATCAGGCGTGAACTTTACTGGTTGAAATTATTGAGAATTCTTGTCATAAGATTGTTTCTCTAATAACCATAACCTAGACATGACTCATGTTATGTGGAATTAAAGTCCATGTAAGCACTCTAAATTTCTCATGGAAAAAAAGGACCATATCACAACATTAAGCGCACTCTCAGTGACTCCCCAACGGCTCCGGTCCACCTGCATCGATTGACCGAGCGGAAAACATGTCCGGTCGATGAGGGAAAAAGACAGTGAGACACAATCTCGAGCGGATCCAGCGGGTCGGCGGACCGAGCGCGGATAAATGAGCTTCAGCACCGACCAACTGTACCATGGGAACCGACATCGGGTAATAGTATTGCATGCTGCCTAGTGCCAACGCCGTCAGTTAGTTATATTGTGAGCGCCCTTTTAATATACAGTGATTACTGCGAGGTGTTGCTAGGGCCTGCCGGCTCAGGTGACGTGCGCAGAGAAGGAATCACATGACATATCAGCTGCCTCAGGCATTTATGTCTGCCATACAACACTAGAAGCGAGCTCCCTGTACCCTTATGAACAGTTTAAGCAATTCAAGCAATTCATGCAGCTTGCTTATAGCGTTATACGGTGGTAGGATACTACTGTCTAATACACCCACCGTGTTATAAATGATATAAAGAGTCAATTTTCCACCAATTAGAAGCCAGATCCTTTTACACAGCCCCTTATCGTTCCTGCTGCGCTTCGCTTTGATGTGCAATAATAGGTGCAGGATACTACTAGTAGTGCCCGACAATTACGATACTTGGTTTATATACTACAGAAGCTTTTGTCGCTTTTCTATTTCTATGGAACTTTCTGTCACGGATCGGCTGGCGATTCGGTAAGCTGACTGTGCAGCGTGAAACATCTCTCCAGTCGTCACAGATACATTCTGGGCCGGTTCACCATAGAATGGGTAATGAATAAGCGGCTCTAACTAGTGTGCGTAAGTCTATGCGATCTAACATACATCAGCTCCCCAGAAATGATAGGGTTCCTATCGCCGACTCCGTGCCTGACCCCGACTTTGAGGGTCGGGTTCTGCGGGGACCCCGGACTACTCTATGTCTGTACTTATTATAGTCTATGTATAGTATCTACGGGCTATACAGGACGATGCGACATCTCCAGAAGGAGAGAAAGCTACTAATACTCGAAATTATACAACAGCGAAATGATGGAAAGTTGTTAACTTTGTCTAACGAGACTTTTGAATATAACAAGAAATAACAAGAAAGTATCGCAAGGCTGTAGATACAGCCCCCCCTTGTACACCATGGCTACTGATACCACTCTGCTGCCACCCGTGCTCAGAACTCATCTGCCGCACACTGAATTTCTGGTCAGCTGGATATGTGTACTTAAGAAGGAGTATTATGCGGCTCTGAGGACTCGGAACGAGAGGTACGATACAGCGGACTTGGTTCGCAGCCAAGGAGATTAAAACCATTACGCTCTTGGGCGGATTAGGGCTCATAATGTAACGATAAACCTTCCTCCGGCAGAAATGTACGGACAGATCCATGCTTCTCATATTGCGGCTGATATGAGAAGTACGTTTCCCAGAATGCGATTCGTGCTTCTTGTGGGAATCGCTGGCGGAGCACCCTCTCCAAAGCACGACATCCGTCTCGGTGATGTGGTTCTCGGTACAAAGGTAGTCCCTTATGAGACGGGCTAAGTAGCCGACTATGGGCAAGTCCAGGCTGGCTTGGTCCAAATCCCATCCAGACAGCTGTTCGAAGCGATCACTTTCGTCGAAGAGCGCCTTTGGTCGGAGGATGTGCACCTATCAGAGTCCATTGGGAGCATTGGTGCAAAGTTCACCAAAGATGCCGAACACTTCCTGCGTCCCACTCAGGATCGACTGAATAGAGATGTTTTCACCCATAGAGAGTCGGAGTGCGATTGCTTACGGCCTGAATCACGACAACGAGTCAATCTTGGTAAGCGGGACGACCGTACGAAATACCGGGTCCAGTTGTTCCAAGGCGCTATTGGTTCAGGCAACCAGGTCATGAAGAATGCCCAAAGCTGAGATGATGTTGCCAGTGAAAAGAAAATCCTCTGGTATGAGATGGAAGCAATTGGAGTCATGAATGTAGTTCCGCGTCTTCCCATCCGAGGGATTTCTCACTATGCAGATGGACACAAGAATGATGAATGGCATTTATACGCCGCGTTAGCAGCAGCTATATGTGCCAGGGAGCTATTGTTATCTGTCCCGCCACAAGTTGTTGCTCAGTTCCCCTGACCCTCTCTGGAGATGCCCTTGAGCGCTGCATAAAAGGGGCGGGTAGTAACCGGAATGCCTTTTCTGGCAATGAAGTTGACAGATTGCGATACACTCGTGATAGTTCAATGGAGCGCCAAGTCTTTCTTAGAGACCTCATGATACCCGAGCTCTGGAAGATGGAGGATACCTCGCGCGATGATCTAGAAGTCGTGTGAGGTGAAGTTCGGAGGCTAAATAAGTTTCAAAATATGCTACAGGGTCACCTCCACGACCTGAATCGAATTTTACGACAACACGGTAAGTTGTTAGTGAGCCAAGACCCGCTTATTCGAGAGTAATATAGGGAATTACGATCTCAGGTGTGGAGAGACACTGAAACGCTGAAGGACTTGGGCGTTTTCGCCTAGGGGAGTCTCCAGACGACGGGCAAGATGTTAGAAAGTTTGGGGGGCCAGTTGAACAACAGAGGTAGGAACGGCCGGCATAGTTTTGAGCGCTAGTAAAGAGTACCTTGGACATATTGTGAAACTCTGGAGATCGAGTGGAATTTCCCCCGCCGCTATGTGGGTATGGTTGCACCAGAAGTTTCTCATGCTACGCAGGAGTCGATTGTCGCACACTAAAACTGAAACGGGCGATTTAACTGGGATTGAGATAGGGACATATACAGAGAGCCTTGAAACGGGCGATGACAATTCTTTTCTTCTTTCTTGACTGCATGAATACCATGCATACATGCTATGTCCAGTGATCTCAGAAATATCAACATATCCTTCGCAAATCTTATGGACAATTATAGCGTCCATCCAAGCAGATGACAATATATGTGAAGTGATATTGCTAATGAGAGCCCGCATCCTGATGGCGGGTCGTTACCCATTGCAAAACAGAGATATTCAGTGTAAGGATGTGGTGATTCCGGTGACCATTAAGCCTCGCCTGAAGGATAAGGGAAGTGGTAGGCCTCGTTAGCGGAGGCAGACCGGAGGTTTGTGCCAGGGAGACATTGGACTTCCGAGGGGGCTCTGAAATGAGAACAAATCCATTACATAGCCTACTGTTTGTTGCATTCTGATTAACGAATAACGAGCATGACGCAGTAAGTGAGCGACATCAACCCGTCATATGAGAGCCTCTCGTGCCTGCTTAGTTAATAGGCTCCGTCACCTCTTTCGAAATCTTCAGGATACTATCGAGCTGTTCCTTCGGCACTCTCCCCATTCCACACTCAGTCGCCACGCTGAACCTCTTCCCGGCGGCCTCCTGCGCAGCCTTAATCCGACGTTTCGTCCCCTCATCGTCATCAAAATGCACCAATCCCAAGACCAGCCGCGTATCCTCATCCACCACCAATCCCTTCAACGGCTCAAAGTACGCCACGTCATCCCGGTCCTTAGGCACAGGCATATGGACCCAATTCACCGTGCGCGGTCTGATTGTCTTTGCGATGTCATTCGCGAACTGCACCAGCAACGCCAGATCCTCGGGTTCAATCAAATGTTTGCCTTCCAGATCACCGTAGCACAAATGGAAGCCGACATGAACATCTCCCGGGATGCCCGCGCAGAGACGCTGAATCCGATCCAATACCCCCTGTTTGACGGGCGCAAAGTGCGGCTTGAAGGGGAAGTCGCCTGGGAACCTACCCCGTTCATACTCCAGATCAATTACTTCGAAGGGTAAATCCCATTGGATTGCGAGATCGTGAGCTGGGATGCCGGCTACAATCGCGTTGAGCGAGTCAAGGATACGGCGCTCATAGAACGGTTCGAGCTGGGCATGAAACTCGGGGCGCAAGTGACCCTGGATACAGGCTAAGGGTGATGGGAGGGAGACTTGAAATCGTACTCCCGGGGGGAGAATGCCTTGGTCGCGTAGTTGCACGAATCGCTTATAGGATTCGAGTGCAGCGCCATCATACTGAGAAGGCGCCACGGAATCCTGAGTAAAGTCGGGGTGGTCGGCGGTTAACTCGATGCTACCTGGTAAGAACGGGCGGTATGTCTCCTTGGGAAAGCAGGGTAGCTCCCAGCCGATGTAGTTCTGCCGGACGCCTGGTTCGCCGTCTGGGATCGAATAGAGGCGCTGTGGCAGCGCTGCTGCAATTTTCCTGAAAACCTGCTCGGTGTCGGGAAGGGGAATACTTCCTACCAGGTGTACTCCAATTGGGGCGGTCATGGCAATTGAAACCGCTCTAATAATGCGTTTCTGTGGGGGGCAATAGCGAAGGAGAAGGTGAAGGCGAAGGCGAGAGCAAGAGCGAACCCAGAGAAGATAGGTGGGAAACCATGATTTTAACTTAACCCCCGCTCAGGTGGGAACGAGAACAAAGAGAAGACTTGGTGACTCATGAGCCCTGTAAAAGCAGAGCAGATGGATTACATCCCTGCTCTAACTGCCAGGTATATTCCAGGGATGTTAGGGCTGCTTCTTGGCAAGGCACGACTGAAAGGTGCTCCGCGCAAAAAGGATGATTACACCTTACCCTTGTATTAACTATATCCGTCACATTATAGACGAGTCTAACGACCGGGCCGCGTGGTGCTGCATCGCTGTAAGGCCAATTCAACAAGGGAGGAGGGAATGTATTGCTGATGATCAGCTGATGGTATCCTGCAACGGCAATCGTATCATGATATTTGTCGTTTATATAGCGATCATATCGACCATTATATTACTACATACACGAAGACATTCCTCTTACTCCGATTCAAATGAATACTTGAACATATCGTTACTGTCCAGCAACACGAAAGATTCATACCGAAGTCCCCTATCGGCCGGCAGCCGTACAACGTCGTGTGTGACATTCGCCGAGACTTCAGCCCATCCCTCCCACAGAGCTCTCCAGTAGCATGCCTCAGCAGCTGGGGTTAGGTATCGTTCTCGGAAGGTTTTGACACTATTATTAGCTATACGCTCTGCCTTGTCCGGCTTCTTCAAGAGTTCGTCTATGTGTTTCGGGAGATCGGAGAAGTCTCTCTCGACTTCCACGTAGTTCTGCTCCGGACCGGACGATACGAGGAGATAGTGGTGATGTTGGATATACTGCAGCTTATGAGCCACGACGACGGACCGACAGGCTTGTCGGTACTTAAGGGATGCTGAGTATGCGCGACCTGGATATCGACGATATCTGTCAGCCTTGTACAGCAAAGTTGAGTTGTGAAAGAAACGTACCTTCGACATGCCCGATAAACATGTAACGACAGTGATCCTCCATCGACAAGAAGTTGGTCTTCTTGCTCCAATCCAACTCCTTCACGTCACTCCAAGGCTTGCCCCGTGCAATATCCAAGAGCGCCCGGCGCAGCTTTGGTGCAAAGCTCAACTTACCCCGCCAGACCAGCTTCTGTTTTTTATCCGCAAATTTCAGATTGGACTCAGCGGTCATGATGCTCTGTACGACTTGTCCGTATGGGCCGATGTTACTCTTGGCCCAGGACCAGTACCCGAAATCGGGCATCAGAATGACCGACTCCTCGGATGCTTTCCTCGATAACACCCAGACTGGGTGGCCAACCGCGTCAACGTCATCCACGCGATCTTCGATCGAGAAGATAAACTCGATTGTGGGGTGCGAGGTACGATTCGAGGACGCGGAGAGCGCCCGATGAATAGATCCTAGAGTACCAAGGATTTTGCGCCTATGATCATCCCCTTTTGCTCTTGTCGCCACGACGTACAAGTCTCCGTTGGAGATGATGGCGCGGGCCATGCCATCTTCTAATGGTACTGTGCGCAGATCGTCTCTTGATATGCGCCCTCGCGACTTCCAAAACTCGACCCCTCGCTGGATGTCCTGGAAGAGACCGGGGAATGCTGCCTGGCACTGACTCTGGCTCAGGCCTAGGTTCTGGTCGTCTCGTCCGTACTGGAAACTCCAAGTTGCAAGGTGTTCTGGTTCCGATGGTGGTGGCGAGGCGAGACAGGTGAGGCAGTCGGCGCATTGAAATGAAGTGGATGATTGGCAGGTGCAGTGGCCTGCTGGAATAAGTTGTGTGAGGAGCGGAGGGATGTTATCACGGTCTGAGTTCATCCCAAACCATATCAAGTAGATGAAAACACCGCAAGCGCCGATGGTGACTGCAAATATCATCCGCCGAAGGGAACACCAGCTATTCCATGATCTGTGCATGGTGAGAGTGCTGAAAATGGCGAGCATGGTAGGTGGGATACCTGGGGGAAGGTAAGGAGAACACCGAACCTCCCCCAGGCAGAAGAACACTGAGCCAGCGGCCCATAGATTGTCTCAGCTTACATGGGGAGTGACTAGGGACAACAGGTAAGGATCCCTGAACGGGTCACCCAGTCCACACAGTTAGACCCAGCTAGATGACCCACAGGATCATAGCTTCTAACCGCCTGAACTAACTGGATCAGAAATTTATGACTAGCCGTCATTTAGTGCCTAATCTAAGAACCACTACTGTTACTAGCTAAGACAGCCTACATGTGATGTAACCCTGGAAGCTTCTTATCCCAGTTAGCGGGATTGGCCTCAAAAAGTGAAGCCGCAGCTAAGCCATGTCCACCATGAGAATTCTAGTACGGTTCGGTACATTTGAGAAAGCTTTAACCCCAGACTTCTTTGTTCCAGTCCTTAAGGAACAATCGTACACCATCTCAACTAAATTCTGAAAACTTAAAGCCAAAACGGCAACCCTGTGGCCCTAAATAGATGGGCATGTGGTATGCACCTCCCATCCAGTCAACATGGCGCAGCCCCATTTAGCAACCCATCACCCGGTCAATCTTGATCATACAGCCGTTGGCGATTTGCTTGCGTCCGCAATGGCTGCAATGTCCTCGGTTGCGAATTTCATTGTAGGCGTCCATCAAATCCTGCCCCGTCACTTCACAGTGGTTGCCGCTGACAAAAAGACCGCAAGTTCCACTGCAAGTTCCAGTATCAGCAGCACTTTGTCGAGTTAGTAGAAAGTCAAACCATCCATTCTCAATAAAGTGTAGACATACTCGAGGTAAGTGCTGTAGGTGTTGCTGGGAATAACCTTGCGATAAGCATCGTCACAGCTAGAACCGAGTCTTTCGCAAAAGGCAGAGCCCTTGCAGTCGACATCCCCTTCAGCCAACTCCATCAAAACGTTGCCGGTCTCCGCAGAGGGTTCTGTTTCAACCATGACGGATTTATCGCCATTGAAAACGGGGAACTTTTCACCCCTAGCAACGATTGGGCCGGGGACTGCTGCCGCAATGGTCGCCAGGACACTGACGGCATAAACAGCGTGGTGTATAAGCTGCATTGTGCTGGTTTGGGTAAAGGGTTCTAGGTCAGAGAAAGACAGGAAGGTGGTATGGATTCTGGATGGTAGTAGGTAAAGTTCTTGAGTGCATTGGAAGTAGAGAAGTTGTCAAGAGGCAGTGAGTATCGACCCTTTTATATCCTTCTGGTCACGGAGATTCCGGTCATGTTGCCCACTCGACCAGTTCTAGAGTTTGAATTCCCAACAACTATCCAGTTTCCAATGGACTCCGCTCGTGGATCGTCGCCCTTGGGCTCGAGAGTTGGGATATCGGCAGCCAGCCTCTATGGAGTAATCGTTACATCGCCTCGATGGACAGGCGTGCAGCACGGATATTAAGCGCTGGTGAACAGACGATTGACCGACACGTCCCAATCAGATTGCTGCTCAGAGTATTCAGTTGGTTACGGATCCTGTCAGTGTCCTTAAGTGGCAATCGCTCCATGACAATCTGGAAGTTGAGCCTGAAAAGGGGGCAGATAGCGCGTGCCGCAGTTAATCCTATATGTCAAATCTATCTCAATCAAGTACTGATCCTAGCACAAAGGGCCCTTGCCAGGAGATAGCCCACGACACAGCGCTGGCTATGCGGAGAGATGGGACAGAAGTCGTGGTCATCTTTGCATATCATTAACTGGATTGGTGCCATATCCTGGTGATAATGTTTACTTGGTAAGCGACTACGATGGCAGGGTTCGGAGCAGGCTCAGCAAGGGCGAGTTTTTACCTAACACCAGTCAGAGCAGTGACATATGTTTCAGCCATCCAGCATACTTTACGAGTAGCTCTTCAATATCATATCTGGTCAAGGATGGGCACACAATTGTAGATTCGGTGTTACTATGTTCTGTGAAGTCCAATGTCCATGTCAATGCACCTGATAAGCACAAAATATCAAAAAAGCCATGACCCTTCGGTCTCAGTTCAAGTAGTTTTATAGAGTCAACAACTCTATAGAAAATATATAGCTTTTTCCTAATCGATCTAGTATTCCTTAGCACCCTCTCGCCACTGTATTACTAGCTCAAAACTGTAGCCCGAAGCTACGCCGCTGACTCGCCTAAGAAGCTTCATTGACTGACGCTGTGAAGGTGGACAACTCTAGGTACTTTTACGCTATATCCCATGCTTGGTCTGCGGTGCTTGTGGTTGCCCTGTGTTGGAACATACGAACGCCCTGCGCCGCGAGGTTACAGGTGAGCTGACCACTACAAATGCCAAGGGTGACTTTACAACCCAATACTATATCACGAAAAGATATCTACTGGTATGGTAAACAAGGAAGTGCAATTTCGGATCAATGTACTCCAGCTTAATTGTTGTCCTAGGGGGTCAGGTTCGTACGAGCATGGGCTACAAGCGGAGGTCACCCTGGCCAATTTTATTGGTCGGGTGAGCTATGTATGTACTAGTACTAACTAGTAGTAGTACTCCTGCGCCGCCGGCCCTCGGGGTTCAGCCTCGTTTAGTCATCATCCGGTGAGATAGTTCGGGCCGTCCCGGCCCCCCAATAGAGACAAGTCTTGAAGCTCAGAGGTCAGAGAGTTTTTGGGTGTTCATTGTTGATCTCTCTTACTAGTACGTAGTGTGTGGGGGGGTTAATCAAACCATCATACAAAAACACTCAGGCGCTAGGCCTAATCAGGAAGGTCACATGAACTTAAAGCATCCTTGCCCTGTTCCTATGGATCGGAATCCCTGCTGAACGGCGATCAATGACCACAGTGCTTGGGGGGATTTGAAAAAACCTCGTTGCCGCCGGGCTCCTAGCGCAGGTCATGGTCCTCCTACATTAATTGATGTTTGTTGTGATTCAGGGGAAGAAGGGCAGAATGAGGCTGTCTGTATCAGCCAGACGTACGTAGCCTACTGAGGACCGGATGCCATTCGATTGATACTCAATTATCTATGGACGACTCTATCGCAACCGCTTATCGTATCATACCAATAATATCAATAATTAACGGGCCAAGCCTCCAGGGTTTGGTTTGGTTTGATTACTATTTTAACGTCACTCGGCGGATCACGCGGCAACGTGATCCGCGGCCTCCCTAGGGGCAACTGGACGTGCTACCTAAACAGAAATCTCACTAAGAGCTAGCGAAATATATGCTCGAAGCAACGAATCTCAAAAATTTATGTTGGAAAAGGGTGGAAGAAGTGCCTGGCGCTACCCTGGCCTGGTCTTCTGGAGGTAGGAACCTGCTTCGGCTACCTATAGATGAAAGGGGTTATCGTTCGCCTTTATCCAGGTCAAAGCCACTAGGATCACGTGGTCTCATATAGTTTCGTATCAATATTGTATCGCGTTCAGAAGCGAAGCAAGAATACTTTCATGGACAAGGATGGATGCCTTCGGGGCCCTCGGCCCGGAATGGAAATTGGACAGGAAACACACCCCTTACGAAAGATCAATGCCAAGGGTCGAGAGTCAGAAGTACTGTATGGATCGAGCATTAGCCATAGATGAGCATACGATCATCATGAAGCCGTGGCTACTCCACTTTTCTAAAGACATTCTTGTTGTTATACATGAGCTTGACGTAAGTCGAGCCTGTGCCGCAATACCCTCGGGACAACGCTAATGTACGAGCGTATATTTCTCGCTTAGTGCGGGCGATGATCTCCCACGATTCGGTGTGTGTCCGCCAGTAAGATGCCAATAGGGGATATCCACTGAGGCCATGCATTATCGGTATTGATACCCTTCTCTGTTGTACGCCTCGGGGAAACGGAGCCCGCGGCTAGTCCACTGCGGAGTTGGCCTCGTGGCTGTATACCAACAACCAGCTAACAATATAGCCTCAAGCCAGTGGTTGATGCGGCATATTCCTTCTTTGGAGAGACGCTTGGCATGTTGGAATGGCCTAAATGTTCCCGTGTACCTTACTATTGTTGCGAGTTTGCCCAGGTACTCAGCCTCCAACGACTCATAGACCTCCGACCGTGGTCCTGTCTGAGAGCTCCCACCATGGATTGAAATCGATCTATATAAGACGACTACAGACCCGAGATACTGGAGGTTAGATGAAAACACAAATCCCTTTTCCAAAACACCAGTCCTGCTTCTCAAGTAACACAAGGTGCACGCTATCATCATGAAAGCTTTTGCCCTTACATCTTTTGGACTTGCGCTCTCTGCTGCTCTGGGGGTATTAGCTAACCCAGCGAGCCCTGGATCTCCTACATCCAATGACTTGTATGTCAGAAACGAAAACAATCACCAGGTTCAGTACCCAGGAGTAAGTCTGTAAGGCTCGTTGAGATATGAGACAAAGGGTCTGATCTTTTTAAACTAGAAGTGCAATCCGAAAACCAATCAATGCCATTATGAGTCACAAAGTGGGCTGAACGCTATCTGTCGTTGCGACTTCAAAATAGTAACTTGCCCTGGACCCCATTACTCCAGGAGTATACTAACTTCTACTCACAGTGTACCGACACAATTGAGAGCAAAGAATGCTACTATGATTCTTACACTAGAAAGTGCGTCTGTCAGGATGTGGTTAACTGAGGCGGGTAGTTCTGCTGCTGCTATTGGGTTGATTGAGAAGTAATCTCTATGTAGAGGGACACATACGAGTTTGCTGCGTTTCAGTATATGTTGTCCTGCTTTCTATGCTATACCAGAATTGAGCAAGGAATATTATCTCGAACCCTGCTCCCTATAATGCGTCTCATTGTATTTCACCTCTGGTATGGTGCAATACAGCACTAGATAGAGTGTAGTCTCACCAGTATTCCACTCCGGTATCGAGTCATGGACACATCATCTGCTGATCTTCTACTAGTCACTGTGGATCTCCTACCCTGAACAGGTGGCGTGCCACCAATAGTAGACGGGTCTGATTTGGAGGCAAACAAATGTTGCTGCCTGCCGTAAAGACGGCATCCCCTTACCATTCTATATCTATCTCTCAGCCTGCTCTTTTTATAGATAATATATCCGTTGAAGTCTATCTCGCCTACACTCGCCTCATTTCCTGAAGTTCACCCTCGTGACCCTCCGCAGCAATCGGCACTGCCAACACATTTACGTTCCTGAACCAGGATGCACGACTTACTAAGAGATTCACCACGCTCTCCGCCGCGGGATGTACCTTCCGGCTTCGCTGCATGCGCCTCAGTGGATCAGGCAGACCTGGAGGAGGCTGCTCGAGCAGGGAATTTCGACCTCCTCCGATCTGTAGCACATAACAGAGCATGGATTATGGGCCAAAGCTATTGCCGGAGCCGGGTATCCATTGACTCCAACGAGCCGTATCTGCATTCTCTCTGGTACGTTTATTACCAATGCGCCAGACATGTCTCCCACGACAGCTTTGAGCAAGACAGATGGATCCTCGACATCCTCCGGACACGAGGACGCGGGCCTCTAACGCGGCCCGCACCGGGCGCTGGCATCGATATTGCTAGAACCCCCGATGGTACCGTCTGGAACGACCTGCCCTTCCTCGTGACGGACATGACAGAGTTGTGGGTCAAGGACTGCGCGACCATGGGCTCAAAGCAGCGTCTCAATGCTGCGTCCTTCCTTGCGAAGCTTGCGTCTACGCGTATTGCGAACGATCGGATTTGTCAGATTGCTCTGGCCCTTTTTCGTAATACGTTCGAGTCCGAGCGTCCCCTTGGCAGCTCTAATGAGCCGGATGATGAAGACCATCGCCGGACAATCCATCTAGTTACTATTGCTTCGTTACTCCCATCTGTATGTGCCTGGATCCGAGAAGCCGGGCATAATATCTTACTCTTATCCGATGTCTCATGGAATGATTGCTCTAACAGTACCATTGGGAGATGTGGCTTCACCTTTACCCAGTCGGAACTAGGTCAACGAGCACCTGGTGGATTTAGTCCCTGGAGATGGTTATACTGGCTTAAGCGGTTACATCAGATTGCCGAGGAAGCCTCAAAAGCAGATGAAAAGCTTCTTGCAGAGCAGGCCGCGAAGGCAATTGACATTATGTTAAGTGACGTCAAGCAGAGGAACTCTCAGATTCTCAGGGTGTTTGAGGCAGCGGGCGATGCTGTGACCCAGGATCCAGATTTCATGGGTTTGAAGAAGGAGTGGTAGATACAGCACAACCAGACTTCACGTGAGATCCTATGTCCAAGGACTACTGTGTTCTTCTTGTTTCTTTCTATGTCAGTCATATTGTGAGTTGCTGTTCTTGTGTAGCATGTCTCTACACCCTAGTACACGACTATTAGACAAGGAAAAATTGACTAACTCACGCTCCAGGACATGTACTGACTCCACATACAGCCATATGAATCTTAACTAGTTCCTTCTTTAGTGTGTATAGACTCATGGTTGGTGGTTCTGAGATTAAATGTATACATAGTAGCCCAAGGCAAGTAGTTACTTGAGATTTGAGGCCGGGTTGTAAACCAAGTATAGTAGATAGAGTGGTATGACCTAACTGCTGTAACCTGGCTATAATCTAATGTAGAAACCTGAAAGCTTGACCGGGAGACCCACAGCTGCGAAAACCCAACCAACGTCTTCGAGTTCAAGATATGGATCTTCGGTGGCAAAAACCAAAAAGAACTGACCGACGCAGGGATCGAACCTGCAATCTCTTGATTCGTAGTCAAGCGCCTTGCCATTGGGCCAGCCGGCCGATTGTTGAGTTGAGACTGTACTAAAGTATCCCTTAAGCCAAGACTCTAATGTCAAGGCCATCTCACCAGGATGTACAAACACACTAGTATTAATTCTTGACGAAATACTACAAGAGGCAAAGAGAAACATGGCGACGTGTACAAGAAGCTCTGAATATTTACTTCTTTGATGCGTTTGGTAGAATTCGGCCTGCGCCAAATCATCTAGCCCACCGACTTCCTTGCACTAGATTACTATATATATCTTATATATCTCACCCCGGTACTAGAACACTGAACATTACCTTTCGCTGCGCTCAAATCTGCGTAACCTTTTATTACTGCAAAATTATATACACCTAATCATGATCGTATGAAATGACTATTCCAGGCTTAACCCCTTCTTCAACTCCTCCCTAAACCAGCTTGTCGCCTCTTGTCAATTTCAGCTCAATATCTCGTATCCAAAAAATCGATCGAGTAAATTCCGGACACTGTGTGGATTACAAAATGCCCGAGAGGAGTTTAGATACAACAACCCTAGAATGTAATTACAAATATCTCTAGTTCCCATAGTGATTTGTGCTCCTCACACAGCTCGGGGTTGGTCGCCAGCTTGCCCAGCACTCCTGTGGCAGTTTACCAAAGGAGCTAACTGCAAACCTACCCTTTGAACCACCGTGCAAGATGTGAGCTAATGCCTGTGCCAGGTTAAATAGATATACACAAACATATAGTAATGTAGGGGATTATCGGGAAGTACTCATTTCACAGATCAACAGTTGCCTAGCCTTCCAGCTCGTAGATGCGGAAACGGTCGATGGGGGGATCAAACACTAGTGCAGCATATTTCGTCAAGGCCGACCCTAAGTTCCCCTTGAATCCATAGTCTCCTTGTGTTTCGCCGACACTATGTAGTGTAGGGTGTTCAGTCGAGGGTGGGTCAAGATCGTCGTCTGTGTCAAGGCTCCCTTGGACTATGACACCGGTGCCTACGACCGCACGGATTCTCAGTACAACCAAACTATCGAGGACTTGTGAGCATATTCTCGGTAGGAGGTTCGAGAAGAGACAAACAAAATTGCACTCCCCATAGCGTTGCCAAGTGTCGCTTTGCTTCGCTCCAACTCCGCCCCCAAAGCAAGGATTTCCTTCCGCTTGAAATACCACATCATATTTCTACGGCTGAATCTTCGTCGTTGGATTGGCAATGTCCCATCAGTCGCATCAGATATCCCCACATCCTGAGATGAGGAACTGTCAACGCGGAGATGTGGCAGGAGTTTCTCCAGTATCGCTTCACAGGCTATGGAGCAATTTTCAATCGGGATCTTGAGCGTCTCTAACGCTGTCATAATCTCCGCATCTCTGCTCACGACAGTTGCTACTGTGTCACTGCGAAGGGAGCTTTCAAGATTGGAAATCGTCATGTAGAATGCATGGGCATCTCGGCTGATTGTGAGAATCTCCTGGGGTGCATTCTGAACGACTGAGCAGAAGTTGTAAAGCTCCAGGGCGGTCTTACAAGCGCTCTGTGTCAGTTGCAAAATAGCTGCAGCTGTACCAATCACCGATGCAGGATCAGCCATCCTCGGGCTCTAATTAATGAGTATCCCTCAGATTTGTAGGGGCTACCCCAGAAGGATCAAATGGTTGCTGAAAGGAACAAAAGCAACTCATATATTAGCCTTGTTCTTCAGCCTCGTCTCCCACGTGATGGCTCCCCTGCGCCACCTTCCCAAATCATAATTTAATTCCTAACCACCTTTTTAAGATCGGCAATGGAGAAAAGCCACTCCAAAAACGAAATAAGATAATTATCTCTTGCCTGGGTGCTTAGTCTAACGGGTAGAAGGTTTATCAGAAAAACGATCAGCTAAGAGAAGAATCATGCTTCTATGTTTTCATATACAAAACTTCAACTATTGAAAGTGATGGACCCCGTCTCTTCTGAAATATATGCAAGACCACAGTCACGGCATTACACTATATGTGTCTTTTAGTTCATAATTCACTTCATCGGCCAGGAGCCGCCCGATTTCACTAGGGTGACAGATGTTGAAGATCACCATGGCGATAAATATTAGCACCGCATCGAAGACATAGAGGAAAACTTCGTGATGCAGGAGATATCCATTATTCCCCTGCAGATACTCAACCAAGCGAAATACAGACCGGATCATGATCAGCATACTTGACGCGTATAGCGCATTCATATGCTTCCTCCAGGGGATTTCGGCGGAGTGGCAACGCGGAATAGGATATTTCTTTAATTTCATATCGAACGAGCCTGCCGTGACGATGAAAAAGCCAAAGAAAAATATTTGGATGAAAAGCCCGATGACGATGATTTTCTCTCCTAGCTTCATGCTGTCAAGACTCCCGCCACTTTGGATACCACCGCCTAAAAATTGAAGGGATAATTAGCAGTATTCTGGCGGTTATCAGTGCCTGTGGTTTGTCTCGGTACTAACCAGAGCCCTGTAGGAGGAAAGAGAGTACGTCGCCCGTCACGAAGACTTTTGTTAACCATTTCTTTCTCATGATTGCGTGCGACTCCGCCCGTAGAACTAGGATTATTCGTCCGAGGAACATGTATATCGAAGCGGCGAGCAATGCTGGAGCGAGGAGCAGGAACAAGGTTTGGATGAGATATGGTCCCAAGGTCCAATTCGGGGATTCCCGACTGGACATCGCGCGCCCGATATATCCGAGTACCTCGACTGCACAAGTCAGCATTGCTTGCTCATGAAAGCGTTTGAAATTTTCGATGAGAGAAGTCTCACTAACATATGCCGCCAATCACAAAAGGGAGAAAGAACCAAGTTCGGGTTCTGACCATCTGGTAGATATGAAAGAGTGTTGTGCCTGCAAAAAGAACGATGAAGACAACGGCACCCGCCATGCTCGGATCATAGTGATAAAAGGAGAATGAGATTGCATCCCCTGTTGGGTTGCTGTCTGTACGACGTGTAATCATGTTTATCTTCTGCTGCCAGAATATCCTTCGATGCAACAGGGCAGTATGAGGTGGTCATGAGAGAACAAGGTCCGCACAGTTGAAGACAATGCTCTTAAATCGAATATCAAAGTGACGCTGCAGAATTTAAGGAATGAACAAAACTAGGCAGAAGAGAATCCATGATGAAGGATACTGTAGCATAGCCAATAATCATCGGCCCAGAAGCTGAAGACTTCCATACTTCGAATAGTCACCCTTGGCGGCAACAGACATTAAGTAAAAAGGGCTATGTATGAGCCATGTGGAGCCGTTTCAGATTATATTCTCCTAGATCCGTTGTTGAAATAGCACTTTCATAAGTTATTCGGTTTCTCTGTGCTATTTCTTCGTCGGATTCGTTTTCGTTCTCGCGTTCGGGAAAGCCGCACGGTAGTTAAATCTTAGTCGACCCACAGGCGATGAAATGGAGTAGGCTCTAGCTGAGAGATCAGGGCTAAAAAAATATTTTACTCATTTGCCTCGTGTTTGTCTCGCTTTCGTACTCGCTCCAGGATCATAGTAGTGTGAGTCCAGTAGAGTGGAAAGCCCGACTCCTGCTTGACCTAGACACCAATCGAACTAGTATATCCAACGCAGGGTATTTCTATATTTAGATGCGTGTCGTTAACCCGGACGATCATTTCCATTATCTCGGTCTAAGAGCAATATAAGAAGCCGTCTAGACAATTCCAATTCATGTACATTTGAAATGTTGGCTCACTGAACAACTTCCCGGTGCTTGTGGCCCGGCACCCGCATGATGTTTTTGTGTACGTACATCCACAACTCGGGAAAATACTGCATTACTTATAACTCACAAGGAAGATCGCTTCTTGAGTCATGACCTGATATTAAACTCTTTCATTAGCTACTCTGGTTATGTGTAAAGGACGATTTCTGACTTAAATGAATCCAAGGCCTACCCATAGAGTACCCCATTGTGGTATCTCTCGATCCTACGCAATCGACCGGCAGGCAGTCTAGACCCACGAGATATAGTTACCGACTTGCTTAAGCTTTCCCGACTTCGCCTTGCGAGATCCCGAGGTTTGTAAATCAAAGGTAAATTTTGGCTAGGTTCCGTCCGATTTGTCGCCGGCATCTTCTCGGGTACAGAGAGTTCTGCGATCAAGTTATGACCGATATGTATCGTGGAATGTCCGAATAAAAAGTTGATATGACTATGCCAACGGTCTAGATCGGATCTCTCAAACTCTTGAGTTGAAAAACAATGTCTAGACCGTCGGCGGTCCACATTTAAAGCTTTTCCATGGCCAGAATATTCTCACCCCAACGGAATGATCGACCCTGCAGCACCAGCACATACTGCAAAACGAACAATTTATGAACAACAAGAAGGTGTTGAGACGCTCTTTAGGAATATTACTCACTGATACTCAAGTTGGTGTGATAGCGTCCGCAGGTCCTATAAAATTGAAAACTTGGATGTTCCTATGGACCCACATACTGCCTGTTTGCGTCATAGACTGTCCTCCCAATGCGTCAACGTCCAGGGAGTTCCACACCAGCTGTCCACTCCGACAAGGCTGCTAGTGGTGCCTTTCGGCGGTGTTATCGTATGCTGGTCCATATATGACGTTGATCTACCCGTGGTAGGACCCGTTATGGGTTTCCATGCCACATTCTATGCTCATTTTCTATTCTTGGACGACCATACCCTAGACGTCCTCCGTTTTTTCATCGTTTCCAAACTCTCGGCCATATTGAATAGTACCACTTGGACTGACTAACGCTGTCGTGGCTGCGGGTCATCCTGAAGTTTATCTAAGCCATGTGGTTTTACTGATATTCACGTTTCACTTTCGTCTGGATATAAACAACAACGCCCTCCACTAGCCTGCATACTTTCACATATGCTCGAGACTATCATAAACACCTCATATCTATTCATTGTGCAGGGTTAGAACCCCTACATCTTACACCTCTAATCACAGGCTATTCAACCACGCCAGCCCCATGCCGGAGGACCGCCGCGACAGTGAAGCGAGTCAGAGTTCATTAATCAGCTACCGGAGTGTGGAGCACGAAAGCCCAGGGACGCCTGAGCAGCATGAAGAGGCACAAGGGGCCAACCCGGAGACCGTCAGCCCGACCAGCGTATCGCCGTCTCGGCATCGGGTCCATTTTGGGACAGACCTGAGATACGAATATGGTGATGTTGACACGGAATCAGAGGGGTCGCCCGAGAAATCACCTCCTGAACGTCGTCATCGGCCCACACAGGGGTCTGTGGATATCACCGAGGCACGACCGAGGAAACAATCTATCTATCTCAGTCAGCCTCGTGGGACCGATAGTGTAGATTTCGAGAAAGAGTCCCTAACTCAGCATTCTCACACTGACACCAGTGGCTCACTTCTAAGCCGACTTAATCAGCTCAGACATGCGGCGACGAAGAAGGCGAGAGAATGCGCGGCTCGGCTGGGTCGTCCACCTTCTGATGAAGGAGACGTGCGCGCTATGCATTACCGTCCTGATTCAGCGGTCGGTAGCGAGCTCACGCTTTCTGAGAAGGGGTATGAGCATGGTAGATCGAGCTCTGAGGCCCACCGCCTTGTCCGAGAAATATCTCAGGATCAGATTGCTTATCATCGGCCCGGACATAATAAACACTATCCGCACAAGGGTCCTGATTACTGGGGTAGTCCTGCTGATGCGTGGAATGGGGCGGGTATAAGACGTCGTGGCAGTACTGGAGGTGTTTTGTCCCAGCTGCTGAAACTTAATGGAGCTCTGGATCATGTACATATAGGCGCACCGTCGACCACAAGTCAGTCTCCCCGAGAGATCGGGACGCCTCTAGGTGGAAGCACATCTGGGACAGCTACACCACGGAAAATGAAATGGTATAAGAAGCCGCCGAATATGTCCCCTAACACTCTGGCTGCCGCCTCGACGAATATCAGTGGGGCGAGCACGCCGGTCTCGAGTGAAGTGCTCACAGCTGCCTCCAAACGGCGCAGCAAGCACTCGCCGGGGAATATGAGGCTCGAGGATGAAATACAAATCACCCTACAGATTGCCCAGATTATTGCGCGCGAGAGATACATTATGCAGCTGTGCAAGGCACTCATGCTCTTCGGGGCCCCCACGCATCGCCTAGAGGAGTACATGCAAATGACCGCGAAGGTCCTGCAAGTGGATAGCCAGTATCTCTATGTGCCCGGCTGCATGATAATGTCTTTCGACGATCCCTCGACGCGAACCGCGGAGGTCAAACTTGTCCGCGTCTCGCAAGGCGTCGACTTAGGCCGTCTGTCCGAAACTCACAACATCTACAAAAACGTCATCCACGACGTTATAGGTATCGAAGAAGCAACCCAAGAACTAGAAGACATCATGAAACGAAAGCCCCGGTACAGCAAACTAGTCATCGTGCTAGTCTGCGGCCTGGCCACCGCCATGGTTGGCCCATTCGCCTTCGGCGCCAGACCCATCGACATGCCCATCATCTTCTGCAACGGCTGTCTGCTCGGCATCATGCAACATGTCATCGCCCCACGCTCAGTCCTCTACTCAAACGTCTTCGAAGTAACAGCAGCAGTACTCACCTCATTCATTGCGCGCGCCATCGGCAGCATAACAACCACCATCCACGGCACACCCAACCAATACCTCTTCTGCTTCTCCGCCATCGCCCAATCTTCTATCGCTCTCATCCTCCCAGGGTACACCGTCCTCTGCAGCAGTCTAGAACTACAATCCCACAAGATCGTCCCGGGCTCCATTCGCATGGTCTACGCAATCATCTACTCCCTCTTCCTAGGCTACGGCATCACGGTCGGGACAACCATCTACGGCCTCATAGACCGCACCGCAACATCCAACACAACCTGCCCCAACATCCTAGGCTTCAAAAACCCCTACGTAGCCCGCTTCCCCTTCGTCATCGCCTTCTCCATCTGCCTCCTGATCATCAACCAGGGGAAATGGAAACAGGGCCCGGTAATGGTCATCATCTCCTTCACCGGCTACGTAACAAATTACTTCGTAACCAAACGACTCGGTACAAACACCCAGGTCGCCAACACCGTCGGCGCATTCGCCATCGGTGTCATGGGAAACCTGTACAGTCGACTGTGGCACGGCCATGCAGCCACAGCCATTTTACCGGGGATATTCGTCCTCGTGCCGTCTGGTCTGGCGGCATCCGGGTCGCTGATTGCGGGCGTGGAATCAGCGGATGCCATCCGGTCGAATGTCACTAAGAATGCGACTCATGAGAGTACTCAGTCCGCTGGGGCAGGGCAGCAGAAGTCCGTGCAGGATTTGGGGTTCGGGATGGTGCAGGTTGCTATTGGGATTACGGTTGGGTTGTTTATGGCTGCTCTGGTAGTTTATCCGTTGGGGAAGAGGAGGAGTGGCTTGTTTAGTTTTTAGCTTCCCTGCATTGAGGGGCTTCGGGTCGGTTTCATATAAAATAGACATTGTGGATGTATCTTGGGAATAGTCACGTATGGCTTTGCTGTCTTATTCAAGCATCATAAACTACCAAATCCTGACTAACCTCTACTCTCCAACCCGTAAGCTAGGCCGGAAAATGCACCGTTGAACCAAATCGAGTCATCTATAAGATTGGGACCCACCGCCCAGGACTTCCTGTAAGCGGTAGCTCTGGTTGACAATGTATACGTATTCCACACTCTAAGTATTTGGACTAAGACATGACAATAACTTCCGCACCGCAAGCTTGGTGGGGATATCCAGTACTTCTCTAACAGTTCACATTGTCTGCTTATCATCATCATCAAGAGGGCTTACCCGTGCCCGAGGATGATAGAAGCGAGACCATCTTCCTGGGAGAGTGTGTCAGCGTTGGATAAGTGTATAGGAACTAGTCATATGGACCATGGGTATGTAAATTTTAAAGGCCTCTACAGCCCATATCAACACCGGTAATAGGAAATGGGACATTTGGTGACGTTGATTGATTTGGTTGGCAGATATCAGCAACTAGATAAAGTGGCGGCTGGAATTAATTCGGCTCAGGATTTACCATTTGTAGCCTACTTGGAAGAGATATTTCGTGCTATTATCATATTAGTCTTCAAGTTGGAGATAAAAGAGGGGCCATCTGATCAATCTCATGATTCGACATTGCTATAGATATATAGTCCTACCGGACTTGGTTTTTCCCCACACCGGCATTAAAAAAGATATAGAATAACAGGATACGTAGTTTTGCAGCGACACGTTACTCACTTTCTCCGCTCATAAAGCAGTGCGAATCAATAAATTGCGTATTAAATAAACATCTCTAGTCATTAAGGTAACCGCATCAATATCTATGCTTGCAGATCTACTGCCTCGTGTGCCGGCACAGAGTGTCCCAATCGATGTTCCCCATCCAACAGATGCGATGTACATAATAGTATACAGGACGTGCTACATTATTGACTCTCCCTGGAGAGCATCGACCCCATCATCTCTAACAGATACCGCTCCCGATAGAGCAGCACCCTCCGCCCGTCCCCTTGGAGATACTGACGGCAAAGATCGCGCAATTGGGTTTGCATCAGGATAGGAACGCGGAGAAGGTGGCCAGGAGACACTGTTATCTCCGTGTGCTCTGAAGAGGAAGATGGGTGGCGGAAGACAGCGTCGCGGACGTCGGAAGGAACGGATTTATCGCGTGCGAGCCAGTCGCAGAGGGAATCGAAGAGGTCATTCGTGATCATGAATTGGACAAGCGAGTCCAGACTCGTCCAGTCAAGGGCCTCGCTCGGCGAGGGGAGGGCACCGAGTGCGTTGTACAGGGTGACCGTAGAGGCGAGACTATCCAGTAGTGGTCCATCTTTTTCTTCGTCGCGGATTTCTTGCGTCTCGCGGATTAGGATGCCCCGTTGATCGTAGTCGCTGATAACCGGGCGGTCGTAGCCCAGCTGGGTTCGCCAGAACCGGTTGCATAACAACTGCAGCACCATACAGGGCGCTAGCACCACGTATCCCCACCACATTTTGGCTGTGACCATGGAGGCAGCACCGGCGATGAGTCCGGTGAGCCCGGAAACGACGGCGTGCCACTTAAATTTACTGAAGCGCAGGTGTAAACGGTCGCGAAACGGTGAGAGAGCCGGGGTGCGCGCACATAGTCTGTCGTAGCGGTGGAATCGACGGGCAAGGTAGACGGACCAGACCGCGTTGACGACGCCGAACGCTGCTGCGAAGGAGTTTCCCACGAACCCCGACAGGAGGTTACTGGCGTCGAAGACTTTGGGGTGGGCTCCCCAAATGGCCATGATCGTACCGGTGCCGACAAGGAGAGCGCCCAGACCGAGGAAAACGTCCATGGCGACACGATCAATAAGCTCTGTGCCCAATTCGCGCCAGCCAAGGTCAAGGCGACTGTCGATCAGCCGGAGCAAATCCGGGTCGGGGTTGGCAGATGTGGAGTAATCATGTTTCAACGATTGTAGATATCGGCGTTCGGCGCGGAGCAGTTTGACATTCTGCCAACTAAGGGTAAAGTCGCGGAGGGCGACAATGCTCATCATCAAAGCGATTGGTCCTCCAATGGCCATCAGGATCATTGCATGTCGGGGTACGGGGATCTCATTCCACACATTGGCAGCGAAATCCCCGGCATTGGCGAACTCGAGGAATCCCGTGCTTGCCAATAAACTGTTCCGGTACCAAGGAGGGTGGACCAAATGCAATCGTCCGTGCCGACGGACGACAGTCACCATAGGGACGATCTTTCCCGCTTCATTCTCTTCCTGGAGAAAGAGCTCGGTTTTCGATTCGGAGGGGGGACACATTGGGCGACCGGAGGAGACTCGCTCCTCCAGAAGAGAGTAGTCAAAGAGGAGGAGGGAAGAAAGAAAGAAAGAGAGGAGAGAGGATGGTGTGTGAGAAACGAGAGAGAGAGAGAGGGGAAAGAGAGGGAAAGGGGGAAAGAAGGAATGGTAGCACCCTGTCTGAACGGGTAAAGATAAAAAATGAAAGTGAAAGGGGAGCAGGACGACTAAAAAGAATGGAATGTCGGTCACGGACTAAAAGAGCTGGAATGAACTGGGGAAACCGGCCGAGGTCCGCGATTGGTCAACCACGGATGACTGATTGACTTTTCCCTGAACTTGGCGTTGCCTTGTAGGGCTGAATGTGGACTGCCACTAATTCCGTCTTCGAAACTAAATCATCCATCTGGGAGATCCTGAAGAACTAGAAGGATTCGACGGTTCTCCTCGGTCATCCTTCTTTCAATCTTGATCACTGGTGACATGCATGCCACCCTTGACCGCTCATCACCTTCCCAACGCATCCCTCGTCTGCATGAACAAGCATCTGCGACCATGCCCATCCCTACCCAATCCACGTATCAACTCTATACCGCAGGAAACATGCGAAATAGGCCGACTACTGATGTACTTATCATAAGCTGCGTAATCCTCTGTTTCCGAACCACCCGTGCCCCGCTAGCATTCCAGATCCCTCACCAATCCCATGTCTCAGCCCTACCGTGGAGTTGACCCATTCCGGAGATGACCTATTTCACGAAATGAGGGGAACTCATACCGTTCCGCATTTCCGGAGGGTCCACTCTGCCTGTCAGAGTCTCACTTACGTACTGAGGATACGTAGCAAAGCGTGGTTGGATCTGGTGTTAGTGGAACAGGATCGCTGTGGGAAATCATTTTTCCTAGTCGGGGGAAGTGATTGGGAGCTCACACCCTTTCCCAATTAAGGCACGTGGACTCAATACTACTAGACGTAAAATAAAAGCCATGTGACCCATGCAGGCTGTTGTGTTACATGTGGCCTGCCTGAGGGAACATGAATTGATACCTCTCGTCCTCCGTTCACCGCTTGCGGATATGACAAACATATATTTCCTCACCATGAATCACCATTTCGACAAGCCATCGTTTCCCTTTATTTCATGCCTTCCCACGGTGGACTACCACTCTCTATTTTACGCCTAAGGCTCGAGAAACTAGCGAGGGAACTGTTCTCGGCAACTTGATCAACGCGTGGGGCCAATAATCTGAAGTCTCCAATTTAGACACGCATGAATTATTGAATAAGAGGTTGCTTTCCTACCATTTCCCCCTTACGCCGAGCGCGCTCATTACAAACTAATACGCAAAGAAATATGTTGCATAGACCTGATGTGTATTAAATAGTAGATATCGACTAATGTGATTTGTGCAGAAAATACTAGAAACACGTGACTCAAGGAAACGGCAGCGGAAAAGAAGGCATGTATGTACAAGATCCGAGCTATCTGCGCATTCCGAGAATTGGTAGCGCTATCGTTATCAATGAATTGGATGTCAAATCCTTGGTAGCCGAGGCAATTTGTCTCGGGTGCAGACATTGAGAGAGATCCCGCACAGCAGGGAGGTTATCGTCACCAGCGATGGTTACAGGTCAACCGTATAATGTGGGAAATGCAAGGGAAAAAAAGAATCTATCGTCGAATATGGGCTGTATGGGAACACTCTATGCACCCTTTTTCATTTTCTCGGACTTACTCTCTGCTTGTACCCGATCGCCCATGCATAGGGCTTTGATCAACCGAACGCCGGCGTCCGCGGTGTCGTGGGCGGGACAAGACCAGAATCCCTCCTCACTCGATGTCTCATGATGGCCGGGGTGCAGGAACTCCTGAGAGTTGGTTTTGACATCCGTTCCCGTGGTATAGACATTGACACGATCTTCGAAGCGGACGCGTTGTCGACCCTTCGGAGACGTACTGCGTGTGAGTGAGTCCAAATAGTTCTTGCGAAGCGCGTATCGTTTGGCGGCCTCCTTTCGAAGCGAGCCTGTGGCGATCTTCTCCACAGCCGTCCGTACGACGAAGCGGAGCCCCAGATACGCCCATTCCGCGGCAAGGAGGATCAACAGGAGCGTAGATAAACGGATGTCAGCCATGCCACCACGGTATAGGTACACGATGCTGCGGTGGACAAGGTTCCTAGCCAAGTTAGGACCTCCAAGCCTTGGAGTGACGGCCCAATGGAATCGGCTCGGATGGGGGGTGGCCGCTGGCATTCGAGGCTCAACTTGAAGAAGTCTCCCCGGAGCTCCAGCCAGTTATTGAGAAGAAAGCCGAGCGGTACCAGCGGCCATGACGCGCCAAAGAGTGCCAGATACCCGTACTGAACACACATCTCCAGTGTATCGTCATGAACGTTGTATTCGTCGGCTTCCGTCTCGTTACGGACTCTTGATAGGAAGGATGCCTCACCCGGGATGTCATTCAATAGCTGGTCGGTTCGGTAGGAGTAACGACGCCCTTGTCCTGCCGGCACATTCTTTTGTCGATAGTCGCGCCACTTCTGCATGACCACTCGCTTCACATAGGGCAGCACAACCTCCTCACCAAAGTTCAGAACCTGCCCTGTCACCGAGAGATAAATGACCTCCTGCTGCAACCGGGAGGGATCGATATGAACTCGGCGGGTGTCGAACGCGGTTGCCAACTTTCCAACACGGATCACGTCGAGATACGGCAGCAATCGAGCGCCAAATGGGACATAGACAAATGCCGTGAGGATTGTGGGGAGGAAGGAGGTGATGAAGTTCATCACAAAGGTTTTGGTGGTCTGTGCAATATCATACTGGTCCTGAGTGCGATAGTTTTCGTAATCGGTTAGTTTGGTGGCCATGTCTGTCAAGGTGTTGTTGATCCACGGGAGTGACAGAGAGAAAAGGACGGTCGGAAGGAATTCGAGGTATTCCTTGAATGGTCCTGTATAAACTTCCCCGATCAAGATTTCCATGGCGAATGTTACAACAATCAATGAGCCCAAAGCGAGACTGGCAATCGAGGCAAATGGCAGCAGCAACAGCTGGCGAAGGAATTGTTTGTGCGCCGGGAAGACACGGACGGTCTCACCCGTCACGGAGTCGCGTACTTCCTTATCCCATATATACTGCGGGCGATTCACCTTCAAGGCACCCACGCCCCGGACGTTCCATCGGAGGCTGAGGTCAGTTTCTCGGATTTTCCAATATTCGACAAACACGATGCACCAGAGGCAGTTGACCACCGCGGAAGTAATGGAGTAGGGTCCGAGGTAGAGCCACGTAAAGACGCCCCACGCGGCGGGAAAGACCAAAAATGTTGAGTAGCATTGGATGAAGGCGAAATAGTAGGCGACCTAGAACGATGGCAAGTTAGCGTCATTCACCAGGAGGCGGTTGTCCGGAGATACCTTTTCCCCATATAAAGCCCGAATCGCATCCAAATCCTCTGCATTCAGCAGTAGCGTTTGACTCCACTTGCGCAACAAGTTGGCGTTGGCGGTCGGATCATGCAATGGAAAGGTGCTGGCCACATTCTTCCACTGGCCTAATTGCGCGGTGACGGCCGCACCGCCCAGGGCCTTGGACCAAGTGACGGCGTGGTATACGGATCGGAGTTCTTCGGCGGGCGTTTCGGAGTCGATCGAGGTATGCTCGTCGCCGATGGGGAGTTCGTGGATGATCCCGTACAGCCAATCCTTCACTCTGGACGGTATTAGAACCGGGCGAAAGCGGGGTTGGGACAGTGATTTGTCTTACCGAGATTTATAGACCATATTTCCCAAGTGGTCGCGGGGGACGCGGATGCAGAGTAACAACGAAGCGCCATAGCCAGGGCGGACTTGCACTTGTAATTTCGCTTCCTGCAGATCTTTGATCAGGGCCCGGAATTCCTCGATGGCTTTCAGCATATCTGGAGAATGCAGAACAATTTAGCGAGAGAGACTTTAACTCGATGGTCGGATCGATTTTGAAGACATACCGGTGTCTTCAAACTGGTAGTGGATGACCCAATCCACACCAAAGTTGTGGGCATCGGCCGCATCGAGTTGGCGGCTTCCCGTAAGCAGACCCATGTCGACTGAGGGATGTTGTGCCAGAAGGTATAGTAATAAATTCATCAGAGGGGATTTAAGGTGCGATGGGGAGGCGGTGAAGGGTCGTCCGCATATCCGCGGCTCGGTCAAAGGAGAAGTTCCTGCAGAAAGGCAATGGAATGGGAAAGGGTAAGGGAAGAGAAGAGAAAGGAGGAGAGAGAGAGATCAAGCGGTTAATCAGGGTTCGTCTGGGTGCAAGGGGTGCGCCCCACGGACATTTTAAGTATTACTGTCGATCTTACATCACATTCCTGGAAGGTAATAAATCAACATAATATGAACTAATCCCAGGAGTATTAATAGCAGTTGGGGTTCTCTCCTGGTTGGTATCCGTGGAAGTAACGAAATGACAACCGAGGATCCGTGCCAAGCTTTCAGCCCTACAAGGCAATTGGCTCTTCGGGTGGAAAGTATGGAACTGATTTTCATGGGTTCTGCCAGTTGCCCCTTGGCCTCGCGTATTCTGGAAAAGAAAATTTCTGGAATGGAGTAAGCCGTGGATAAACCTCGGAAGATTTCCCAAGGACTCGTCAGCGATGATCCATTGATTATCTCCTCTCCATGGGTGCATCTGCATCCTGCAAAGAAATGGAACAAAAGTGTTTCGATCAAGGACTCAACAAAAGTCACCTACTTCATTCGGAAGTGGCTGTCATTGTCCACGCCACTGGTGCTACACAGTAATTTCTTTATATGGCAACCGATCCTCCTGGCGACCTCATTTCATTGGTATGTGGTTGCCTAGAGGGGAGCTACGGTTCTTCCCCCCGGGATTTTTGTCTCTGATCTGGATCCTTCCACTTACCCACATGATGGATTTGGTGCCTCATAGGGGGAAATCAATTCTGAACAGACAGTTTTTGTCTCCACTATGGCTCTGTACCATTTCCAGATATAGTGGCACTTCTTTCAGCACACGCCCTGAGCGAGGGATGGGGGAGTTCGTTTCATACCAAAACGATACGATACCAGAAATAGTAATCGTACTCGGCGTAATTCTTATTGGGAATGCTGCTGCCTGCGCAAAGCCTTACTTCTGGCGTCATGGCCCGAATTAGGTCTAGTGCCTCCCCCAACTACTTTTAGCCGCCGGTAGTTCGGTGGAGTTCGATGGGGTCTTGCGATTGCGAACCAATCGTTTGTCAATAGTGGAGGAATCCTTACGGGGGATCGCGGATACTCTCGTCGTCCGTGTCGAATTTCTATTCTTCCAGCAATGATCATGGTGTAACGGTGTAAATTATGATTTGCGAAATAGACGCTGATGGTACTCGTGGTAAGGAAAAAGGAAGCCAGTAATTTATCTTTCTCGATATACCTTTCTTCTGCCCAGCAGTGAAGAACAACCACGTTCTTAGTCAGCCGCCGATGTAGACTCTCAAACTGTACGACTTAATGTATACCTTCATTTCCCTCCCCCTTCATCTCCCATCTGCATGTGTTGGAACCCCTTCCATGAGTGGTTCAATAAATTGACCTATTGCCTCTCCTATCTTCCGACACTCGCTCATTGCGACCTTCGTATCGAATATATCCGCTCGCCGTCCACATCTTTGACCGGCGGTCAACTATCCCCCAGAGTGATCGCATCGCCCTCGACCGAAAAGAGCTCTAGCGCCGCTGTTTTCCCGACCGCCCACGTCCATCACCGCCTTTTCGCTCAACTCACATCCTCTCAATGTTCTGGGACGCTTGTGAAGTCATGGCTCGTCGTTTCTTCCCTGGCCAGAGTGCCGCCTTCGGCTTAAGCCTGCTACTGTTTACCTTTATGTTTTTACCCACGCTGGTCGTGTTGTTGGCGGTGATCGTCTTCTTTTTGTTCTATTATCCTCGCTTGCGAAAGCCGGCCAACGGGCATTGATCTGATCCGAAACTGAAGGAAACAAAGGAAGGAAAAAAACAAAAAGAAAAGTAATGTCCGTATGACACTAAATACCACGGCACAGCTGTATTATGGCGCTAACCGCCCGTACAGATCCTCACTGTACAATATACGATGCATGGCGCATGATACATACGATTGATTCGATAATCAGTAATGGCTGAGGTTTGCACGGAGTAACACGTTGTTCTTTGTTACTTATGTAATTATATCTCTCAATTGGGTTCTCATGGTCCTTACAATTCTTTATAGCCTCTCAGTTAACGCATACCTCCGACGCTTTAGTTCTTTGAAAGGCAGAACAATGAAGATGTCAATTCTATTTCCGGAGAGGCAATGGCCTTGCCAGTTCATTTTTCCGTTCCTACTGCGGGCTGTTTACTGTAATTCTTCTGATTGCTGTCAAGTCAAGATATGCTATCTCACTTACCCTTCCATTGGACTAACTTTCGGCGCAATGCTTGGCCGCTTAGCTTATCTGCTTCTCGTGCAGCTACAGAGCTTGAGATCTCTTGGGTGTTCACACCGCCAATCAGAACACGCAAAGGTTGTGTAAGGAGGCTGATTTCTAAAAGAACAACCCCAGCCTCCCGGACAACTGGCAGGATGTTGTGGAACAGATGGCGGCATATATCTTGACTTTGACCCATCCCGTCAACAAATGATATATCTACCCACCCGTGCATGGTCCAAGCCGCAGTTGCTATGTCCACTTGAGTATTCTCAATAAAACATGACTCACCTGCCATTCAACGGCTTTATGAGAGAGTTATATCGGGAATTAAATATGGGCATTGAATCAGCCCTCCTCACAGCGGAATAAACATGTGAATAAGTGGTGGTGAATAGAGTCGCGCGAAGCATCACCATGGAGGCATGGCTATTCCCAGAATTAACTGCATCTTGGTCCGGATAATCGGGATTCCTCGCCATGGCTATATGGCATGCCATGTATTTATATTCATATTCTTACAATTTAGTGCACCGGACGCTCGGAGCTTTCTTAGTTTACTGGATTTCTCGTCTATTATAAACCCCTTCTCTCCTCGGTCAGAGTCCCTGTTTCTTTGTTCTTTTTCTTCTCTCAGTTCTTCCTATATGTGAAGATGATATGCTACTGACATCGCTATCATTATGATCAACGTATACCTCCAAGCTATTTTCATTATATAGTAGGTGTCTCTATGGCTAGGCCAGTTATTTGAGAGGCCTTTTCGATTGGATTAGCCGAGATCTAGGTGTGGCACCTCCTTGGCGCTTTGGTATGTATTACGTCTTGTTTCAATAGTCATTCCAAAGAGGGTAGGTGAGCCTTTCCTGTTCCTTTTCCTTTCCATATCCTTTTGTCTCTTTGTATCACCCCTATCTTTCCATGTGAGGAAAGAAGCTGTGGAGCTTCCTCCTGCCGACGACATTCCCAAGGTGCCTACTGATAGCGAGGATGTTGTTCACCATTTGGAGCAGCGTAAGTGTCTCTGCCAATATCTGAGAATTTGACTACCTTGCGCTGGCTGACTTCCTAGGCTTATTTAAGCATAGGTGACCCGAAAGTGCGCACACTCACCATCAATCCGAAGTCACCTGAGCAAAGCATTAGAGCTGTCACCTCCACACCCGGTAGACGATCTATATACCACTCCACCAAGGTGCATAGCCAGAAGCAGAGAGAGGCTCTACGCTATATTTTCACGTTCGGTGATTGGAAGGAGCTGTGAACTTGCCACAATGATCATTTTATATCGGCCAGCGAACAATGCTATAGAAAACTTTGCCATCGTCGTCTTCGTATGTTTATGTTTATGATGCAGAGAACTGAATATTCTTCCACCGGAGCCGACTGCCACGGACCCAATCTTGCGGTCGGCATGTACAGAGCTTCGAGGCCCCGAAAAGGCCATCTTCCGATATTGACATCTATATGCCCTTGCTTTCCTCATATGGGAACCTGCAACACATACCGCCTATAGCGACCGGTAAGAAAGACCAGATTGGCCGTCCTAGTCCGACCCAGGTGGAAGAGTATCTGTTCACAATGCTGCTTGACCGAATTGGTGCAGTACTAAGGTTTGAAGACAGAAAGTAACATTAAGCTACCAGTGGATGCCGCTAAGGAGGCAAGGGAAGAGGCGCGGACGAAGGAAAACCGTGAAGCGATAGAAAACCGGAGGAAAAAGTGCCCTAGACTGTATGAGCAGACTCAGGAGAGGCGTAATGAAAGGCGTCGGGAACCCGACAAAAAAGGAGAAGGCAAGAGCTTATTGGCAAGCCTAGAGAATATAACACGCAGTGACGATTCAAGCCCAAAATGACGCTACGATAGAAGCCGAAAACGCTACGTCCAGAGCTCACAAAGCTGAGCAGCAATAGGGGTATCGAGCACCAAAGAAGGCCACCAGCAACAAGAAGCTTGTTTCGCTCTGCGATCCCAGTACAGAATGGTCTTGATTATGACAGGTTTTGACCCCGTGCACTGCGCAGTATTTTGATTCAAAGGACAGATGAAGTCTGTCCATGTGATGTTGGGCCAGATAACCATACCACGATCTTGTGTCGTACTTGGTGTGCTCAATTAAAACACAACACCTACGGCGCTTCGAGCTGAACGTACCACTGTGATCTACACATTGCCACCGTAAGATGGGCGCAGCACTCGTAGTCAACATGTGTCTGCATCTATCAAAGGAACGGCTTGTCAGCGAGCAATATCCGATGGGTAACTCTGAATTGGGTGATGGAGGAGACTGCAATTTCGAACGTCATTTCGCCCAGGGGCGAGGTACCTATATTTCCATTAATGCCTGCAGGGTACTGTGCCAAGAATGGCACCGTAACAAAGATACGATGAAACCATCATTGTTTGTATGAACAACCTAGTTGAGACAGACCCGTTGCAGGTGCTGTTGCAAGGGCTCTAGGGACGCTCTAAGACAAAACCCATAAATCAACGTGTCGAATCGCATACGGGGTAGCTGACAAATTGATTACTGCGTTAGTTGAACTAGTCGACACGGTGACTAGGGAGGTGACGAGTTTGAGGAGATCCCTATACCCTGACACCGCGGGTGGGCCCTCGGGTCCATCCGGGGTAGCTTATGTGAAAGAGAGAAAAAAGAAGAAAAGTATGACTTGGTTGAAGCATCGAAGAGCTTTTTCTCTAGACCATGGTCATGAGGAATCGAGGAAATATATTAGCTGCTGCTTGAGAGCAAGGCGCTACAGGCTTCTATTGGTTCCCCGAATCAATTCCACAGTGGGGCCTTTTCGACGGCGATAGCTGCTTCTTCGCCATTTACTGCGACAACAGTAACATTAACAGCGGTCTCAGCCTCGTAAAATTCTCTAATCTTCCTCCCAATTTCGTTGTCTGGAAGCCGAACATCGTCCTTATAACTGCCGTCGGTGTCGGCCAGGTGAAGCATTCCGTCCTCAATCTCTATCTAAGGAGAGCCACCAGAGATTAATAATGATACAGCACATATGATGGGGTGAATTTAGCAGCCATACCAAAGCGAGTTCGAGTCTTATGACAGGTGGGATTTCCACACTTGTATCTGGGGCCAATGTGGCCTCAAGCTTCTGGCCCGTGAAGAGGTCTCTCGCGACAAAGTGGAGCTTCCCGTCCAATGTTGACTTTTTAAGTATTGTGCAAGGACGGCCATTGATTACCATGTATCCTCTCACATAGAGTATATTGGCCTCTACCCATTGAGGAAGAGGAAGGTCTGCCTCGAAGGCGGACATTTTGTTTGGGTTGAAGCGTGAAGGTAGTGTGGAAATGGATAGGATGGAATTAAACAGCGATTAACCAGGGCGGGAATCCGGGGTTTTATATGCACCTGGGACTTTCAGGCTGTTATGGCTTTGCATCATCAGCTGAGATACATCTAACTCCATAATACTATCCAATAAGATCTGCGAAGAAATATCATCCCTTTCGGTTCTCTTCTCTCAGCTGGCTTGATAAACGAGAGATCAACATGCGCTAAACCTATCTCTGTCTTGTAAGCGTCGATCATCGGTCGCAATGATTTGGCGAACACCTATACCAGAGCTGAAACCCACCACTGCCCCAATGCACTACGGTGTAAGCAGTACTGTATAGTACGTGGCAGGCTGATCGTTACAGCCTCGCAGAGTACCCCTCCTCCCTCATTTGTTCGAATAATTCTTAATACCCTCGCAGCTCCCGGCTTCTGGCAGGAGATTATTCCAACCTGCTTGCGAGGACAACAGGGGCAGCTGAGTGCTCTGGAGTGCAGGATTGTTATATCGTTTTGATATCCATAGCTCTACCTATACTGCAATTCGGTCTTTACTGACCAAGGCGGAGCTACCCTAGTCAACATTTCTAACTACGGACAACTAAAAGATAAATAGAGGAAGGGAAGGAGTCCGAGGATAAGATATAGATAGATAGCTAAATATGGATTTGGACGAGATACCGTAGCAAGTACGTTAATTATGTGTAAAACCCCGTTTATTTCTTTTGTCTATCTCCAATATACAAGTCTGAGTGAAACGATGGTGTACGATATAGGAGCCATGCAGAGCATTCTGAATCTACGATTCAGAATTATCTGACCTCTTGGCCTAGTTGGGAACGTATTTGCCTGGATCGAACGCGCTCGCAGTAAAGGTATAGATCCGCGTCTCTAGACCGAGATTCTAATATCATTCTAGTTCATTAGCGAGGCGCCTGTATAGCTAGATGTTGAAGCAGCCATAGATGGGTACTTGATAGGACGTACGTTATCAAGGCTTCAGGCTAGACACCCTAAGTCTAGTCTCCAGGCCGATCATAGTACGGTCTTTACAGGGTTCATCTCCTGAAATAATTCAGATCATTGAGATACCCGCAACCCACCCTTGTTAATGTATATTTTTGCCTCGCTAAGTCTATGCCAAGACGTCTTTTTATCCCTGCAGATTGTGTGTATTGTGTATAATTACACCTATTGACTCAGCGATGTATCTTGGTCAACGGGGGGTCCAGTTCGGTATTTAAATCAGTAGGCCGGTCAGTTCTATCATTCTCCAGTTAAAAGTAAATGGAAAAATAGAAACCGGATTGAATTCAGTTCGCTTGATTGTATTTCCTGAAAGCCAAAGTGGTCTCCCCAACCTCTTTCCGAGGTTCCTGTCTTCCTTCCTAATAATTTCGAATAGGCGACAGTCGATATTACCTAGTAGGACCGTCATTACAACGTCAACGACTATGCCCGCAGCTGCCTAAAGAGTAAGCCAAATCTTACTTTGAGAACATTCCCATCCTCTACAACCTCATGGTAAAACTCGCACAACCTAATATTTTGGTGCACAAGTGCCTCATTCACACCTTAAGCCCCCGACAGTCGCGTTGCTACCATACCGCAACCACTACCATCACGATGGACGGAAATAAATCACCAAAGCCGGTTATACCAGCGAAACATGAAGGGGAAGATATCGAGAAACTTCATTTAGTAGAGAGGGTCCTGAACGAAGATCTACGAGTCGCAAAGAAGCGACTAAAGGCCGGCGGGTCATTTAATGCGACTTTCTGGATGCAGTCAGCTCAAGTCGAGGACATAATTCTCAAAAGGGCTCAGGAAGAGCGTAAAACGTCCTTTGAAATGTTCAAAGGAACGGAGGAGCAATGGGAGAACACCGAAGAGGCCAAGCGGCTATTTGAAGAGATTCGTTCGCGAGAAGTGGCGAGGAGGCTAGCAAGAAAGCGACAAGAAGATCTGGAAGAAACATCGAAGGGAAGAACGCTAAGAGCCAGCTTTATGAAGCTGTTTACAACAAGCAAAATGGGCTTGGGGATTGCAGGTACTGGAGCCGGGAAACGAGATGCTGCGGTCCAGAAACAGTTTCGAGAAGATATGATCGAGAAATATGGGGCACAAAACCCCGAACAAGATTTCATCTGGTGTCCTATTTTGGGACAACATGTCTCCCACGCCACGGCCGCCCATCTGTTTGCGTGGATGCATGGCCAAGATACAATGGATGCCATTTTTGGCAAAACTTCTGAGCCCGAGCTTTTCTCTCCCCGAAATGGGCTTCTCATCGTATCCGCTCTAGAGAAATATTTTGACGATGGGAAGTTGGTTATTGTGCCAGATCTACCAGAACGGCCACACGCGGCCGAGGTCCTGAGGTGGCTGAAGGGCGAAGCCCGAGAATACAAAATCAAAATCATCGACATGACGTGGGAAAAGCTGGACAGGCAGGTTGTTGTAGAATCGCCGCTCACGTATAGAGATCTGGATGGGAGGAGACTGAAATTCAGAACGCCATTTCGGCCGGCGGCTAGGTACCTGTATTTCCACTACTGCTTCCAAGTCCTGCGCCGGGCCTGGCAGTTGAATGGAGATAAGACTGCGGATGTATATCTGCGTGGTGAATCAGGTAGACCCTTTTGGGGAACCCTTGGGCGTTATCTGCCCAAAAATATGCTGTTAGCCTTGGTTGAGGAGCTGGGCCATGACTATAAAGACCTCTTAAACGGGGCATCCTGCGTGAAGGGCGAGGATGATCTTTTACTCGGCATTGCGAGCAACCAGATCAAATCTAAAGCCGCCAAGAGAAGGGCCCTCCGTAATGCAGGTCTTGCAGATGAAATAGATTTTACTGATACTGAGTCTGAATCCGAGTCCGAGGATGAGGAAGTTTGTTAGGCTGATTGTTGGTGTTTGTTGGTACTTGTCCTGTTGAGTTTGTCTATCACTTTTAGTTGCAGAAAGCGCATGAGCGTACTCATGTACTGCTAGAAAGCCAAGACTCTTTTCGTATTGATTCTTTCAGATGTCAGACATCATTCATCATGATGAACCACCGCGTGGCAAGGCACAAAGAACCGAACGTGGGTCGGTAGCACTCAGAATACTATACAATTACTTTTACGGTCTTCTATACAAGTAGGGTAGGATGTCTCCCCTTACTAGGATTATACAATCACTATGAAGTATCGCGTTCTAGACCTTCACGGTATCTAATAGTCGAGAAAGAGAACTGAAGGGCCATATTGCCAACATATTTCCATACCAACTCTAGATCATCAAAATTCTCTCTAACACCCCAAGCGGGGCGGAATCACCCATTTAAATTCGGGACCTGGTCTCAAATCCACCCGTAAAAGAAGAAGTCTTAATATCTGGTGGCGTTTGCAGGATCCCAGTAATTGCCTTCCCAAATTCCTTGAAAGCTACCGACTGAGCGTGGTTTTTCAGTGCACGTTCACTTGCATATCTTTCCGGATTGACGTCAAAATCCATGACACGAAGCTGTTACAAGATGGGTCATTTGCTTACTTCTCGACAATTACCAGTTGGTCCTTGCCCTTTGGTTGAACAGCGTAGTAGAGGAGCGTTTCAGGTTCGTGAGTCTGGACATATAGAGACAATTTGTTGAAGGCTTGAATCAACTGCAAGTTTGTTAGCGGCGCGCAAGGATAAAGGGGCAAAAGCTTCGTCCCGGTGTATTGGTGTTTCACGTACATCGGTGAGTTTCCCATCTTGAGGAACAAGGGTCACGATATTGTGAATAGCTTCTGAAGACATGGTATGGATTGAATAGGGATTATCGCTGCTATGGAAGAACGCGATTGTTACTCAAGGGCAAGAAAACACTCCACGAAAACGGGTCTGAGTCAAAGCTTATGTATCGGGAAAAGGTAGTTTAATGGAGATGAAGTGTGACTTGTGATGTGATTTGTGCCTCGGCGAGAAAGCATTTTGCCTGGTGTGTTCTCATAAACTTGACTGGTCTATTATAATCATAGCTCTGAAAGGCGTTCAGATATTGTAATCAAGCAGTTAAAGTATATCCGAAAGTACTACCGGGTATAGACCAGGGAATCCATGCATTATTTCGTATCGATATTATAATCAAAGAATCAAACAATGAAGGAGCACATGAGAGTAGCCTGCCTCGGTCGGTAAATAAACTCATATGGAGTATAACTATAACTTCGCATAACTGTAGTTTGGCGCTCCTTTTCTACGTTGTTTAATGTCTTTCCATTATCCTTTGGTTAACAAAATGAGCCACAACAATCAAGAAAAGAAACCATACGACCATGACCTCATTATCATCGGAGCAGGCATATCAGGAATCAACACCGCATACCGCGTTCAACAGGAGCTACCAAACTTTAGCTATGCGATACTCGAAGCCCGAGACACATTGGGTGGAACCTGGGATCTCTTTCGATACCCAGGCATTCGGTCCGATTCTGACTTATTCACCTTTGGCTTTTCATGGTACCCTTGGACAGCTTCCAGCCAGATTGCCGAGGGCTCTGCGATACGGGAATACATGCAGCAAGCAGCTGCTAGCTACGGCATTGATAAGGCAATGAAGTACAATCACAGAGTTGATGCCGCTGCTTGGTCTACCCCGGATCAACTCTGGACTCTTGATATCACGCACAATGGCAATACGAAGACCCTCCGAGCCCGATTCCTTGTTTTCGGTACAGGATACTACGACTACCATCAGCCTCTTCCCACCAGCATTCCAGGCTTGACGAGTTTCCGAGGATTGACTATCCACCCGCAATTTTGGCCTGAGGGCTGCGACTACGACGCTAAGAGAGTGGTTGTCATCGGCAGTGGCGCAACTGCTATAACTCTCCTCCCAAAGCTCTCTGAGACCGCAGCAAAGGTTACCATGCTGCAGCGCAGTCCATCTTACATCATGTCGATCCCGAGCCAGACAAACCGAACCTGGTTGACACGCCTCCTACCCACTAGTACGTCTCTCAAGCTGAACCGTGTCCTTAAAATCGTATTGTCTAGGCTTTTCTTTCTCTTCTGTCGCTCATTTCCGGCCACGGCACGATGGGTTCTGCAACGCCGAACCCTTCAACAATTACCAGAGGGAATACCACACGACCCCCACTTCAAGCCTAGATATAACCCCTGGGACCAACGGCTATGTATCTGTCCCGACGGTGATTTCTACAAGAGCCTGCACACAGGGAGAGCAGACATAAAGACCGACACTATTAAGCTGGTCACCGAGTCAGGAATCCAATTGGGCTCTGGTGAATTTCTCGATGCCGATATCATCATAACAGCTACGGGGCTTAAACTCCAAATTGGAGCCGGAATCGACATTGCTATTGATGGACAGCCCTATAAGATACCTGAGAAGTTCCTGTGGCATGGAATCCTGCTTGAGGACCTTCCAAATGCCGCCCTTGTGATTGGATATGCCAATATTTCGTGGACGCTAGGGGCTGATGTGACAGGGAGAATACTCTGCCGTCTTTTGAAGCACATGGAAAGAGGCGGCTTTGGTGCGGTTATTCCGAGAGTACAGAGCGGCCTGGCTCTCCAGCGCGGGAGGCTGTTGAATTTGAGTTCGACATACGTTACTGAGGCGGAAAAAGACCTGCCAAAGGTGGGTGATATAGGTCCTTGGAAGGCTAGGAGTAACTATCTTTCTGATCTTATATTCGCAAAATATGGGAAGGTCAATGAGTCGTTGGAGTTTGTTAGGAAGTCGGTTTGTGACATTGAGAGCGATTGTACATAGTCTACTAGATGCGGTCTTGGTTTGTGTTGCAGTGGGACTACTTGAGGGCTTTCGACGTGATGGTCATTCTGCAGTTCTCCACGTGAAGGATATGATATACTCTCATAATTATGGCCGCTCAGGCTACAGGAGAGATGGTCGGTGTTTCTATCTCGTTGTCCGAATTAATATCAGTACATCTTGATAAATAGGAACACATTTATACATTTTCTGTGTGTAGTCTGGTTTAGACTCTCGGTCCAATGCCTATTGTCATCGACCCTTGTTCCCCTACTGGAGCCTCTGGTTTCTCCCAGGACAATACTGTTATTCTGAATATTTCATGTACAGAGTAGTCGAGGGGCTGAACAGTCAAAGGCTGAAGTAATCCTACGTCAACCTTCATTTCTAATACCTCGTGACTGCTATGGCTCACCAGGCACAAGCCGGAAACACCTCGGCCAACGCACATATCGGGGATATGCATTCTCACCTGTCTTAACATAGTTGGTAAATACTGTGTTGTGCTGTGCTTAGCTTGACGATTTGTGGCGTGCATGCTCAACCGATGGACCTTGGCTACCGGATAACCGTTGATTACAATACCACCACCATTAACCTATCTCAGATCCTCGGGTTGTAAAATTTGAGTCCGATAATTTTGGGTGCAGTAAATTGTGATATCTAGACGGCTTACATGCTTTCATCTGGACTCATTATATTCCAGGTCCTCGGTGGCCAGGTGCAAATCGGCGGAATGATAACTCGCCGATCCCTGGCACCAACAGCTACAGCAGAATATCTACCCGACTTATGGAGGTACAACTAGCGTTCCACTATCCTCGAACGCTATGGCTTTGCTTTCACGGGCTACATATTGAGTTATGTCCCATCGCCGTCGCATCCCTAACTCGCTGCTGGTCGCCGAGTCCAGTTTCGGCAGCCTGGCACGTTCCCGATGGTGCAGCGTAAGCCTCTGATTACTTCCCTGGAACAATAAAACACATATAAGCACTCCGTGAAACCATTTCTACTTCAACAACTTTCAGTCATTTGCATTACCCACTGATCATTATACCCAACACAATGAGTCAATCCAGCATTTTAGACCGACTTGCAGCGCTCGACACCAATACCGTGTCCGATGCCTTGGATTTCCTCGGTCTGAAAGGAGCCACATACGGCTTACGACCACTCTGGGACTGCCCAAAGATTGTTGGACGTGCCAGCACAGTGAAAGTGGGCCCCAAGACGGATGCTGCACCCACAACCCATCTACTCACCCCGGTCATCGATGCGGTAACGACAGATGATCGCATTCTTGTCATCTCCGGCGGCATAGATGGTGTCTCATGCTGGGGCGACATCATCGCCAATGCATCGAAGCAGAAGCATATCCGTGGAACCATTATTGATGGCATGAGTCGTGACATCGATGGCAGCCGTGACGTTGGTTATCCCGTCTACGGCCGTGGCGTCACCATGATCAGCGCGCGCAATCGCTTGGTGCAGGTCGACTCCGGCACACCGCTGCAGGTGCGAGGTGTCACGGTCCACCAGGATGACTATGTGATCGCCGATCGATGTGGGACAGTGTTCGTTCCGGCTCAGCACATTGAGGAAGTCCTAGAGCTTGGCGAGCGGATTGACAGTCGCCAGACCCGGATGGTTGAGGCTGTCCGAGCCGGCCAGCCTGTGTCTGAGGTCATGCATGACAAGCAATTCGAAGCGATACGCGAAGGTACACCGTCACAGTCCACGGCACCAGCCGCGCCACCTAATAAGCGAAATCCCAAGCAAGCTAGCGCCGAGGATCAAGAGTTGGTAGCGCTGTTCGTCGACTCAGATACCCCTGGGGTCTCTGACGCGCTTGATAAACTTGGCATTCCTGGACAAGCGTTCGGCATCATGCCTTTGGCCGATTACACAAAGGTTACCGTGGGGCCGGCCTTCACCGTTCGATACGTGCCGGCCAGCGATCCACCAGGGAGCGTCGGTGATTTCATTGATGAGGTGGCCATAGGCGATGTCGTAGTCATTGACAACGGTGGTCGCACGGATTGCACTGTCTGGGGTGATATAATGACCCAATACGCTGGCTTACGAGACATCGCTGGAACGGTTATCGACGGTGTGTGCCGAGATGTAAACCGCGCGATCGACGACGACTATCCACTCTTCACGGCTGGACGTTGGATGCGAACCGGCAAGGATCGGGTTCAGGTTGGGGGTGTCAACGACTCGATCGGCATCGGCAAGGTACGGGTCAACCCTCGCGACATCGTTATCGCCGATGCCAACGGTGTCGTTATTGTCCCGCGAAATCGAGCCCGTGAGGTGGCTGAAGTCGCACGAAAGATTGAGAAGAGTGAAGCCGGTATCCGAGAAATGATCGCTGGTGGCGCTACAATCACAGAGGCACGAGAGAAACTCGGCTATCACACGCTGCAGCGCAAGGGCTAGACGGTAGCTGAACACAAGTTTTTGCGAGCTGTTGAAAACGACGTCACATGTGGCGTAAACTGCTCTGCAGAGTGGCATACGGGATTTTCACGAAACAGATTCCTCATAACTGTATGAACGGTAGCTAGACACAAAAGCTGACCCTATATATAGGAGGTTTCTAGAGACACGAGATTAAGTACATACACGATCAAGAATAAAGGCTTTATATACATTGCGAGATAGAAATCTTGGATAATTAGCTAGATCATATATGAAAATTAAAACTATTAAAATGACGGCGACGCATCAATACTAGTCGTTCAAAGGAGTTAACTCCATAGTCAACTCGATAAAACCCCCCACCTCGTCGATCTGAAACCAACTTCTACCCCATACCCTTGCGGAGAGTTTGATATGAGCTTGTGTATCGATTCTAATATAGATATAGCCTTGGGAGGGGTTCATTAGTACTTAGAACTGTGTAACGAATTCGCCCCTTTCAGTGCCACTATCAAGTTCCCGCATCGGAAATTTGTACAGATCGACACCAAATGAAAGTACAGTTACAAGCTATGTGTGTGTCTCGAGGAGATATATGCCATAACACGAATCATGATTAAGTATTGGAAGAATGAAAATATTACTCCGTTGACTATCTTTAGGGGCTTTTGCCGACATCCTGCTAGAGAACGCTTGGCGGGATCTTTTGGTTTCGCCGTCGGCATAGATCTATTTCCCCGATACTAAATCTTGCTCTGATAGCCTCAATGCGACTACTTCTAGATATAATTCCAAGGTCGTCTCGATATTAATATCGCTGTACATTGTGCCATTAGCCTTAATTGCTTCTTTCTTTGCATTCTAACTCTATCCTTTCTAGACATCTTCATAGCAACGCTTTCAGGGCTTCGGTCGATCCTTCACACAACACTCAAAACACAGAATGACATACGCATCAGCCCTAACAACCGCGATTCATAACCCGCGGTTACGCCTTCTCGATGCTCTTCGAGCGAACTCAAAGCCTATTATGACCTTTCTGGGACTTCCATCCTTTCGCACAGCCCAAATTGTAGCTCAGACCGGCGTTGATGTCAGCAATCCCCCATTTCAGTAGTTGTCATTCCCCGCTGATAACCGTAAAGGGCATCATCATCGACTGTGAGCATGGCCATATAAGCGACGACTCCATGCACAGCTCGACTGCCGCTATCGCTGCTTTGGGGGTATCGCCGCTCGTTCGTCTCAGGATGACTCACGCGGATTTGATCAAAAGAGCGTTGGATGCTGGTGCACAGTAAGTGACAACCAAACCCTACCATTCCAGTACTAAAGAGTATCACAAGCGGCATCGTTGTCCCACAAATCAATACAGCCGAAGAAGCCAGGGCCATTGTCTCTCATGCAAAATTCCCTCCCCAGGGACTTCGAGGGCAAGGCTCCGCGTTTCCAGCCATCGCTCACGACATCGATATTCCGACATACATGAAAACGGCGAACGAGACACTCATCACCTGTGTTCAAATTGAATCGAGAGCCGGGGTCGAGAACGTTGACGCCATCTGTGCTGTCCCTGGTGTTGGTTAGTGCTTGACCCTCAAATCCTATCAATAGTATTGCTAATTCCCGTCGAGATATGGTCTTTATCGGACCAAACGACCTTGCCCTATCACTCCTTGGCTATGTTCCTGCAAAAGGCACCGAGCCGGAGTTTGTCGACGCTATCGACAAGATCGTGGCGGCAGCTAGAAAGCATGGCAAATGGGTCAGCCGATTATCAAACAACGGGGGTTTGTGCAAGGAACATCTGAAAGTGTTCGATACCGTGGCAATGAGTTATGATGTTCGGGCTATTCAGAACTGGTATACAGCTGAGTTGCAAGTTGCGCGCTCGTGAGTCCTTGCTGGGTAGAAGAAAATGCGCACGTTCGCATTTCAATCACTGGGTATTCTGTGTTATGGCTCTTCATTTAATAGACGCCGGCTCGGAGAAGAAAGGACACGGAACTATTCCATACTGGGAACGATATCTCGTTACTATTATCAGTTTATGGCTGGGAGAAGGACATATGACCTTTGCGGAGGTTCATTGATTCAAGGGTCGTATACGAAGAATCCGCAACGCAAACCCACCACAAATTCGTAGAGGATGTGGATTCTTGTAATGGAGATCTACAGTGTATATAGGTGCTAGAAAAAGGACGCATAGAGTCTTTATATGGTTTATCTAGATTTAGTGTGTGGATGTATCTGTAACTGTAGATATTAAGATCACCTCACAAGTTAACTAGCCTGGTCTGACACCGTAAGAAACACAACATGAAAGTTTATAACCGACCATTTATGTTGTATTCTACCTATGCTTAAAATATATAAGTTTAGCTGTTCTTCTAGATAGCCCAATAATTAGTAATAACCATAATACAATTAGCGGGTGGCCAAAAATGACGTCCTACATATCGAAATGGTCTCACGTACCCCGCGGAGTAGAGAAGGAATTTAGACCCAACCACATAGATTGATACACCCACCGGAGTACACGAGATTATCATATCCCTCTCGATTGGACGGGTTGTATGGGGCTAGTATACGTAGTGGGCACCGGTGAAGGTCAATAACTGGGGCGGCGGGATTTTTTTTTTTTCTCTCCCCGCGGACCCGCACTTTTCCCAGGCAATTGACCTCCATAGCTGTTCGAGAATTGGATCGCAATCCAGCAACACATTAACTTCCTCGTGATATCATTGCAAAATGCCTGACAAGGACGCTGGTACACCCCGTGTCTTCCTCTACCGACACGGTATGTTCGATCACAGTGGAGTTAATCACCGCGGGGCCTTATACTGACCCCTATCCCAGGTCAGACGGAGTGGTCCAAGAACGGCCGGTACACCGGTGTCACTGAATTGGACCTCACGGAAGATGGCGAGAGTCAAGTCCTCGCGTCTGGCAAGATGATTGTTGGATCGGGCAAATTGATTGACCCGGCCCACCTGGCGCATGTCTATATCAGTCCTCGCAAACGGGCGATGCAGACCTTCGAGATTGCTTTCTCTGATGCTGCTAAGCAGGAGCTGAGAGACGCAAATAAAGTCAGCGAGACTGAAAGACTGGCTGAGTGGGGTTACGGTCTTTACGAGGGGCTGGTGACGAAGGAAATCCGGGCCCTGCGAAAGGAGCACGGTCTGGACACCGAGCAGCCATGGGATATCTGGCGCGATGGCTGCGAGGATGGAGAGTAAGTCCCTCCTCCAGGCGACTCGAGTAATTGGTTCTCCGTCTGCCATGAACAAGTTTAACCAGATTTATTAGGTCTCCTCAAGAGGTCACGGACCGCATTGACGATCTTATTAAAGAGATTCGTGCGCTGCACAAAGTCAACATGCACGGCGAAAAGCATTGTGACGTGGTGCTGGTTGCACATGGCCACTTGCTTCGCGCCTTTACCAAGCGTTGGCTTGGTTACCCCATGGAGTTCCCTCTTTCCCTGATGCTTGAACCTGGCGCTGTTGGTGTCTTGAGGTAGGAGACCCCCTTACAGCCCCGGCCGGCCATCCAGTTGGCATTTTCTGACAATTATATAGCTACCAACACCATAGCATTGATGAGCCTGCCCTCATGGTTGGATATGGATTCCCATTGGAAGAATAATGGGAGAGATTTAGACTGTATAGACCTCGGAGTATAGAGAAATGAAATTATTTGACACAAATTTCCTCCCAGGAGGAGGTTTCCTACTGCATACTGTGTAGTTCCTCTGACATTATTCGAACCTGCCAATCCCCCGCCTGAGCAACGTGCCAACACGCCATGCCGAGATTTATAATAGGGAAACAGCCACCATCGCGATCGAACTACATACAGCGGGCATACATATATAAAGATGGGTCTCTATCCAAAATCACATTAAAGGCTAGAATTGTAGAAATCTTCATAGTTTGTTACGGGAGTTCAAACCCACACCTATATATGACCAGTAGTCAATCAAGATGATACACTAACTCACCACACAGACGGTACGGTCTTTGTGGACAGTCTAGAGAGTCTCTCTTCACTGAATCTAAAACATTCAGGCAAACCTGTATCGTGCCACTCCTTTCCAAGTATGATTTTGGCAACACCTGGTGCGCAAGTAAATATACGTGCCATACCTGTTATATCTCAGTACCAAGCCTATTTCCACGAAAGGAAGAGTTAAGACTTACCATGACCATTAAACCCAGCACAAATATATTGCCCTGGCAGAGATTCGATTGCCCCAACGAACGGCACGGAATCAGTCGTCATGGCGATGATCCCAGTCCACGCATGATCCAGACCCTCTCCATGCACGGCACTCGCGCTATCAAAGTCGGGAAATATCTTGTTAAAGCTTTGGAGAGCATCTTGGACTACCTCTTTATTATAGCTCGTATCGTCTGTACTATAGACACTAGCTCGTGTTTCCTCACTGAGGGTAGGGTTTGACCGCGATACACCCAGCACCAGTGTACCATCATTCTGCCTTTGGATCAAGGAGTAAAAATGGTGTAGACTATAACGCAGAGAAAAGGTATTCTGAAGGGCATTCTCTGCGGCGAACGAGGGTGTTGGGATCAGACTATGCGCCTGAGCGCGGTTCGGCTGTATACAAGGCTCCAGGTGTGGTAGCAAAAGCGCAGCATGAGCGTTCGTGCAGTGGACTACCCGCTCTGTTGTTACGACTCCCCGCGGAGTATGCACATCCCAGAGCCCTGGCTCCGACTCGTTGCGCCTTAGTTCAGTAGCTGGGCAAAACGTGAACAACTTCCCGCCGTGTGATACAACCGCCTGGAGAAGAAACTGTGCGAGCTTTGCTGGATGACTGGATCCAGCTGGCCACTCATATGCTGCGACGGCGCCTTTCACTTTCGTCCTAGTTTGCGCTTCTTGGCCTTCATAGAACTTGATATGTGAAACATCGCCTCCTGCACTTTTGTACGCATCAAAGCTTTCGGCCTCGTACGCTGCAAACTCGGAGGTCATGCATACGTCGAATGTTGTGGTGAGATTGAAGTCGCACTGGACGCTGTGTTTCTTGGTGAACTCGTCTACCTTTTCGAGCACCAGGCGCTCATTGGCAATTATCTTTAAAGCTTGTTCCTCTCCATGGACCTTTGCATATGCACTGAATCCTCGGAATGCATCTATTGTTGGATTAATAATTGAATAGATCAAGTGAAAACGCAGTTCGGATGCGCACCTGGTCGTACATGTCCTGCATTTCGGGAGCTGGCACCGCTTGCTGCCTCTCGCGCCTCAAGGATTATGATATCCTCCCCCTTGATGCCAGCCTCAATAAGGTCGAACGCCGTAAGACCGCCAGAGATCCCGGAGCCAATCACTACATACTTCGACCTAGAAGGGACCGGTATGCTTTGGTTGGCATGTAGCAGGGGAAATGCACGGGTAGTTCGCTGCCAGAAACTGAGGCAGGGGTTTTTGTGAGGTAAACTCCTGCTAGAGCCATCTCGAGACGAGGCGGACATGATTGCGTGAATGTAGATAAGGGTCAATAGTAAGTCGTATTGATTACGCCGAGGCTGTGTGAAGCTTGAGATATGCTTAGCCACGGGTGGTTTCCAACGTGGTAGCTTGGCGGATATATAGTAGAAACCTCGGGGATAATTTTGGATTGCGATAACGGCCGCCACTAGTGGTCGATTACTACAACTGTCTTGTCATCGTATAAAGGACGTGTTAAAGTTGGGATTAACCTTGAGAGCTCGCTGATCGGGTCGGCTATCGCTTGGACCTGCAATGTGCTCCGTGCACGCTGATAGCAGTGACTTGAGCGGGGTATTTTCAAGTCGTCCCAGCAGTCTTGGCCATGGAATCCTGCCGAGAGAATACGGGGTATGTGGCGACCAGCCTCACCATTGGTGGTCATCGCCGTCTCTTATCACGCTTAATCTGTTGATTTCTCCCCGGCGGTCACACGTCCAAAAGCGGCATTTGCTCCTGCAAGGGGATCGGCCGTGATATGAGTCGTGGTGGTGGAGCTTCGTATCGCACCTGCACCACGTGGTTCATGAAGATAGCCAGCAATAAATTAGAGAGCTCTTCTCTCCGACGGGGCGGTGATTTCTTTTGTCGATTTGGTTTCCCTGAGAACAGCCATGGTGTCCTTTAAGTTTGGTCGCACGGCGTTGGCAAGGCATCATGTTCGCTCCCCAGACGAGAAGGCGCTTGTCCGACGACTGGATATATTTCTGCTAACGTTTGGTTGTATTTCTCAAGGTAGGCGACGTGGATCATATCGGATAGCACGACAGGACTAAAAACAGTATGCAGTGATCAAATACCTGGACCAGCAGAACATCAACAATGCCTACGTTTCCGGCATGAAGGAAGACCTCAATCTCCTCGGAAACGAGCTGAATCTGTGTGTAAAATGAACGATCACCATATTCGGAATGCAGCTAACTTCTTCAGCTTCACGACATACTTCAATGCCGCCTACTGCGTCATGCTCATCCCCTCTCAGATCATTCTGACCTACGTACGGCCCAGTTTCTGGCTGCCTGGTCTAGAGATCGCCTGGGGGGTTCTAACCGGACTGATCGCTATGTGCAACAGCGCGAAACAAATATATGTTCTGCGAGTCTTTCTCGGTCTCTGTGAAAGTAGCGCCTGGCCTGGCATGATGACCTTATTCAGTAGGTCAATCCACTTCCCGTTTTCGTGATCTCTGCCATGCAATTATAAGCCAAGGCCAACAGGATATAGTGTACTGGTACACCCCCACCGAGCTTGCGAAACGCATGGGATTTTATCAGTCGTGTCAAGCTGCTGGACAGATGATGTCGGGTGCTTTACAAACTGCCATCACCAACACCATGGAGGGACACCATGGCCTGGCAGGTTGGCGGTGGTTGTTCGTTATTAACGCCATCATCACTGTAGTATGGGGATTCTTAGGGTTCTTCATGATTCCTGATCTGCCAAACAGGCCAAATCCCCGTGCATTCTGGTTTAAGAAAGTGCATGCCGAACTCTCCATGGAGCGACTAGCACGTAACGGCCGCGCGGAGCCGAAGAGGATGACATGGGCTGGTGTCAAGCGCACATTTTCTGGCTGGGTGGTCTACTTCGTTGCGGTCTTATATATCGCAACCGTACTGGGAACGTACGGCTACGTCTATTTTTCGCTCTTCCTGAAAGCTCTCAAAAGACCGGACGGCAGCCCCAGATGGAGCGTATCCCAGGTCAACGCGATTCCCATCGGCGGCTCAGCCATCAACGTCGTCTTCGTATGGGTGTGGGCCTTACTCTCCGACTTTCTGGAGACGAGATGGACACTCATCGTCCTACAAGGCATCATCGGAATAATCCCGTGTATCATCATGAGCATCTGGACGCGACATCCTACATCGGTCGACGTATCCGCCGCATACGCGTCGTATTTCATCGCACACACCTGCCTCGGTACTGCGCCGCTCATCTTTGCCTGGCTTTCTGATCTCATCCCACAAGACCCTGAAGCGCGCTCTCTCGTCGTCGGCGTTGCGGTGGCTGGATACTATGCGATTTCGGCGTGGTCGCAAGTCCTGGTTTGGCCCGCGTCTCAGGCCCCCTATTATAGATACGGCTGGCAGAGTGCTCTTGCGTTGTTGGTTCTTGTCATCATCATGACTTGTGTTCTGCGCTTTATCGATGTGCGATACTTGTTGCCGAAGCGTGTGGCTTTTCAGAATGCGCTCGATGCCGAGGTGGTGGCTGGTGGCTCATTGAAGAATGATGAAGAACGGCCAGGGGATGCAGACTGGAAGAAGACGCCGACTACGAGGGTGGATGAGTAAAGATAAATCTACTGTAACCATTCCTAGACATGTTAAATATGTGTATAAAAGCAATTATTTAGCTCTCACCGTACTAAAGCTTGTATGAGATGTTTCTACCGTCCGCAATGGTTCGCATAGGGTATTCTGACTACGCCATTGTGGGTTTAATTCAAAGCCCCCGCGGTTGTCAGCTAGAGTACAACCATACTAAATCTGTATGTGAAGCAAAGCACGAATCGCTGAGCCTCCGAGGGGTGTAGCTCAATATACTGACTACGCTCAGTCACGTCTTCGGGCCAGATAAGGGTGAAAGGCGAATAGCCTCATGAGAATATCCTTTCGATCACACTGGGCCAGGAGTGTGGCAGTTTACTCCCCCTACATATAACGCAAAAGATTGAACTCTCCAGGCTTGAAAGGCTCATCATGCTATGTATATGACGTGGTTCTGTTTACCTCAATAGTGAGGTCAGGCAAACCCATCTGACTTGGTTTAACTGGCTTCTACACTCATTGCTGCTCGCGGCTGGACAGTGTCTCATTACCTGTCCACGAGGATGAGCTTGCAATCGTGACGGGTAGGCTTGCGGGACACGGTTCGTGCCACCCATCCAGCCTGAGTATCAACTTTACAGGCTTGCCATGCTCTACCTTTTATTGCCGAATGACGTGCATACGTGGACGAGTTCCGGCTCAGTATGTTCTCCGAGGTACCTCATGCAAACCAAATGCTTGACATTCGCGGTCTTGGACATCTGAGGTCCCGCCATCAGTGATGAGTGTCGTCGTCTGGTGATGGTTGGCCATGATACATATTAAATGTTCACGCATCAGTTGGACTTTTGTTCTGATGAGTTGAGATTCAAAAGTCTGACTTGATGAGTCATGGAAGCAAGAAAGAAAGAAAGCCAGAATGATAGAAAGAAGGGAGAGGGAAAACCGTGTTCTTAAAAGGCGGTTTGTATTCAATCCCGCCGCGAGTTGGTAGTTCCTTTGGTGCATACAATACATTGTCTCATTAACTGCTCTCCTTGATCAGTGCATTTATTCTAGCACAGATAACTATTCCCCGGGGATCAGTACTGGATGGAACCCTACCGACGGTCTGATATATGATTGTAACAGATGACCCTTTTAATGGATGAATAGCTTCCTTGGTTCACCTCTTAGGCTTGATTCCATGCATAAAGTAGACGACTGAATTTCTCTTATTTTTCCTGTCCTTGCTCATCCACTCTCTGCCAACCGCACTACCGAGGATGATCGATCACCGAGATGCAGATGTGATATAGTACGTGCATTGTACGACAGAGTGCAAGTTAGCCACCAGATCAATAAGCTGATCTAATCATGTAGCACATTACATTCATATATGACTAGAATTATTCAAAGTCTATTCATGAAAAACTGTACTCAGGAGTACGATCTGAAGATCCAAGTCTCAATGCTTAGTCACTTCTAAATTCCCATTCAGGAAGTATTTCCATCACGTCACGTGTCTGCCCTAGGTAGTCGAAAAGAGACAGCAATTCTCCATCCCTTGCTCCTGTTGATATCAGATCATATTCCAGAATGCTAAAACCTGAGATGAACCCCCTGATCGACATTGAACACAAAGCAGAATCACCAGCCCACCCATTGACCCCATCGTGCGATCTATTACTTCGCGACCCACATTGAAAGCGAATAAACCCTCAGAAAGGAAGGGATTGACCACTCAACTCGGCATTTAATCAGCTACGCAGCGCAAAAATGGAGAAAGTTGACGAGCCATCGCACGACTGAATGAATCTAGGATCGGTACAGTAAATGCCATCCCAGCCACCAAATGATTTCAGATTTTCTGCACAAATGAGATGAGAAAGGAGTTCATTCCCTTGCATGACGCTAATCTGGATTTAAATTTTGATGGTCCTCGCTCGGTGGTGTATTTTTATTATTTGGTCCCTGTCTCTGTGTGTTTGACCCGAGAAACACGATTGCATCTTGATGTTTAAGATGCGGTTTTCGCTGTTGTCGTTGGCTTGGGCGTTCCAGGCTGCTGCTACGATCTTGGAGAATGGGCAGGAGAGGCTGAACCCTTATCCTGGGCAAGCTGAGGAAGTTTCTGTTGATGATACCTGGAAGAGATACGGGGCCGACGCGTCGGAGATCTCGTATAAGGGGCGGTGGGATAGTACTTATACTTCTTGTGAGTGATAGAGTTGTGTCATGCTCGAGATTTGATGCTAATCGATTTCATTAGGGTGGTCGTATGTTTCAGCTATTCTTTCCTGGTGACGATAGCTAATTGAGTCAGCGTTCCTGGTGTCAAGTTTGGATTTACGGGCGACAAGGTAGAGTTGTACTGCTTCTTGGGTTTGAGCTCTATCGGTGGCTGACATTATCAATAGCTTGCAGTGAGCTTTGGTGAAAACACGTCCAAAAATGTGCTTGTCGCCTATCGGTATGCTTCACCCTGGGTTATTTATGCGACTGTTTCTGATTTTATAGGATCGGTGGGCTTGACTGGGAGTTCTCGAACGTTACAGCCAATTCAGCCTATCAGTTTGTGAAGCCTGGATCGTCGGCACTGAATGAAACAGAGTATGCGGATGACAAGACATTTGAAATGCGAGGTATGTTGATAGGATTGAACATTGTACGTGCGAATACTGATCGACTTAGTCACGAATTGGGGCTATGGATAAGTTTTATCGGCTCGACCTACATTCTCGCTGCTTACAATCTACACAGTTCAAATCGACGGCGTGTCTGTTGCTTCGGATGCGCGGTTGGTAAAAGCCGCAGAGTTCAACAGGACGGTGGAAATCATTGGAGATTCGTCAGTTTGCAAGATTCTCTGGAGACGACCTAAAGATTTTACTAACTATCGACTGGAAGGCTCGCATCAGGGCAGTACGCTACTTACGAGGGTCTTGCCTCGTGGGGCTTCAACTTCGCAGCTGGTTTGGGCAATGCTGAATATACCATAGCAGTATGTGAGCATCTTGTTCAAGATAATACCGCCATCCTAACCAGCGCAGGCGTACCCCGGAATATGCTTGGTAGACAAGCAATGTTATGGTGGCGATGCTCGCGGCATGGTATATCGCCCGTTCCCCACGAAATGATTATTATTGACCATCCACCGCAGACGTATCAATGGTCCCATGCTTCAGACGTAGGCGACCGTGCGAATGCGGCCTTCGGTGATAAACCCGAATCATGGAATTTCACCGCTCATCGTGCGGCCGACCTGGTGATCATCAACCTGGGCACGAACGACGGTAGGGCCATAAACAATATTCCCAGCGACGATTACTACCAGAGCTACGTTAAAATGGTGGAGAACGTGCATGGCGTCTGGCCTGATGCACAGATCGTCCTCATGGTACACCCCCATTCCCATGTTTCGCTCGGTTTATACTGATTTCAATAGTCCCTCTGGGGTAATTTCGTCAAGGAAGGCTCAACCTGGGTACAGAAACCGATGTATGAGTCTGAAGTTCAGAAGGTATACCAGCATTTCGAAAAGGATGGATACGTGCATTACTTCGACACAAAGGGTATCCTGCAGCACAACGATATCTCCCCGGGCGGCCATCCAACGGATGTCGGTCATCTGAAAGTTGCAAGCCATCTCATGCAGTGGACAAAGATCAAGCTTGGATGGGAATTTGGAGCCACCGGACCAGAGGTGCAGCATGACACCACTTATTGGAATAACCAAGCGAGCTATAAACGGTCGGTCTTCTCTGGCCTATTCATCTAATCCCCAGTCATTATGTTATAGAACACACACACACGTTCCCGGAGAATAGATAATGACATCGCAGACGCAGGTCCGCGGAGACGCCGGCCCTGGTAACCAGAGCACAATATCTCGTGTCCAAGTTGGCTTCTAGCGCTAGTATTCTCTACCAAGTTTACAATGTATTTTAAGGATGTAGGATAACGACTTTCATGCTGACACGACAAGATCATCAAGAGACAATGCGAGCCACTTGTAAGAAAATGCCAACATATTGGTATCGATTGCTGTGGGTATTTAGAGGCAGCTACCGACGCGAGCACCTGGATGATTGGCCCTGAAGGACTTGCCACGGCTGGGGTTTAATACCCTAAGAAAATGTGAAGGCCTGGATCGCTGGCGACCAGTCTACGAGTTGGACATTTTTTTGTATTGAAGTTGCGATTATATGGTGGAACAACTGCTTGCATTAAAGTAGACGGTGTTCCCATTTGCCGGGTAGAACAAGAAATTCGCAATGGACGGAAAGGATCTATACGAGTCCTATGATGTAAGGACTAGCCGCTTTCCTCTAGCGGGATTGGCAGCCGAAGTCTTCGCATTCGCTGTCTGTCGACCATCTCACTGGACTCTCGGTGCCCTAACTGATGGAGACAACTGGCTTCTGGCATTCATTTTCCCAAGAGGATCAAAGCCCACTGTGTTACCTTCGACATGGGATTTCTAGCTAGTCTTCTACAGAGAAACGTAGAAACGCCGTTAGCATACATGATAAGACCGCCACGGCCGCAATATATATACTACCGGAAACCTTATCATACCACTTAGTCGTGGGAGTTTGTTGGGTTCCATACTACACAGTACTACCTTAATCCACTAAAACTTAGAGACACATGGGCGCGACCAAGGCTAAGCACGGATGGGTTAATTAGCAACGAGTTTAAGGCTCTGGAGCTTATTTCGACCTCCATGCGGCAAACCGTGTGGTAAATCTTCACACCATATGTTGAGATAGATTGTTAGAAAATTCATATTATTAGGCTTCTAACTGAACCTCAAATGACCACTTCTAACATGATGTGGCTAAAAAAAACTACCCACAGGAGACGTGGTGCCACAATTGCATTTCCAAGGTAAGCCGTAGTTGCACCCATTTCCAAAACCCGACAAAAGCCGAGAATGACCGCAGCGGCCGATCGACATCTATCGGCCTTTACGACCACCGAACACCGGACCGAGTCCGTGAGACAGGCACATACTAAACTTGATCGCTCGAATAAATGCAGATTACTCCGTGTCGTACGGAGTGGTTCCCGATGGACAATTCAGTTCGTGTAACTCACCGTCGGTGCTCGGGGCCCGCAGCGTCCGATATCGATCGGACAGAGGCATCACGTATAAATAGACACCATGTTGCTATGTACCTCGATCGATATACAACTGTTTCTACGATATATCTTCAGTAAACTACTGATTCCTACTACTTATAAAGGGAATGGCCCAAATCAGACGACTTCCCCCGTCCCTAACGACAAAAACTACTCTCTTCTCCGCGCTTGCTGTCTTCGGTATCGGCGCCTATTGCGCTCGATCTTATCTTCTTCCCCAGGCTCACGCGGAATCAGACGAGCCGCCCGTCATGTTCTCCGGGTTCGGGCTTACGACTCTACGCCTGCAGAGCGTCAAGGCTGTGAACCATAATACGAAGCGGCTTGTATTTGAGTTTCCGGACAAGAATGCTAGGAGTGGGTTGTCGTTGACTTGTATGTTCTCTTTCAGAGGCTCTCTCTCTGCATAATGGGGGAGACATTATGCGATAGTTTGCTAATATATGCCAGCGGCACTACTTACACTCTCCCGACCGACTGGACGGTGGCTACCCGTTATCAGACCATATACTCCAATCGGTGATCTAAGTGAGTGATTCGACTCCTCCAGTATCCACGTCTATACTAGACTAGACAATAGCTAAGAACAAGAAACAGACCAACAAGGATCCCTAGAACTAATGGTAAAACAATACCCCAACGGCAAAGCAAGCACCCACATCCACTCCCTCGTCCCCGGGGATACCCTTACCTTCCTCACAGCCCTCAAGGGCTTCTCCTGGGTTCCGAACCAATACCCCCAGATCTATGCTATAGCCGGCGGAGCTGGCATAACCCCAATCTACCAGCTTATTCGGGGCATTTTGGATAACCCGAACGATAAGACAAAGATTAAGCTCGTCTTCGGGGTGAATAGTGAGCAGGATTTGCTGCTCCGGGAGGAACTGGAGGAGTACAAGAGGCGGTTTCCTGGGCGGTTTGAGTATGTTTACACGGTTAGTCGGTTGGAGGGGGAGAAGGAAGGATTGAGGAAGGGATATGTTACTGAGGAGCTTCTGAAGGGGGTTGTTGATGGGAAGGGCGAGGGTGCGAAGGTATTTGTTTGTGGGCCGCCAGCCATGGAGGAGTCGTTGGTTGGGAAGAGGGGGATTTTGAATAGGCTTGGGTTTGAGAAGGGGCAGGTTTTCAAGTTTTAGCCTTTCCCTTCTATCCTTTTTGTTCCTTTGGTTTTTTCTCGGGTATACCTGTTTGCATAGAATGGTCGTTTGAGGTGCTTAGGTTTATGGCAATCTGTACACTACTGAAATTGGTTTGCTCTTATGGGTTGATATATACTTTAACAGTATAGATTGTTGAAGGAGGGTGAATATATGCAATGATGTCTACAACGGATCTATGTATGCAATCTTGACCCCTCAATGACTCGCGCATAGCGAGCACAGGTGGCTGAGAAGAACATGTTCCCTGCAGCGGAGACAATTAGACCCCGAGCGCATGTTAGCTGCGACTTTGGAGCACCCGGAAGCAGACGTTCGTATTCCTCGTTCATCTGGCGTTCTACATCCCAGATAAGTTGGCGAACAATCGCCTTTGCGGAATCTTCAGAGATATTCATCAAGCGCTGAACGACTCGAACGGCGTTGAGGACCGAAGCGCCATGCTTCTGTTCTGCGACTGCTTCTTTGGCATAGGAGTACAGATCATTGGTCAGTAGGAAATGCCTTTCACAGAGTGATCTGAGACGCGCGACGGCTTCGAAATCAGCGTCGGAAAAGGAAACATTGCAAGCGAACTCCATACTGCGGAACACGGCACTGGGAGGGTCAGTGTCGCTCGTTGTAAATCAGTCATCAGACGTACTATGCTCCCACATCACCCGCCCGATACGACATATAGTCCTCTAATGTGGGAAACGTCTCAGGGGGTGTCTGTTGAGTCGCCGATGTCCAGGATATGACGCTTTCCAGCAATCGTTTCCCCTGGACAAGATCTTCCGAAAGGATCTCTTTGGCCAACATATTGTAGACTGTATATTCCGGTCCTTGTTCCTCTTTCCCCTCGATATGACTGGGGATCATCATCACTCGCTGCAGTATCTAGGTTAGCGTTCCGCTTCAACAACCCGAATCGACGTAGACGGATCATACATTCCCGGAATCAACTAGATCTGCCGAAAATTTAGCCAAAAATAGTCAACCAATATCCACACGTTCAATCACCATCGCTCACGAAGAAGAACACGTAGAGCTTTGCGAGGACCTTCATCCTCGTCAAGTTGCCCATTGGTGCCGTATTTACCAGTAGTGAGACTGCCGCGTCGATCATTGCCTCAATATATTTCGCTTGATAACTTCCCGGTCGTTGTGCTAGAAGTTCTTGGGTATATGCCCTTGTCGTCTCCTCCATTTCTTCCCAGTATTTCGACTGAAAGCAGGAAGGGAAGGAGGTGGGCCATGGGACACCGAGACTCGGCGGGACAATGGAATTGGCGTGCTGGAAATTGGGGAGCGAAACATTTTCAGGGCGTAGGAAGGAGAATAGATTGGATGGTCGATTTGTGGCCGCAATGTTGACTGGGTCGAAGGCATACTGGATGTTCCTCGTGCAACTCCGTGGGAGACGCTCCTGGTTGAACTCTCTAATGTTCTGCGACGTGTGGTAGCGGTGTTTGAGAATGGGATACAATCCAAAACATATTGATGATTGATATATCCGTATCGAAGATTGTCTCGACAAGGCTCTTGGGAAGATTGTTGTTATCATTCTCTCGAAAGCCAAACAGAAGCAAACGACGCCGGCGTGCCTCAGGCTGTCGTGCACATCGCGAAGTTGCGCTTTACCCGAATCAGAAACTGCCGGTATTTGCCGCCTAGCACTCTCTATTACCCTCAATGTTGGACCGATGTTAATGTGTAGTTCAGAAAACATTCTTCACCAACCTTAGATTCGGATTATAAGCACACCGAAGTTATTCTGAGTAGTTGATCTGGATCCAGACCTGGAAATCGGTTCAAGTACAACAAAACCAAGCAGCAGCGTCTATAATAGTAGTACTAGTGTGGAGACGGCGACCTTATGGGGTATCTCCTGATAGGGCAAGCCAGGTGATCCTGCTATTATTCCTTTGTTTGTAGTTCCTTTGGATGGACTTGCTCCTTTACGCACTCGACCTTGTCTTCCTGTTTCGTAGATACATATGACGAATACTTCTTAATTGTGTTCATCGTCTTTTGCTCCTTCGATCGTTGTGTTGTATAAGAAAAAATACCCCAATAAGCAGATCAGAGCGCTGCCCCCGGTAGTACCGCTTAGGGGTCAACTATAGCAGTAACCACACTCGCCTTGGAGACTGGACTGTCACTGCTTTATCTCGCTTTTCACTCTTCCATCTCATGAGATCTGGTGAGTCTGACTTCACTACCAGTTTCCACGATATCGAATTTGACCGTGCTCTCTAAGAGAACTAACCAATCTACTATCAATCACAACTCGAGATGAATATCAATACGCGATAATGAGCGCCTACTCGCCCACACTGAGCGAATTCCAACTGAAAGGCGAGCTGGAAATTCATATTTTGCCTCGATACAGTAGAGCGGATATAAGAAATGCATACTGGGTCCGTATACTCGCCTGTAGTCGCGCCATGCTACTAAGAATATCGGAATTCCGAACCTCCCGAGAACATCATTCCCGAAGACTATCAAAACTGTACCGCGAACCATGCCACAGCGTCCCCCCCGCAAGAAGGCTTGCAATAGCTGCACGAAATCGAAAGTTCGTTGCAGTCTCGAAAAACCTGCCTGTTCGCGGTGTAGGTCGACGGGCCGCGTCTGCGAATATTCTGCCTCAGCGTTGACCCGAGACTCTCCTCCTGGAGAAAGGGGTCTTACAGCAGACGCTGGGGCTGCATATCCCAGCTCGGCAGTATATTCGACACCTTGTTTTGATTCAACGTCTACCATGCCTATTCCTCTGCCTTTTGCCAGTACTCCTTCGAGTACGGCCTGGAGCCCGTCTAGTCACTTTCATGTACGGAGACAAGCTGCCAATGGCTGGAGAGACGGAGATGGACTTGATTTTCGAGCAGTCGATTTAGTACCGAGTGCTACTGCGGAGGATATTCGGGATCGCTGGTTGAGACCTTATATTCTGCCGCCCTTGGGGCAAGATGAGGTACCCAAGGTTTACCACCCTTTTACGTTGCAGTACATTTCACGGATATTGAGCACTTATCCACGGTTCATGCTGAAAGACAAGGATGTTCCTCCCATACTTCATCGCTCACAAATTGAAAGGAAAGAATTACCTCGATCGCTTGCAAACTGCTACAGTCTGGTCCGAATGTGGGAACAGGCGGTACCAGGAAGTGAGATTATGGTAATAAGTACGCTCGAAAAGGAAATGGAACGACTGGCTGAAGAGGTACCTCTACACGTTGAAATGCTCTTTGTGACATTGTAGGAAGTTAATAGTTCCAGCACCCTGAGAATGACTACGAGCTTCTCTCAGCCTTCCAAGCCTACTTACTGTATACAATCATGCTGTACTTCTCCCCTCGAGGTGTTCATCCCTTGTCAATGATAAGATGATGATCACCCTCATGGAGATGGCCTTCCGGACTGCTCGGAATGGCCTCTTCTGCGCCGCAGAATTAGCCCACGCTCGGCCGACGTGGGAGTCCTGGATTGTGGTCGCCGCGAAGCGACGCGCAGTCTTCACTATGTACCTTTTCAGCAGCGTATACAATGCAGACAGGCTACTTCCGAATTTCGTGGCAGATGAGATGAGAGGGGTGTATGCACCAGGCAATAAGGCATTATGGGAAGCCGAAGACCGAGAAACGTGGAACAGGGAATATGATAGACACCTCTTACAGTGGGAGGATGGGATGTTGGAGATCTCGGAATTATGGAGATCAGCGGAGACAGGCTCAGCTGAGCGCAGGGAAAGACTCGAGCGGTGGGTGCAGTCGGCGGATGAGTTCGGGATGATGCTATTCGCAGTCTGTGTCCATATCCATGGTTGTTAATGGAGGTGCCCAGGTTTAGGGATTACTGTATTTAAACTTATTCTAATTCTATCTCTAGCAATACAATCTATTACATATAAAATATACAGCTATTTCTCAGTACTCTTTGTATTTAGGAGCTAGATTTTATGGAGAAATATATAAAATATATATATTTCTTAGTATTTATACTAATTTCTTATATATAAATACAGAAATATTAAATACTCGGGATTAAAACAGGAATTCTGCTGGCAGAAATCGATAAGAACCCCGCCATAGTCGGAATTCCGTCTCGGAATCCCAAGGTCTCCACTACGCCCCTCCCGAGCTTGTCTACTATATAAACGCTCCCGAGTTCTACCTTCATCCTAACATTCAGCAACCTTAATAGTAACAAAGTAAGGCAATCTATTACAACAATCACAATGGGAGTCTATACAACCGATCACTCAACCTCTGTTCTTCAGACTCACAATTGGCGCACTGCGTCCAATTCCACGGCATACCTTCTCCCACATATAACCCCAACCTCCAAGATTCTCGATATCGGCTGCGGTCCTGGCTCAATTAGCGTTGATTTCGCCAGCCGTGCACCCCAAGGTCATGTTACCGGAATTGAATATGTACCCGACCCCCTGGATCAGGCCCGCGAGCTGGCATCCTCAAAAGGGGTGACGAACATTGAATTCCGAGTGGGGGATATCCACTCCCTCGATTTCCCCGACAACACCTTCGATATTGTCCACGTCCATCAGGTGCTACAGCATATTGCAGACCCAGTCAAAGCCTTGCAGGAAATGCGGCGCGTTGTGAAACCCGGTGGACTCGTCGCAGCACGGGAATCTTCGGTCATGACTTGGTATCCCGAAAACAAGGGCATTGAGGCATGGCTTGACATCACTACACGGATGGCGAAGGCTAAAGGGGGCAATCCACATCCGGGGCGAGTAATTCATGTCTGGGCTGAGGAGGCTGAATTTGAGCAGTCTAAAATTCAGAAGAGCACGGGCTCGTGGTGCTTTAGTACCCCTGAGGAGAGACAATACTGGGGTGGATCGATGGGAGCAAGAGCGAGGTCCTCTGGGTTTGCGACGACGGCTCTCGAGGAGGGATTTGCGACGAAGGAGGAATTAGAAAGCATCTCCGAGGGATGGAAGGAGTTTGTGGATGCGGAGCAGGGCTGGTTCGGAGTGCTGCATGGTGAGATTTTGTGCCAAAAGTGATCTGTCTTTTGAATCTAGTCGTGTCCATTGCTCGACAGGAAGCAATATTGTACAGAGGTAAGCGTGAAGGTGCATATGATCGCGAGGAACAATGAGTTACTATATTTACTAGGATATTTTACGATAATGTGATATCGCTGATGAGTACTATCCTGAAAATGCACGTTCAGATTGGGGTTGACATGCAATATATCGCATGAGAGACCTGGGTACGCTTTATATTTGAGATTCCAGACCCTTGGGATGGGAGAGACCGGGAAAATAGTTCCTTGTACATATTTCCACAGTGAATGCCACAACATTTATGGAGCTTTGACAGTCACGACGGGAATACCATTGCGCTACTTACTAGGTGATGTAATTTCTAGACTAGGCAGTTTAGCCCAGAGAAAACAATGAAAGAGTCACGGTAGGTATAAGCACACCTCATGGCTGCCAACTACATTCCAGACCACCATTGAGTTACAGGCGCTTGGTGCAATAGCTCATGTACACTGACATGTCATGGATTAGGATACCTCTGTTCGTGGAATCAAATAGTTTAAATTACTGTAAATACTCCGTACAACGCAATGAAATTATTCCAAAGAAGAGCCCACCTTCCTATTTCCGCCCAATCAAGGATGCTCCGCTCTAATATCGAACAGGCGCAGTTGCTGGGGCGACAACCTCAACGCCAAGATCCCATAATGGAAACACTATGCCATGTTTAGACCCCGTCACCCAGAAGAAAAAGGAGACAAGAGGGCACATTCGATCCACTTTTAAGGAATCTTCCGGAACGAGCTGTGGCTGGGCGCATAGCCACAGCCACTGGCTGAGTCACACGTGGCGAGTCTCCAGTCTGTCGCTCATGTTTTATGCCGAAGATGCCGGGGGAACTCTTGCATGACCCCCGTTGGTCCAATTATTTCGTAATTTTAGCAACTACAATACAACGTACTATCGGATTCTCTTCTCTTCGTCATGGTATTATGGACATGGTACGTGGTTTTCCGACGGCATGTGATCTATGACCTTTTTGAAATTATAGGGTGTGAGGACTCGGCGTCAGTTTGAGGATGGGATGGAGAAGAACCCCTCCATTATGCGGGATTTGTGGCTTGTCACAGCTCGGCAAGGGTCATTGGAGGGGTTCGATGGTGATACGCCGGTGTGGCTGATGCCTAGAGAGAAGGGACTCCGATTGGATGTGTCATCAATAAGCCAGATATTCCTTTAGTGGCGCCAAGGGACCACAGGCAGCGTTTTTGTAGGGTATGGTGGGGTTGATGCCCATGATCGAACATGTCATACTATCCCTTCCTGACGGTTCAACGGTGAGACAAATGAACACGGCTCTCAAGAGTCTCAACCGCCGGAGAACTCAGAATGGCAGGCTGAACTTGTGGCGGGAGGATGAAGCACGTCCCCTCTCCCATTGGATTCTGTGGCCTGTTTCCGTGCTTCACTTAGCGCTTTGGGATTGGAAACAATCAGGGGTATGGATGGAGTCCGGCCATCAAAATATGTATCTGCCTAATTTTGCATCTGAGAGGCCAGATCTGCAGCACCACCAACTGCAGACTATTGACACTTCCCCATGCAACCAGTAATGTAGTGGATACTCTAGTGATATGTATCTCACCGTTAGCGAATGGTTTTCAAGCCTCCGCGGGCACCGGAGGCTCCTGAGGTCTCATTGTCATTAACTTAGCGTCTGGAGACTCCATACAGGGGTGTGGTGAATTGAGACCTGACTAGGGCTGCTTTTTCCCCTCCTCACCAGATTGAGCAATATATTTAAAGCTGCCCAACCTGCTTGCTTTCATTCCATCTCCCAGTTCTTATCCCCCTCTCCCATATTTCTTTGTACACCATCTGTCTATACCATGTCGTATTACGGTGCTCCCCCTCAAGCCCCATACGGGCAGCCATATGGACAGCCTTCATATGGGCAGGCTCCCGGAGGCTATGACCGCCCTCCGTATGACAACCGCCCGCCATACGGACAGCCCCCCCAAGACCGCCCCCCATACGAACAGAGTCCTTCTGGCGAGCGTCCGCCATACGAGCGCCCCCCAT